CCCCCCGAGAAACACAACCTCTTCCCGCTCTTTCCCAGCCGTTTGCCTGGGTGGATTATGTCCGCCGGACGCTTCGCCGACTGGTGCGTACTGGTGCTGGTCCGGTTCGATCGACAGTGTCTTCGCAAAGAGCCATGTGAGCAACGTGCGCACGATCTCAGGATTGACGTCGCGCATCCACAGAGCGTAATAGAGCCAAGTACCAACAACAACGAGCGCGAGGCTGTACTGGACGACCAGAAGAAGCGGCGTAAAGAGGTAGAAGATGAATCACCAAGTGAGGATGCGGTCCCCGCGGATGCTCAGGAAGCGGCAGTACCAAATGGTAGTGGTAAAGTATACGACGAAGAGACTCTTCTAGATCGCAGTGGATGAGCGACGATCGTCTAGCGGACAGAGGATGCTTTCTGCTTCAGTCATTATGATAGTCTAGAAGGGGTAGCTAACATACCTTGAGACGAAGGTGGAGAGCCATATACTCAAAACCTGCTGTCAGCCTATGGGCACACTCGAGCTACACCACGCAGTCAACTCGTGGGTTTGAAGAGCGCTATCCTGTTTCAGCTCGTTATCGTGAAAAGCAGTGTAGCTTCAGACACTAAGTCCGGTAGTGCAACCACGTAGGCAAGCCACAATAGTCATTGTCAGGAACAGTACACTACAGAAGCTCCGATGGCTCAAAAGCGGCGCAGTGACCCAACTCTAAACTCATGGGAGATCTGCAAATCGGGAAGGCTTAGAAGAGATAGCGTGAACTAATGCATGTATAGAAGCAGTTGCTGTCGTAGACTCCCCCTACGGCTCCCCGAACCCTAGAGTAGGCGACAGCATTTTGTCGGGAAAAAGAATTGTGAGTCCGTACAAAACAGGGGTATATCCTTACCAATTTGTACGCCCCAATAAAGCCAGGTCCACGCGACGCGGTATGTATGCCATTATATAGATCCTCAGTTCCCCCTTGACAGAAGTCTATTGTTTCCACTCAGAGTTGTCGACAAGTCCTAGCCTCCTCGTGCTCAAGGCCCATGTGCTTCATCGCGCCGTCACCACGTCACCAAACTCTCACTGCCCCTTTTTATCCTTCTCGGCATTTTCTTCAACCGGCTGATACGGATACTTGATCGTCAAGCACCAAATATCCAGGTAATCGCATATCGTCCAGATGACATCAATGACAAAGCTGCCGTGGACGCCAATTGCGAGTCCAAGACACATGAAGACGAATGCGACCTGGTAAACATCATTACCCAATGCGCTCGGCCAGCCAACGCCAATGTGCTTCTGTAACCACGGTCCGAGAGAGTCGGCCACGCCGTAAATGAGCGGATAGATGAGGACATTGCCGCGCGGGAAGCGCGATTTTGTGAGATGCGAGATGATGATTCGACCGACGGAGTATGCGTTTACAAGTCCGGCGTAGAAAATGAACGGTACAAGATGCTGCCGCAGGATCATCGGTTGGAGGTAGAGATAGGCTGGGATGAGGGTCCAGGCTGCAGCGAAAGTGAGTAAGCCTAGCATGGCGATCCGGGTCCTCTGGCCGCGGGCACGGCGGGCTTCCATAACGTTCTGGCAACTGCGGTCCTCAGTCAGATCCTGTCCCCAGATGTAACGAGCGAGCTATGGTAAGCGAGGGCCAAGATTACTTACCTGCTGATGGTATTGAAGACCAGCACTATCCCACCGTAGACCATGTACCACTCGTTCCAGGCCAGGTCATAGAGAATATTGGGAATGAAGTCGTAGTTCTTGATGCCAATGCTTGCGAGCATCGACCGCTGCCAGAAGCTACCACCCCCAAGGTATGCCGTGAGAGCGTACACAATGCATAGTGTGAGAATGCCTTCGACGGGTCCGGAAATGAAGCCGAGCGTGAGGGTATGTGTGTGGTACTCCTCCCAGGTCTGGACATAAAACGTCATGAGCGCTACGAATACGTCAGCAATGCCAGTACAACTTCACTACAGTCTACTTACAAGCGAATAGCGTGAGAACCGTCTTCCAGCCCTGCCCGAGGTTCATTGCCGCCGAGAAGAGCAGGACCTCCAGCGAAGTATTGATCGCATCGACGCCGTGATCAAACAGCTCCCCTAGCGGCCCGCTCTGGTGTGTTCTCCTCGCTTGACTCCCATCCACCGCATCAAACGTCTGGTATAAGAACAGCCCGATGGCCCAGCTCGCGTACACCCATGGTGGACAGTCCTGGTCCAGCGTCGGCGTGTACCATAGCATCGTTAAGAAGTTGGCGACCACGAACATGAATCCTGTCGTCGTAATCTATGCTCCGAGTATCAGAATCCGTGATTTTGACGCGTCTGCGGTTGCGGGGAGGGGGGATATTGCTCGAACGAGGAATCAGGGGAACTCACAAGGTTCGGTCTGCATTCTCATTAGCACGCGTCTCGCTCATCTTTACAACAATACACTTACGCCATCCACATAGGGAAGCAGTTTATGACGACATGCGTATAGAACGGCTTTAGCACATATCGCGACACCAGACTGTGGTCGACGCCGGAGTATTTGTACTCCTTGAGCTTTGGGAGCTTGTCCTGGCGTATGTACACCATGGCTGCGGATTATCGTCGAGGAGACGTAGAAGAAGGCAGGGAGGAGGAGAGATGGAGAAGGATCTGTTTGGTGGTGCAGAAGTCGCGACAATTCGGCTTGGTTTCCAAGGTTTCGCGTTTCGCTCGTGATTGGAGCGATGACGTTGGCGGGGTCGGAACACAAAGCCCGTGGTCAGCCATGGGACATCGCGAATTCGACATTGAAATGCCATCCTTGACAGGGGTCAATCAATCAGCTTTGATAGGTAATTGTATTCACAGGTAATTGAGATTGGAAAATAGGGTTTCCGCATCCCTATCGCCGACGCCAACACCAGGCCACTAGAGGCCTTTTCCTTAACCTCATGCCCTCCCTCAGAGGAGCTCTGCTTACAGTATCTTCCGCCAAATTCCGCACCTGACGATGGTATGACTTCTGAAATACTCCTGCCTTCTCAGTTGCGACTCTGAAGCGTCTTGGTCTGCATGAGCTCGTCCTTTCGGAGATGTGCTCAGGCAACCGGGCTCCAAGGGCAGGGAATAAGGATCCTGCTCTTCATCGTCTGGATGAGAGGCACCGTCTTGTGCACCGTCTCGCCCCAGCCTTCGACGCTCCAGCTCTGCTCGCGGCGGACCTTCCGCTCCTCGAGATTGGCGAATTGCCAGAGGTGGTGCACGGTGTTCAAGTCGCCGATCTGCACGAACCAGGCACCTACACCCTCCATGACCTCCCTACGTGCCCTGAGGCCTCGCCTCCAGTGTGTCTCCCACTCGAGCAGGTTTCCGGGATGAAGCGTATAGGAGCGCAGCTCAAACAGCCCGCCCAGCTGGCGTGGGGGAGTCGTTGGCCAGAAGGAGAATTCCTGCATGAGCGAGGTGCGTTTGGAATTGATTAATGTCTTCAGCTTGGCGTCGAAGTCGGGGAACTCGGGATGGTGTTGAATGTTGTGCAGAGAGGCATGGTAGCCCTCATATCGCTGGTACTCCCAGATGTGCACTATAGCGGAAAACGTTAGAATCAAGGCAATGCTCCTAGATAAGAGCGCTACTCACCAAACGTGTCGCAGTCGCCCACCTCGGTCCTCCAGCTGCCGACCAGATGCACCTTGTTCTCGGGCATTGACGCCATCTTCGGGTACCAATTGCCAACGAGCTCCGTGTACTCATCGACCTTGTCCGGCTTGACTTCGTGAAAGACGATGGAGTGGACGTACTTTCCTCGAGCCAGGACCTGGGAGAAGCTCCTCTCGATGTCCTTGTCGAGCTCCCGTCCCTCGGGCGTGCCGTAGATGAGGGACGATAGCGCACCGCCCTTCTTCTTGCCGCCTTCTTGCTCACGTGCGCGTGCTTCTTCTGCATGGGACGCTGTTAGTGATCCCAAGGTCTTACCCAGCACAGAGTGGCCTTCGCCAGCGGTGGCACCAGACGCAGACAGATTATCAGAGGAACGAGACTGACTTTCTTGTTGCTCCTTCTTCTTCTGGGCAGCTATGAGGCCCTCGCGGAACTCCAGCTGCTTTTCGTTGAATGCCGCGGCGCCGTCGGGCGAGATCTCGGCGAGCGCAGGGGCTCGAGCTGGGCCCTGGGCGGCAGCGAGGGCGGCGAAGGAGCGCGAGCTGGCGGCAGTCGTGTGCTGTGCGGGGACAGCGCTGCGGACGCTGGCACACACACGCCGGGCGAGCATTGTGGTGGTGTGGAGAGGAGAGCTCAGCAATTGACGTCAGGGCAAGGGAGTAAAAGCAAAAGGAAGCTCTCGAGGACTGCGGCGGTCGAGGTGGTCGGAGGGAGGATGTTCGAGATGGCGGGGATGCGTGACGGGAAGCGGGCGGGGCGGCTCTGTCTGCGTCTTGTACCTTCACTCACACTGGCTGTGCTGGGGTTTGCGTGACCGGAGAGCTTCCCCTCACTGTCATCGTGCAGCTGAGCTTGCTGCTGCTGTGGCCCGTGCGCCTAGCGCGCCTGCTAAAAACTGGAGAAAAGCTGGGGAAGCCGCACCAAACCGGAACTGAGACATTGCCAATTGGTTTCCGCTCACGCAGCTCCATCTATTGTCTATCTCGACGCCCTGGTCTCTGCTTTGTGAAGCTACTGGCGCTGTCAATTACGCTCTCAATCCACATCAGATGCTCCGCCCTGACCATCCTAACGAGCATTGAGCTCCATGCGCTCCGCACTAGTCCGCGGCCGGGACTGTACTGTAGCCTGTCGCCGCCAATGCCCCTTCTCTCCATTGTGACTCAAAGTTCATCCCGAACGCGACCAGACTCGGGCTGCACAAGTCGCACCAAGTCAGCCAACGGGACAGTACCATTTGTTAGGACCTTCCATATGTAGGCCTCCTCGATGCATTTCGATAGTTCCTTCCCATTGGTCAACCCGTTGGCGAACTCTCCGGAAACCGCTGACATATCGCAAGCTCCGGGAATGAAAGCCTCGATGAAGTTCCAACAACGCCGGGTCTCCGTGATAGCGGTGCCAGGGTCGAGAACGTTACCAAGACTGCAATGTTGTGAAAAGCGGTCGAGGGTGGCGTCGACCGGGAACTTTGTGGCTTCATCCACTCTATCCTCATCTTCTCCGCTGTCAGCGAGGTAGCTAAAAGTGTCGTTATCATAGTCGCTACCCTCAATACTCGAGGCGCACATCTGCGAGCACTCGGGCGGGGAATGGTTCGCCTCCGCACTTTCGGTGTTCCAGGGGCTTGTTTTCGTACAATCGCGATGCGGTAGCGTGCGTGAGACGGTGGATGTACCCTTCGCCGAGACAGCCGTCGGGCCAGCGAGGAGAGCGAGAAACAGGGTGCCAGCAGCGGTCATGAGCGCGAGACGTCGCCGCGCTCCTCCCTCTCGACCACGCCACAGGCCCCGGACCCAGAAGATACACATAACGATCCCGGCAATTAGCCCCATTAACGAAAAGCCGAGCATGGTATCGCCTATGGGTGCCATGTTGATCGAGGTGGAGCTAGCAAAAAGCAGCGTGGAGTGAGCCGGGAGCCGCGTGGACGTTCAGAGTGCTTGGCGGGAGCGAGGGTGCAGTGGCGGTTGATACGGACTCGGAGATGACCGATCGGTAGAGAAGAATATGAGTAGAGTGTATAAGCGTTAACGAGAAGTGATGCTGTCTTGAAGAAAGCCGGTGATAGCGATGAGAAAGCGGATGCTGGAGTGATGGAAGAGAAGAGAAAAGAAGAGACAGCGTGCATGTTTACTGTTTTAATGGCGAGGGCAGGGCGGAGATGCCTTCCATCCGAGCAGGAGAAGGCTGCGGTAAGAGCAGCTTCCCACGTGGTGGCCCAAAAGGAGCAATCGTGACTGCTGTGACGCCAGATGGTGCTTGCACGCTCACGAATTAGGGCCGGGATTTTTCCTTAGATTCAGCATCTTGCTCCCGTTGTCGAAGAAAGCCGAAGTCAACTGCAGCGCGATCGATCCACTCACTGACTTGGGACGGGTGCAAATGAGGCACGAAGTCTCCCTAAAGCTGTGCAGTCCTCCCCCTCGCTCCTGTTCGGTCAACGCCGTATCGCCATCGTTACTTCCTCCTGTGGTCTTACTTTCTGGGGTCCGACGAACCCCCAGAACATACCGATAACATTAGAGGGGGAGGAGTGGAAGCGGTAGGTAAGGACGGCGGTTCAAGGTCAAAGGGAGGAGCGGAAATCGGAGATTGACTTGAAGAACATGTTGCTTTGTAGGTGTGCTGAGTAGGCTGGACGTCTCCATGAAGAAGCTTACAAAAATAGAAAAATGCGTCCATGAATAGCAAGCAACCATTTCGTCAGAACGAACCTAGACCCATCTCAAACCCGGTCAAAAGGAAATTCGTATGCCTCAAACCACCTAAAACGTGCCAGGCCCATGTATCTTTCGTTCGTGATCATCCCGCTTGTCTTTCCTCGGGAACCCTCTGATACCCCTCCGGCACCCAGGATAGCGACAAGTAAACTCAGCCGTACCCTCGTGTTTTCCCCGGTGATGACGGCGAAGGTCGTAGATTCTTGAAAAACGCTTGTTGCAGTTCGGGTAGAGGCAGATGTAGCTCGTTCTCGTCTCGGTTCGGTACCACAAATCCGCTGGCTCAGTCCCGAAACACGATGGCTGACTTGCCCTCTGATCAAAGTGCGGCTCAATAGACGATGCGCAGAACGCTTCCGAGGTTGATATTTCTGGACATGGTTCGAGGTGTTGTATGCCGCCGCACTTGAAGTTGTCGTCGCAGGACTGGTAAAACTAAACGGACAATTAGGGGGGCGCATTCTGATGGCATAGAGAGAAGGGTTCGAAACTAACAGAGTCATTGCCACGGTAGAATGATAAGTCGGGTGGTGTGTCGGAAAGGCTGAGCAAATCGTCGAGCCCATGCGGCCACAGCAGGTTATTGGGATCCATCCCGGGAGCGTGTGCGAAGGTGCCTAGCACGAAGGAAAAAGCGTGACAATGGCGTGGCGGCGTCAACACTGATATTTGTGTCGTCGTTAAGTCGATGCCTCCCAGCGGCAATGCTCAGCTTGTCTCAGAAGGAAGGGCGAACAATATTTGCCCTTTTTCGATATGCACTCAAACGCCCTTTTGTCCTCCGCCGGTCAAAGTGGGTGGCCACCCGCATCGAATTTATTTGGCTGGAATACCTGATGTGGCGTTTCTGAAACTCGTTACTGTACGCTTCGCCCTTAACAACTGAAAGACAGTGGTGAGTTGGAAGCGGAAGTAGAAGGAAGGATACGAAGCAGAACTGGCTAGGCTCGCTCAGCCAATCACAGCAACTACCCTGCCGGCTGCCGTGTTACCATGCTCTCCCAAGTATACATCATCGCCGTGCTGATGTGAGGCTCCGACATACCTACGAAAGGCAACACCTTCGATTTGGAGTTCTCCTTTAAGTGTTTCGCACCGGAGAGAGGGTCGATCGGGAAGTGTGACGGCTCGCACGGACCAGCCGCGCAACAGCGGACCCACTAAAACTTTACAGCTCTCACAGCTCCAGGCAAGCTTGACGTCAAATCTTCCACCCGGACAGCGCAACCAACAACCTCCCGCATATCTTAACGACATGTCGCCCTCCGGCGGAAACCTGGCGGTAACGACGGATGGCGGGTCATACAACAAACTACGCCGACCAGACGATTTCCTCGCTTCTCTGACCTCCAAGCCGCCACCTAGGGACCGCCCAATCTCTGCAACTTCTCCGCCGGACTCGAACAAGCGAAAGCACGAAGAAGCCGATATCTCCGATGCAGCGCCAGAGGAAGAGCCTTGCAGCAAGCGCCCGAGGGAGGATCGTACTCCCAAGGCAGTGAGGCCCCTCGCCGCCAACAACCGCCGCATGTTTAGGCCAATCCGCGAAAATGGCATGCAGTCTATGTTCCCTGGCATGGATGAAGACAACTTGTCCGACGATGACACAGCAGAGGCTCTCGCATACCTCCGCGGCGTGAGGTCAGTCCTTTTTCATTTGCCTTCTCGTCTCCTCCTAGCTCCCTATCTCCTCTCTCCGCACATCGCAATGTTGACATTCTGAGCACACAGCTTACCTGTGTGATATAGGACCGAAGCTACTTCAATACCCAGTCTACTCGTTGCAGCGCCCCAGCTCGAGGAAAATGAGCCCGACAGATCCATGTACAATGACGGCCGCGGCGACCAGAGGGCAGTGTACAAGGATGGAACTTGGATCGGCGTGGCCCCCGATGCCCCCGGTTACTCTGAAGATTCCTGGACTGAGTACTCGTACGATCTCGATCCGCAGGAAGAATACTACAAGACTCTTTTGAGGCGGTATAACGCCCTTCGGGCCACCCTGGCAAACGCAAATCTTAATGAGCTAGCCCAGCTTATGGAGGCCGAGCCATCACGCTTCACCAATGTCAAACCACCCAGGAACAGAAAAGAGTGGCTATACACGCTTGAACACGAATATCCGACTCCGGTGCGCGTGCTTCAGATGGATGACAGGGATCTGTACCGGGGATTAGGATATTGCGCCGATATCTTGGATCGCTTCGAAACTATATCGAAGGAGAAAAGCTGCTGGGTCTGGACGCTGTTGGCGTCGGCCGGCGAGCCAGGAACGTTGGACTACTCGAGGGTGGGACGGATCAGAGACCTTGGTTACAAAGCCGGCCGGCTGAACGTTCAACTTCACGGCGGTGCGCCTCGGAGGCCGCCTAGTGAAAAAGAGGAAGTGGACGTCGAGGATTGGGATACGGACGGCGAGGGTACGGGGGGCGAGGATAGCGACGGTGCCGCTGAAGATGATGTGAACGCGTCTGAAGCGAGCAACCCCGAACATCTGTCGGCGAGAGTTGAGAAAGTATCCGAACCGGAAGAGGAGGTCAACGAACGCGGAAAGAGCCGAGTATCAAGCCAGTCACCCAGTGAAGGGAATGGCCACGACATCATCACTGCACAAGGCGACGGATCGGACGAGCCCAAAACCGACGATGCGCCCCAGAAATCAATCAAGGAGGAAGAAAACGACGGCGACGCAGATATATCAATGTCAGAAGACGAAGGGGAAGTTAACAACGACGAGCCCGAGTCCACAGATTTGGAGGAAGCACGAGCCCGTCTATTGGCGCAACTTGGGGACCGATTGGTCCAACCATTTGTCCCAGAATTTCGGGGATCGCGTTCTAGTCGCCATCGCGAAGGTCCAGAACCCTCACGCTCGTCACCCCCGAAAAGAGGGCCGCGGCATAGGCATAACGGCAAAGTCTGCCACAACCCCTTATGTGAAGCCGATGAACGGCGACGTACATCACATCAGAAAGCAGGCCCTCGAATGGTTCAGATGCAGGAGGCACACCACCAGCCATCCTCGACACTCTCTGACCGAAAGCTGCTATGCCGGGCCGAAGCGGAGCTGCAGCGCCGGCAGATGCGCGAGAAAGAACTCAATAAAGCGGAACAGGAAGAACAAGCCGATGCAGTGGAGGCTCCACCAGCATCCGAAGGAGTTCTGCATCTGTTCAACCCAATAGCCGAGACCCCCAAAGTGGAAGATCAGAACCCGAGTAATCCCCCATGTGAAGCCGAGAAGCCGCACGAGCAATTGAATCAGAAAACGATAGCCGCAGAAATCGTCCAAGAAGTTGACAGCGTCCCCAATGACACTGACTCGGAGATGGAAGACATTCACCCTGTAGTGGATCTGAACACGCGCGTAACGCTCGACATGATCCTCACTGTGGTGGCAGAATGCTATGGACAAAAGGATCTGCTGCGATTCAGGGAAGTGTGGTAAGGTAACGGAGCGAAACGCATCTCGCCACGGATGTGGCAAGACCTGCGTGAGGAAGGGCGTGCCCAGACGTAGCATGGCCAGCGATGATGCAGGCTTCGACTCTCAAGCTCCATTCGGCTTGTATAGTCCTATATGCAGTATAGAGTACCATATAAATATCTAAGGAAATCAAGCAACATGCACGCGTCAAGCTCTCCCCGCCCACCACTTGCTAGCTGCCCGTGATACTCTCCCCTGAGTCGTTCGATACCACTTTTCTTCGCATCTCTCTTACTCCTCCCCGCCCTCTAAGATAAACCTCAGGCAAGCATCACTAATGTAGCAAGCGTTCATCAATTCATGCCGCCTATCTCCCGACTCAACGTCCTAGCTGCATTCAGCATCTCTCCAAGCTGTGCCCCGTCTTAGCCACTCAAGCACCCACCCACACAGCGTCCCCGTCCTCCTTCAACCCAGAGAACGAATGCTAGTGTAATGGGAGCGCAGCGCGTCGTCTCTCTGCTACCCTCCCTCCCTACCCATTGCAAAGTCAGAGCACTCTGTCTAATCTCCTAGAAAAACAGCGCATACGTTTATAAATTGGATCAGAGAACGTAACGGATTACCCGCCGTTACTGTTATGTAGGCGCAATTATTCGGTATATATATGATAAGTTGGTTGGGGTGGAGAGGAGAAAAGAGAAGAAATGCAATGCGATGCTGAGGGATTTTTGTACGTGGTTGGATGCTCGCACTCGTTCAATACGGTGTACTGGCAGACGCTAGGCGGGTTGAGTACGATTAAGATGTTTGCTTGCTTGCTGCACGACAGGAGGAAGCGTCGCGGAAGCGTCGAAGAGGGTGCGTGCGTGTATACGATTTCGTCTCGCGACGTGCATATGACGAATCGCGGATGCAGATATAGAATCGCCTCGATGCATTTTAGCGCGTGGTTTGGAGCAGCAATGTGTTTAAAACCTAGTGTTGAATATAGAGCTATTGAGGGGGGCGTCCTTGACGACGTCCTCTTTTGGAGGTCCTCAGAGAGGACTCTTGGAAGGTCCCGAGAAGGGTAGTTCAGCTTAAAGCTAATCCATGGCACTCATCATTGTCTGCCCAGGCTACAGCCTACATCATCATCACCCTCCAAGTTGCGTGGAAGCGGGTTGAAAGAACATAGTATCCATTGAGAAAACATAAACTGCCCATACACCATCCGTACCCCTATTCATGCCCCGCGATTGCCCGCCACCCCCATCTGGCGCCCGTCCATCTCCACATAACGCCTCTCAGAAGGAAAGTCTCCTCCTTAGGTAGAAACACAAACACAAACAGTGAAATACAGGACACCGCAATGCTCCGTACCCTATGCATGTGTGCAGCACTCATGCCCCATTATATAATGACCTAACAGACGCATTCCGGGATAAAGATCCGAGAAGAAAGCGGGTCAGTGGCGTGAAGAAGGAATGCTAGAAAACCCCAACGGAGGCGAAGAAGGACGCCGCATTTTGCGCTCACTTCTTGACGAAACGGCCCCGCGAGTTGCGAACCCGACCCTTCCTGACACCGGCGCCAGTCTTGTGCATGCTACGAGGGGCCGGCGCGGAACCCCTCTTCTTTCCCTTGACGTTGGCGGAAGCAAAGTCTCTGCCCCAATCCTCGTCCTCAGAATCCGGGACGCACATGGAATCCGTCGAGGGCGAGGGCGAGGGCGAGGGCGAAGGGGACGGCGCGTTGCCGAACTTAAGTGGCTTGAAGGGGATCGTGCTCTGCTTCATTTTCTTTGCGCTGCGGAGAGAGGCGGGCGTGATGTTCACGGACGCATCAGAGGAGGAGTCAGAAGAAGGGCTTCGCCGCGGAGTCTTAAGGGCGCTAGCCGCGCGGAGACCCTTCTTGGCTTTGGGAGCGGGAGTGCTGCGCCTTAGCATGGTAGACATGTGCTTGACCGGTTTAAGCGCGCCAGGCTTCGAGGCCTTGCGTTTGAAGCTGAATGTGGTGTGGCGGATTGATTTGTGGTTCGGCATGGACGCACGCGTGTGCTTGCGGAGGACAGTGGAGCGCTTAGAGAGGGTCACACTTTTCGAGCGTGCTAGCGCGCGGTTCTTACGGGCGGCTAATTGGGCGGCATGTTCAGCCGCTTCTCTCTCAGCCCTCTCGCGGGCGGCAGCTGACTGTACAAGGGCGTTTCTAGCCTTTGTCGTGGAAGCGTTGCCCATGTTGCGCTTCTTCGGAGAGTTGGGTGCGCTCTCGGAACCCCTACCCGAGCCGAAAACCTCTTGTAGCTTGCGCTTCGTTCCGGCGAGGATCATAGAGGCCATTGACTTCTCTTCGTGGGCTGGCTTCTTCGGCTTAGGGCCTAGGACACCGCGGCATGATTTGGTGCCGCAGCGGCATTCTTGAATGTTCTTGGACGAGAAAGGACTGTGAGATATTAGCCTTGCCCTAGGAATAGTTCGGAATAGAGACGTACTCGAAATTGTAGTCGTAGGTCAGTTCTTCGCCAGTCATGATCCCGCGACGACCGGCAAACAGTGCCATGCGGGGCTCACCGCCGACGGTCCACTTGATCATCTCACAGTTTGGCTCGCAAGAGTGATTGACGAAGCGCGCAATGGTGCCGCGGGTTGCATCAATGATCATCTTGTTGTCGAAGCTCATAAGATAATAGCACTGGCCATGGTTAGCCCTTAGCTCCAATAGTGGCAAAGAATGGACGATACTGACCTTGTCTTTCTTATAGACTTGCTTCATGCGCCGCTCACACTCAGTCTGCGTAATAATTTCGCCGGCATATTCGACAATGATTTGGTGGGGCTCGAAGCTCCTCATGGCTCGGACACCATAACCCTTATCTTCAGTCTCCATGACCTCAACACCATAATCGTAGCCATTGCCCTTTGCGCGCTTCTTGAGCTGTGCAAAGGGACGATTCTGGCATTGCTCAGCAGTAAGCGGGCAGTTCGTGTTATCGCACTCGTAGGCCATGATGCGGTTGTGGCAGGCTTCCCCGCATCCGTCCTCTGGGTCACAGTAGCATTGCGACGAATCCTGCTTATCCCGCTTCCACAAAGCAGAAGCATCGCCAATGAACCGGTCTGGAGAATTGTTAGTTTGACATGCGACCTAGATTTACAGATCTTACTTTTGTGAAGTTTGACCCAGCCGTCCACCTTGACCTTGCGGGGCAGGGGGTTGTAGATATCGTAGGACAGCTTGAAATCGCGATAGCTGGTGTGCGGGTCGCCGCTCAACATACGCTCCCCAGAGAACATGGGTAGAGGAAGGATCTTGTTGTCCTTGGATTGTCTGGACTTTCTCCGCGCGCGATTCTGGCTCTCAGACAGGCGAGCATCGAAATCGCGATCCTGGCCAACATACAAACCTTGTACCAGCCATTGCTTCGTCTTAGGCTTCACATACACCGTGTCGTCTTCTTCTTCGTCCGCATCATCCTCCGTCTCCGCTCCTCGTGCGGTGCGCGAACGCCTGGGCGAAGACAGCCCAGAGGTCGTGGACGATCGCAACCGGGAGTCTGATGCACTTCGCCTGAGCGCATTGTGCATAAGCTGCTTTCCGCCAGAGATTACAGCCTCGCCCACGCCGGCCAAGTTCCGGAAGGCCTCTCGCCGAAGGTCCGTAACCCGCGACGAGGTGCGTCGCTGCGCTGCCTGGGCCACCTCCGTCGCAAGCTGCTGCTCCGCCGGGTCGCTTATGTCTGTTGGCTCTGTCTTCGGCCTGGGTGTTCGCTTCTTTGGTGTCGGGGCGGGGCTGGTCTTGACGACGGTCTCGATCGGGCCGTGCAGCACATTCTTGTGGTGCTTCTCTAGGTACTTGGTAGGCGTGTGGATCGCAGTGCCGGCGAGAATCTGTACGTTGTACGTCGTGACAGACTTGCGCGAGCTTCGGGTAGGTCTCCTGCCCTCACTGTTGGGCGCCTCGGGGGCGGACTGCGGCACCGCTTGCACCGGAGTCGGCGCCAGCGGTGTCGACGGTTCCTCCTGCGTCTCTACAGCTTGCTCCATCTTGGATACCTCCGAGAGTATGCTCACCTCATCTCCGAGGCTCGTCGGAGGGGTCGATGTCGGGGGCGACGCGGTCGAGGAGCTGCGGGAGACGGGCTCCTCCTGCTCCATCCGCGCAGCGATGCTGCACAGGGTGGAGGACGTCGAGTGCGGCGACTGGTCGCGTTCAGCCATGCTGGCGGGTGGCGAGGACTGTCGGAGCGGTGGTGGTCGTGGGGCGAGGAGGGTGAGGCAGTGGACGCGCTGGAGGTTCTAGGTTTGGCGGATCCAGGGCGCACGGGGAAGGGAACACTTCCTAGTTTTCGCCGCAGCGAGCAAGCACGCACGCCGAAAACTGCTGAAAACCGTCGGCCACAGCGGCACGAAGCGATGCACCGCGAATTGACAGGTGACAAGCCCCCGGAGCGAGAATTCGTCTCCGCTATGGAGGTGGTGAGGCGGCTTGGACGAGGAAGCGTAGGTAAACAGAACCGCTAGTAGTCATCCAGCCAATAAACGCTATCCCTAATCTGCCTGTGCGACCACCCTCGCATTCCGCCCTCCTCCAGGCTGCGCGAATTTGCGGCACGCCTAGTTCCGTGGAGAGAAAAGTCTCGACTGTCATGATTCGTTCAATTACTACTATTCACAGCTGCCGCCTACTCTAGCTCCTCCTTCTCCCGCAGCACTGAGCCCCCACGGCTCGTCTATCCTACAGTGGACGCAAACACTGCCGGTTTGCACTTCCTGTGTACGTACATGGATACATGGGACAAGTAATTATGATTAGGAGTGTATGGTATCTCGTCAATGAGCTATATCGCATCCCCTGAAAACACAAGTACCTAGACTGTGCCGACACCAGCATCGTCCCGTGGTGTTCGGCTCGTCGGACCCTGAAAGCCTTGGGTCGTGGTGCGTACGTCCTGCATTTCGAGTCCTCCGCCTTGCTGCTCGGCGGATAAAGGCGCAGTCCGCTTGCCCCTGCGGGGCCCGAACCGCTGGTCTCCCTCCTCATACTTCCTCTTGAAATGCAAATAGGTCGGAGGCCGTGGTCGTTGCAACACGGCGACCCAATTCTTGAAGATGCCCCCTTGGGTGAAGGGTCTATGTCTGTCCTTCTTGAGGAATTTGTGCGAGTTCAGGTATTCTCGCGTTGTCTCGCCCCGTGCCATCAAAAACAGATGGTACAGACCAAGACTGAGTGGATAAGGCGAGCCAAGTATCGTGAAGATGCACATGGCGAAGGGAACCCGCCACTTGTTGATTGCTGCCCCAAAGGTGGCGTGGTTTTGTGCCCGCCATTCCAGAATGTGCACCAGACTGGCGGCAAGCAGGAAGAGCCCCAGCAGGGTCGTGGAGACGACAAATGTGAAGAAATAGCGATAATTTCTCCGGCCAATGCAATTGTTCAGCCACACGCAATGGTGGTCTTGCGTCTCGACGCAGTTGTCGCAGACGCGACAGTGATGAGCTCGCGGGGGTCTCCAAATATTGCAGCTCTTGCAATACTTGGTTGGCACTTCCATGGCCGCATTGACGCCGGTTGCGGACACGACCATGGTCCATTCCGTGGTCGGAGGACCAATGCTCAGGGGGTCTTCATTAGGATTAGGTGGTGGGAATGGGTGTAGATTCCGTGGAAGGATCTGAGGCTGTCAGTGCAAGCGAAGGGGTGGGTTTGAGCACTACTTACGCCTGGATCCGAGGCAGTCGCGTGTATGAAAGAAGAAATAGAGATCAAGAACAAGTAGCCGAACAGAATGGGTATCACCGGCGAAACGTGAAGCCATAGCCATGGCGCACTGCAGCCTTGTTAGCAAAGAGACAGTACATGGTCCTGCTCGGAGCGACTTACGAGAAACCAAAGAAGAGACCAGTGGGTGCCACAACGAAGATCCCCGTCGCAATGTTCACAGGTCGGTCGCGAGTATTTTGCAGGCGCCCGCCCCAACAGAAGGCAGTGTTGCCGGAGAAATAATGATAGTTCTTGCCCAGCTCCCGCTTGACAATCTCCTTGGTCGTTTCTTTCCGTGTTAACCGGGGCGAGGATTCGGCCGACGCAAGCTTCTCATGGCCTTGTTGGGGGCGCATCTGGGAGGATCTGCCTTCACGGCTCGGTAATATGAAGCTGGACTTGAAGGATCGCGGGGATTTGCTGGGGGTGGGAAGCTTGCCGGCGTCGCTGCTCTTCAGTGTCTTGGAGAGGTCCAGGTGCTGCGGCTTTGGTCGCTGAAGGGGAGTTATACTTTCCCCGCGACTGCGCACTGTCTCTGCGCCTGTCGGCGTCGTGTTTGCCGTGGTTCGGTCGGGCATGTCTCGGTCGGTGATGTCTGTTCCGCGCGAAGGGGGTGGATGGTCTAAGTCATGGTGGAGCCCAAGCGGCGCCTGTCCTCTGATTGTTTTGGTCGATCCAGCGCTCTGGCGATAAGGGTTGCCTCCAACGAAGTCAGTGGTGCCTTCCGAGTAGAGAGACGTATGGCCCAGGAGGGAAGTCGGCCGCTGGTTGCGCTGCTGCTGCAATCGCTGCGAGCTCATCGGACGGAAAAAGCCATGCGCTGCCAGCGGGACGTGGGTTCTGCTGGCAGACGTCGTCGGTCGACTCTGGGCCCCCATGCTTCCGGCCACGCTGGCCGCCCCTATGCCACTTTGTACATTTGTTCCTCGCCGCGACGGCGCTGCCTGCGACCACCTCCGCTGGTTTGACGACTGCGCGGTTGCAATGGAGGACGGCCGCGACGGCGGAAGGCCCGGCTCTCCCGAGGGGCCAGTCATGCCCAGGACCCGGCTGCCGGTCGAGTTGCGATTCTGCGAGTTCGGTCGTTGCGCGTCTGGCCCGGCGGGTTCGTCGTCGGCGTTGGTGGGTTCACGGGCGGCTTGGTCATCTTGTGCGACCATTGCGGGATTCGAGAAGGTATTAGTAGACGCGGGTGGATCCGCGGGCGTTGTCATGGCGAAAGTGAGGCGATGGCAGTCTCAAAAGATGTTCTTAAAAGCAACTGCATGACACCGAGTCGGGTAGGGGCATTTCCAGGGAGTGTTTCGAAACTTTCTAAAGGCCAACCCGGCGAAGTGAAGCGTGCGCCAAAGCAAGCACCTGCAGAAGCGAACGGCAAAAGGGAGCCTTAGCAAAGGAGCGCAAGAAGGGGGAGAGGGCAGCGCAGTGGCGAGGTGGAGGGAGAGGCGCCTCGACGGGGACGGGGTGACAACGGCCGGGCACCAGGACCGGGCTGCGCGCAATAATGTGGTTGTTTAAAAGGGGCGAGCGACTCGCGACAATGATGCCGTTCTGCAAGGTCCCATCACGGTGCTAGCCGACAACGTGCTAGCCCTTTTCTCCGATGCCGCATGAGCTCCAGCCCTGGAGCCCTGGGCCGCGGGCGCTGCGCGGGCTTGGGCGCGGGTGACATAAGGCTTGGCGCACCGCTCGCATCTGCCTCTGCTGCATCGAACCACCCGCAGCTCCCAACGGCACCACCGCCTCGCCCACCACCCCGATCCTCCACACCCGCCCGCACCCCTCAATTGACGCCGCCATGTCGAGCACCATCGCCCGCACTGCCTTCCGCGCTGCCCCACGCCTCCGCGCGAGCCCCATCCCCCGTCGCTACGCCTCGACCGTCACCGAGCAAGAGGCCAGCAAGCAGGCTCTCAAGGCCGGAGCCAAGCGCGACCCCGAGCTCTACGTACGTTATATCTCCCCTCTCCGGTGGGTCGGGCAATAATCTAGTCGGCCCGGAAGACGCAATGGGAGCATGTGCAGATTTCGGAGCTCCGGCAGCGGCATCACCGAGCCTTCGACCAGAGCCGGCTGCCAACGGCATACATATATGCTAAGGACCAGGAGCTAATTCGCGCCTTCAGGTGCTCTTCGCCATCATGAGCGGCGTCTTTGGCCTTGCTGGATGGCACTTCTGTAAGCGTCCCTACCGCCCAGACCTTGCCATTACCTCGGCGAACAATATCTGAGCACGGGCAATACTCACAACCGCAGCCCGATCTCCGACCAGCTCCTCCTCAGAGCGGAACGTCGCCCAGGCAGCCAACAGCAAGCCGTGGGAAGAGCATGGTGGCGAGGGCAAGTACCAGTACCACCCCGGCGGCGACCCCAATGCAGCTCCCAAGGATGCCCCCTCAGCATTGAACGTCGTCATCATCCCCAACGTTACCCTGCCTAAGGTTTGCCCTCCCGAGCGCCGAAATGACCACATCTAACGGCCACAGGAACTCCACGAGCAGTACAACAAGTGGGGCAAGGACGGCTACTAAAGCAACAGCCTCCTGCCACCCCTTTCCCTAGCTTCATTAGACAAATGCATACCGAGCACCCGAATTTCCTTGCTGCGATGGCTTCGCAAACTGTAGATAAGCTCAAAGCCGAGGTGTATCGAGTAGAAGAATTGGAGTATTTCAGAAGCCGCTCCTCTGGATTCCGTCTTTCGCACCATTGCATCTACGGGTATTCAGACCAATCTCCTCCATTATTTATTATACAAGCAGTGCGTTCAAGGCCAAAGTCTATTCCAGATCCCTTCCTAGGGCCACGGGGTATCCTCCCAACTTTCTTTTCCATATTACATTATCTCCTTCAACGCCAAATACATACACAAACGGAAAAGGAGACGTCTCCTCGTGGCCATTTCATATCCACATCACCATCAGCCCGAGGCTTAGGCTAACCACCACATTCCATTTCCAGACAGACATGTCGGGCACTCGCAATGCGCTCCCGGTGAACAGTGGCTCAGATGGTTCCGATTGCGTCGGCGTCGCACCTTGCGCAGTCGTAGTGGTCTCGCCTGTCGCCGGCGTCGAAGCCCCCGAGCTCACAGCAGCAGTCTCTTCCGAACTCGACGCAATCGTCGTATACAGCGACAGAGAAGTAGTGTGCACCTCCGTCTTCGGCGTCCTGCTCTCTGGCGTCAAGGTCGGCGGGTGGTAGGTCCCATTCGTCGCTCCGCTCGGTGCGGTGTACACGCTGGGCTGGCTCGCGGTCCCAGGCAGATTGTATGTCCAGGAATACGGCGTGGGCGGTGTGGGATAGACATTCGGTGTCGATATCGGTACGCCGTCCGAGCAGTTTTGCGAGGGTGAAGTTGGGTATGGGTAGAAGGGATTTGCAGTCGTCGATGCGGATGTGACAAGGATGGGTGTTAGGTATGCGGGTGGGAGTGAGTGGTATGGATTTGGGTGTGGGTATGTTGCTGCTACTGATGTGATTTGCAGTAGGGAAAGCAGAGCGATAGAAACGACCGCATTTATCGACGCCATGACTGCGAAAACCAAAGAGCATAAAGCGAAAGAACAACGGCACAGAAAGACAAAAGAGAGCAGGCTGCCACCAGACGGAAATCCTATAGCATTTGGGGCACAGTTTACATATCTACCGCAGGAGCGCGGCAACGCGGACTACAAAAATAATCCCCGCGGCACGGGTGCCGAACCTGCTCAAAATCGCCGCTTTTGGACAGGTTGGGGGAGATTTGGTGGCTTATGCCCCCCTTCTGGGGCTTTTGGCGAGCTATAACGGGGATGTTACACATGCCGCAGCCTCGTGTTCGGGCTTGGTCGCTCAGCCACACCTGTTATGCGACCCACGTGGAATGCGGCGTATTAGGGTGGAAGAATGTTGGAGAAGGAGAAATGGTCATTTGGAATTCTCTTCTTGAGTTCAGAGATAATTCTGGTGGGTGGTCAACATGCTAAAAGAGAACAGGACCAGTATCGCGCACGCCAGCGACTCTCTTGCAGTGCCTTGGAAGCCAACTATCTATCCCTCTCCTGCACCGACCCGGGATTCTCTCCGAGCGCGAAACGTCGATATTCAAAATAGCAGACCTCCCGTTCTGCGATCTTGCTCCGTCGTTGCGAAGAGTTGCCGTGGCTTTTCCAGCAAATGATCCCGAAGAGTGCGCATTCTTTCGACATATCCAGGCGTCTGAATATGCGAACAAGGCTGCTAGTAATGTGTCCTGTACTGGCGCACAGAGAAATCGTGGAGATTTCTTCTAGCGGGAAACGATGTTGCGCGTCTGCCCAACCGCGTTGGGGTTTTGCGGGACGTGTCTTCCGAGCCGTGGATATGGATAGGGGAGTTTGCGATCCGAGTATGCGCATCTCCGTTCCTGGATACGCGGTTGTGTTGTATTGTGGCCTTGCCCAAGGTACGTTACGCTCGTACACCCGCCCACTATCTGATATCCTCCCGCCGCTTGGACTTGCCAGCTCCACCGTCCCGTCGATCCGACACTGATGCCATCAGACGTCGTACACCCAAGGACTACCCGTCAAAGACCCTCTCCGCACCCAAGCCAATATCCGTATGACGTCTACGTACTCCGACAGACAGGAAGTGTCGATGAGGCGTGAGGAGGACATGATTGAGTGAGGGGTTGTGGTCATGTCTCTAAGAGACCGGGAGAGTGGTAGAAGGGAATTGGTATGTCTGTCTGCTTATAACGGCGCCGTGAGGGCGAGCGGGGGTGGATAGAGGAAGGCCGTCTTTGTGTGGTGCGAGGAACAATACTAAGGGTACGACAACGCATGACTAGTGTGAACAACAAAGCCCCTGAGCCACACACGCACGCATACGCTGGCTAGCCACAGCCACAGTCAATTTGCCATTGCCATGCGCCGCTGACAGTCATTCTTTGCAGATAATTATCCCGTCTACGTCTCGTGGGATTACTGGCGCGTCCCTGAGACCGACGCCAACCTCCCTTCCGCCTTTTCCTCCCTCCCGATGAATCCGCCACCGCTCTCGCTCCGCCACGGCAGCTACATGGAGAACCTCAAGAGCCGCGATCAGTCGTACCTGGTGTCGGGCAATATTGACTTCTGCGAGCAAGCGCACCTGGGACATCAACATGGTTGAGAGCATCGACCTGGAGATTCAGTCGGCGCTCAACGAGATGCTGCTGCGGGAGGATCTGCACCGGGCGTTCAACGTGTCTAACCAGTTCGCCGCGTTGGCACAACGTCGAGATGCAGAAGCTGAGGCGTTGACCGGAGAGGTTCAGCTCGTGACGGAGTGGTACGAATTCATACGACTACAACCGAAACTCCGGAGGGCTGATAGTCAGTCCATTGCTGTAACGGTAACCAAAGCTGAGCGACAGCCTCCACCAAGATGACGAAGAGTCTGGGCATACTTCGACGAATCACGATTCTCTTCGGACTGAGCAAATGGAGCACGAACCATATTACGCGGAAAGCAACGCTTGCGACTGGAGAGCATCTGCCTTCATGGACCGAACTCAGTCACGGGAAGACACTAATGGCTGCAACGGACCCGCAGAACGGCGCACAGATCATACGAATACACGGATTGGGTGCAAGCAAGTCGGGTTCTTCCAAAGCATCCTGCTAGACACAACGCGGAGGACCCCGGAATTGGGCCCCTGAGGTTGCCGCTTCAATGTAGCAGCAAGTGTCTGCGGAGCCCATAATAGCGCTTCCTGGTGCGATCCAGAGATGCGGTGAATGCGGTTGCTCGAGCAGAAGATGGCGCAGACCACGATGATCTTTAAGTCACAGATTAGATAATCAACTCGTAACAAGATAAAAGTAATCAAAGTGCATTACCACATCCACCATCAACTTGGTAGGTAAAAGTTCCCTTCCCCACTCAGTCGATTCAATTTCAATTTATACATCCTCAACATCGTGGTTGCATCCTAAGGCATCGCCCCTCCAGGAAGGTGGGCTAACAGGTCCATGTCTATCTCCTCTTCGTGTCATAGGGGAGAAAATAGGCGTTCTGGTGCTGTGCGGAGTCTAGATACGCTAAATTAATACATATACCAAATACCTTGAATCTAGCATATTAATGTGTGGAAGATGCATACCAGGGTAGAGGCGATCCTCTTCGCATTTAGGGCAGCTGCCAGTCGGTAACGTCCTAGCAGGCCGAATCGGTCCCGTACGGAACCGTCTTCTCGTTGTTGCAGTTCAGCTTCTGGACAATGCTCTCGGGCATAGAAGGATGCGGCGCGGTGATAACCCGCACGTTATAAAAGACGTGCACCGACCCGTCCGGGAGGGTACATAGGGTATACTTAATCGGCGTCTTAAGCACAACGCACATATTAACGTATAACGAATCCAGAAATCTTCCTATTAGTCAGAGACTAACGTAGGAGTGACGACTAGTAAAGCGGAGGGGAAAGCACGGCTTATACGTAGTTAGCACTGATTTCATTAGCGATGGGTGGCTCACGCGACTCACATTATTACTCATCCTATTTACCCCACACTCTTACCCCAATGAACTCACAAGTTAATTAACCTACCATACCGCGGGATATGGCCACGAGTCGATAGCTAGATAGAATGATAACTAATACCAGGAGTTCGTTACGAAGCTGGACCCTTAATGCCTCAGGCACCGAGCATCAGGCTTCCCGGCAAACGGTCGAGCGCTTTAGGCGAATATTATTACGTAACCCATGGTTGTAGGGCGAAAGTTTCCCGCGCTACTCTTTTTAACTTCACTCGCACCACCTATCCTGAACCGTTCTATCTCATGCCTCTACCTTTCGATTTTACTGCCCTCACAAAGGATGATCTACACGGTGTCGGCCTCGGACTGACTTCTGAGGTTGTACGAATCGCCGATACAAATATCGTCGCCAAAATACCAACACCCTCAGCCATCTTGGGACTGGAGGTACACGAGATCGAGAAGAAGGTGTACGAGCGCGTACAGGACCATCCGAATATTCTGCGCTATCTCGGCCAGAGTCCGCCTGAATGTACGCTGCTACGAGGTGCTCTGCTTTTCGAGTATCACTCCCGAGGGAGTCTAATAGATTGTCTCGATCAGCTTAAGAATTTCACACGAAGCCGGTTTGTTTCCTAAATAGAAATCCGATTACAACACCAAACACCAAAACTAATGCTCCATAGGTGGCCTTACCAGGCCGTGAGCGCCTTAGCATATCTACACTCCCTAAGAATCGTCCACGCTGACTTCGGCCTACACAACTTTCTTCTCCGTGATGATGGCGGGATCGTGCTGTGCGATTTCGCGGGCTCCGGTATAGACGGCGGCCGTTGCTCTGTGGGTCACGGTGTGCGGTATAGGGACCCGCTATCTCCTCGAGAATACCCTACCGAACAGGAAGATGTCTTTGCGCTGGGGACGGTCCTATATGAACTTGACCGAGGAGAACTGCTTTTCAAGGGGATGAGCCACGAGGAGATCTACATGCGACTACGTAATAGGCAGTGTCCTAACCTATTAACGGTGTCCTTACCCTTAAGGGGTGTAATTGAGAAGTGCTGGACCGTGCCGGGATATAAGGCTAGCGATGCGTTAAAGGAGCTGGGTAAGTTTTAATCCCCTTAGCTTTGTTTTGCTTGATGTAACCTCCGTGCAGAGCCGCAGCGTCACAGTGCACTCTTCCAAGCATTCCTTGGGCTTAGTGTCGCTATAGTTGCCATCTTCATGTCTAGTGCGTGGTCGGCCTCGGCTAGACGCTAGAGAAGAACTCTGGCTTAGTGAGGATATTGCACTCGTTGACTTAGCCCTTAAGCACAGCAGCGGACCAAGGCGTGAGATGTGAAAAGGAGCATTTCTCTAAGCTTCTCATCGAGGATGGTTACGGAATCGAGCGCATTGACGGAAGCAAAATCACGGTGGAAACGAGGGTTGTCGCCCGAGGTGCCTGAACTCTAGCCTTTCTTGAACTGCCATCTGCGGACCATGGAAGTGCTGCTATAGCGGAATCTCGTTCATTGCTGGCCTCGAGTATTCCCTAGGTAGAGACATGGAAATAAGCCGCTAATGGTTCCGAAAAAGGCAGTCCTGCGCATGCTACCGTTTGGTCCGAGATTATTCTATATAGCTCAAGTATCGCATTCTATCTCCTATGTTAAGTGATCTATCTGTCCTTGTCTTAAACCGTCATCTGCTTCCCCTGGGTGTCTACGCAGCAGGCAAGAACGCTGAGTTCACAAGGTATTCACTAACACGCACCTGTGTGAAGATCGACGAGACCACTACTTCTCTTTAAAGTATTTCTCATAAAAGCCAGCAGTATCCCTGCAGACGCACCCGCTGATCTCTTGAAGTATGCACTCGTCGATATCGTCGTCTGTTCGTCGGCGCGATGGGAGGAAGAGGTGGACTTTAGAGGCGTGTCAAGGGCGGTCTACTGAAGACGGTTGGGGCTGTTGTGATTCGAAAGAAGCGCAAAGAGAGCCGCGGAAGTATCCTGATCGGGTGCATGCCTCTCGACATTCTCGAACAGAGGAATGAACGATCTCGCATCGAAGTCGGGTGATTTAATGGGAAGGTAATTGCGACAACTATTGACAAGGAGATTGGTCCGACGGTCACTTTAGCTCGATGTTCCGCCTAGAGTTGCCATTCTCGGCAAATGTTTCCACCACGCAAGCTATTCATAGGGCTCGCGCAAGTGGGCCACACAGCACCACCAAGGTACACGCCCCGGTCTCCAACAATACTTCTCTCCCCTTAGCTTCTCACATCACGCATTACACACGCATTATACACCGCAATCACTCACATCAGCGTTGGCACGCAACTTTCATCAAAGAAGAAAAGGTAATATTCCCGTTCGTATTCAATCAAAAAAGCCCCCAAGCTTCCCACCGCGCAAGAAGAAAAGGCGTGTAAAGTCCTCCTTCCAGAACAATGGTCGGGCCCCCAAAAAGGCGGGGCAGGGTCGGGTAGAAAGGTGTTAAATGTACAAGAAGCACTATCTCCGTTACATTAGCAAGTGTAAAAATCCATCAGATCCTCTCCCGTCTGGACAGGCCATCTCAACGCCGTCACGGTGCCGGGTTGCCGAAGATGGATGAAGTGTGTCGTTCGTTGGTTGCCGGGGTAAAGGCGGTGGTGAAGGCCGTAACGGAGAAAAGCGCGTGAGGAAACTACGTGCCGAATCGATAGCAGGGTGGAGTTCCAAGGTTGTTGTATCGACGGCCATCCTCTTCTAATGCAAAAAGGGGTCTTTTATCGAAGCGAAGTAATTGTTTGAAGTGAATGAAGGTGCCAGAAAATTGTCGTCTTGATCCCGAGAGTTGCGTCCGGCCCAGGCACTACCCAAGGATGCCCTCGGTCACGAAGGAGTTAGTTCCTCATGACCGAGCACTGGTAGCCGCCAGTGGGCATGTGCATAACGCTGCACTGGTAGCCTCCAGTCGGCATCTTCATGACGGAGCATTGGTAACCGCCTGTGGGCATGCCGCGCATGACGGTGCATTGGTAACCTCCGGTAGGCATCTTCATTTTGATAGTGGGTCGGTTGGGGTTGGTGAAAGAGTGTTCTGGAACTTGTTTGGTTCTGCAATGATTGTGTGTTTTGGTGGGTTGAAGAAGTGACTTGGGGCGATGGGATGAAGCATATTTATGCATTGAGGGGGATGCACTTGCTACGAGGACGGTTCTTTGAGTGGGAGGGATGGAAGACGAATCAAAGAATGAGGATGGCAGGGCTGGTGAGGATAAAGAAGAGAACGTCGTGGTGACGGGGGCTTGGTGGTGATGGCAGGGGGTTTAACCGCCCTTACTATTGTTCTGCTTACTATTGTTCTCAACACTAAGCATTCTCCGCCGACCACAACCATCCAATTGGGTATTGCATCGAGGGGAAACAAGCACAGGAGCGCGATACGTCGCTGCTCATTCGTTCTGATCCGATTGAGTGTTTCCAGATTAGGATTCTTCCATAGGCTTCGAGATTGAAGCGCACGTGGTGACCAAGTACCCCATCGGGTAAGACAAGGGAACAATTAGCTTGTGGCATCCGCTTCTACGGAGGTGACTTCGTTCTAGCGGCCTTCGAGAAGGCGACTTAAGGAAGGGTCTTTCGCAGCGCCACCAGGAACGGACCGTAGTGGCTCACTCAAGTTCCAAAGCTGAGCGATGCTTGGAGGTCCGAGAGCACGGCGAGCGATCTCTAAGAACTCTCCCCCAAGGCCGGATCAACAAGGTCATACTTGCCCGAGCCACCCGGGAGAGGGTTGCCTGCTTCGCTCCCTCAAGGCGAAGCGTACAGCACAGGAGAAGGCTCGCGCAAACGACTGGCTCAACTTCTCATTGTTGGCTTTCCGGGGGCTGCGTTCGATAGGACGCCGATAGACACTGATGCGCTGCTCCGAAGCAGAAGAACAAGCCTCCACTTTTACGAGACGACCACGGGACGTTAGATGGCTCTTCTGTTTCCTTGTCGCCCATCGAATCCAATATTTCTTCCGTAATGGTGGTAATTCTCTTGCCTTTCAATTTTGCATGTCCGGCGTGTAGAAGGTCGGCCCGTAGATGCCCATGAGTGGGTCTTGAACATCCGCTAAGCCGTCAAAGCCGCTAGCGAGCATGCTGTCGACATTAGAGGTCGCCCCGATCCAGTCCTCCATTGTGGAATTACTCGCTGCCCAGGTTGTCGGCGGCAACATGTGATTCTGATTTTGCATCGTAGAATCCCAAAGCGTCTAGAAGGCTGCGTTAGCCTGGCCGCTGGGAAGAAAGAGTGACTTACCCAATCAATGTCAGACGGAATGTCAGGCATGTCAATTGCAGGAACCTCAGGTTGAGGCGGCCAAGCGCCCCAGATTTGCGGTGGGAGCTCTTCTGGGACTGACTCTGGTGTCAGCTCTTTAGGGACATTACCAATATCTGTTCAATGTTAGCGTTCGCCTTCGCGAATGGTGGCGCACGTACTAGTCTCGTAGCCGTTCGGTACTGGGTCTTGCTGAATTTTCTGTGACTCCGCTGCGCTGGGAAATTTCTGCAGCATGGATCTGAGGATTCCAGCTCCCCTGACTGACTCTCGAAAGCGGTTTGGGTGATTAGCCCAAATGCCGTATGTGTCTTCAAGAACTCCGAACAATTCAGTGATCCTCCCAGAAGGGTCGCCAACCATTTTGAGATGATGCATCTCGAGACATAGGATCATGGCTGCAAGGAGATAGTCGTAGGTCTGAAGCGAGGACATGTACCACCAGACTTTGCTCAGCTGCCCGCCTGGTTGGCAGGCGTGGAAAATGATCTTGTGATACTTGAGGATTTCCAGAGCAGAATCCACGCAGCTCTTTCGGGACTCCACGAATCTGGCGTCAGACTGCCCAGCAGTCAAATAATGACGATGCAAGACGACTCTCGTCTTCAGATACAGGAGCTCGATATTGAATCTGCTCATGATCAGGACTGGAGGATCGGTAATGCAATCCTCCATTGGCCGGACTCGCATTCCTTCGGGAATTTGATTGTGGGCCTCGTCTAGGCGCTTTTCCAACGCTGTGATGGTCGAATAACGGGGCGGTGTAATCTTTTGGGCCAATTCCGCGGCCTCTGCGAATACAGCGCAGACTCTAGATTTGGCAATCGTGTATGTAGCTGGGGTTATTTCCGACACCGGGCGCTCCTTCGGTAGCTCGGTCATGTCGGGAGATATGTCGCAGTCTAACAGGTTTTGCGGCGCTCGGACATCGTTTTCAATGCGGCGGACAACGGCGGGTAGCCCGATAGCGAAGGAAATCAAGGTATCCATCATATTAATGACGTGCCACACCCTCCGACGCATTTCTCCCTGGAACGGAGACATGCCATGGAAGTTGCTCGGATCTCTATGGTATCCCATCCGCATGGCGACACGTAGGGCAACTCCGTTCATCAGCCAGATCTTTGCATGATGATCATCTCTCCGCAAGAATTCGCACTCTCCGTAGATCATCAGGGTCTCGAGTGTGTATGGCTGAGACTTCGTGATATCCGCTAACACTAAAGCGGAAGAAGCGAGATGTTGAAACCTGTTGACGCAGCTGGACAGGTAGTCATTCTGGTCGTTTGGATCGAATGGTGATCCCGATGAGCGGTCGTAAGCAGCTGCGTGGGCGTTCATGCCTGGGTTCCGCGGGCCGAGGATGATGCCCAGTGCCATTGCACTGTACAGGAGCGCGATCCACATGACTGGAGTCGATGAAGGACCTTTCCAGTACTCCTTATATTCTTCTTGGAAGGTCGGCGCGTGTATGACGTATAGGAGAGGATCGGCACTGTGGGGATGAATTAGACTTTGATCAAACAAGAGCGATGAGAGAGTGTACCTGTTGAACCAAAGGGGAAGGAGTCGATCGACCTCATCCTTTGGAGGCATCTCCGCTATAAGTTCCGCTTTGGTGATGCGTCTGGGCATGCCAAATGTCACGGTGGATCGAGCGTTGGCATCGTTCCACTCTTCTTCCTGAGGTTCATCATCATCTTCTTCCTCGAGGTCGTTCTTCACATCCTCAATTTCTTTCAATAGGGAGGACCAGTGCCCAGCTCCTACATAGTTCGTCTCATTCCCGGAATTACTGATGCGAAGCTCACCAAACGTCTCCGGGTTGGGCTCTTCAGCCTCTTTGGTGGTGCCATTCGATTCCGCATTGACCGTGCCATTGGTGCCTGTCTCCTGCGACTTCTGGTTTATCAAGTTGACCACCAAGCTTTCCAAGTTCCTGATCCTACCGCGCATGTTCTGGGCTTGTTTGTTCCTCGGCGGAGGTGGCACATATTGGCATGCTTCGTGGCGCGATCGCTTCGCACACTGGTCGCAGACGGGGTGTTCGCGGTTGCATTTGAGCTTTCCCTGGCGACAGGGCGTGCAACTGAGCTGCGGTCTTGCTCGCTTGATAGGTGCTCGAGTGAGGAGATCGATCGGCGCGGACGGGCTTGTGGAGGTTCTGTTACTACCTCCGGACGGGCTCGATTCTGACATTGTGGTAAGCGTGTACGGATGTAAAGGTGTGACGCTGCTCCGGGCCGGACTTGAGCTCGTGCAGTTGCTCCGAACTCGTGCGAGAGTGGCTGAGCTAATATGACGAGGCGTGGGTGGGGGCCGATTCGCGGGGTTCTGGCCTCCATCATCCTCAGCACAAAGAGTAAGTGTACCCGCGTAATGCTCCTAGTCAATATGCTCTCGATAACACGAGAGGCTACATCACACGGATACCGTCAGCACTCCACTCGGACTGACGGACGGCATGATGGATCGCGGAGCTGAGACAAAAGGCTTGGCGGTGACCCAGCTCCATATCCCAACGGCTCTATGTGGGCTGTGAGAACTCAAATTTTTGGAGCCCGCAAGAGAACAGCATCAGGAGATATCTGCCAGTGGCCACAATGGCCTCTACAGGCTATCGCGGGAAGCCAGCGGTAGCCATCTAGTCGAGGTGCAGCAACACGGGATGCGACGACGGAGCCCAAACACCTTTTAGCATCATAGTCACAACGCAGTCACCGATGGGCTTCCTGGCTAGTCCATCACCAACCGACAATGTTTGCGACGTCCCGCATCGACGAGCCCTCGAGCCGAACAGCATAGTCTCCCACGCGAATCGAATCCCAGACACCCCGCATGCTACGATTGATGCCACATATTACAGCAGTACTCAGACAGCCTCGTCCACTGTCGCTTCCCCCCCCCCTTTTTTTCAAAAAGAAAACAGCATTGGTTCTTATTGGTTTGCCGACTCCACCTGAAACCACTCATCCTGCAAGAGGTCCTTTGCTGATGGCCTATCTCGTGGATCGAGTTTCATGATCTTTAGTACGAATGCGTTGTCTTCCCCAGTGATCTCCCGGTCCGTAATATACTCAAATGGCTTCATCATCCCATGAGGTACTCCTTTCATAACATGAGCAAGGATGCTCAAAGTATCTTCGTCTGATATGTCCTTGTATGACAAAGGGAATGGTCCGAAATATTGATGGTGCTTCATAAGAATCTTCAGTTCATAGTGTTCGTGATCTGCGGGGACATCCGGTTTGAAAATATGCCAGTTCCCTCCCCAAAGCAGGCTTATAAGCTGTGGTTTTGTCAGTCAATATATCCAAGATAATTGACCGGATCACTTGCCGTAGTACCGAGAGACCAAATGTCTGTGGCAGTACTCCATCTCATCTGGAGGTGTGCTTCGGGGCTTCGAAATATAGGTGCTCCGATAATATCGCCTTCCATTGCATATCTAGAATCCTCAGGTACTGTACTTCCACAATCGGCCAACTGCGCTTCAGTAAACCGGATATTCCCGGGGCCGTAGTTCACTAATACGTTATCAGGTTTGACGTCTGCAAATCAAACGATAATTAGAGCTTGTCACACATTTGGAGAAGCAACTCCAAGGATACCATACCTGCATGCACATAGCCATCCTCATGAAGCACAGACAGTGCTTCTAGAACTCTTCTTATCACGTACTTGACCTCCAGGCGAGTAAGCTTCTTAGCTGCCGAAGCATGTAAGAGGTCATCATCGAGGTGCTTTAGAACGAGCGCTGGGGGATCGGGAGGATCTCCCATTTCATCAAGTAAAGGACGAAGAGAGGGGGCCCGGGATTGAAAGCGCTTGAGGACGTCGCGTTCGTTTTGAAGGCGAAAATGACGAACGCTCTTAATCACGACCGGTTCTCCGCTCGGTTTGCTAGAAATCTACTGGTAAGCCTAGGGTGTACAATAATGAACTGTAACTCATACACTGCTAGCCAAATGGATTGATGAAGCTGCTTGATGATTGTGTAGGCGCTCACTTTCCCTTTAAGAAGCTGCCCTGATCCGAATATAGAAGTCATGAGAGAGTAGATTAGGATCCGGCGGACTTTGATGAACTCGGGATTTTGGTATATGGATGCGCTTCAACTCACGCGCCCTTCCGCGACGGTTGAGTAGGAGTTCGTGGTGAAACTGCTGGCACTTGGCAAGCTCAGGCTTGTTGATCGTTACCCTCTGATAATCTACGGGACCGAAAAGCACAACAACAGCCAGAACTTAAACTTTTGAGACCATCACGCGTCGCTCCGCGTTGACTTGGTACCTGTAATAGGGCTGCGAGGACAGCTGGCTGCACGCAGTGCACGGCCCCAGCGCCAGTTGCTGCAATTGGGCCTCGGATGTGCCCTTCCTAATAGACCGGTTTAGACGTTCGGCCTTGGCACATGCCTCCTCAACCGCGCCTCATATCAGCCTTTCCGTGTTTAAGTATTGTAGACGATCCCTTTCTCAGCTCGCAAGAACAACAGCCGTCGAAGTGCACACGCTTCGCATCATCTGATCGTGTCTGGCGTTGGTTGCGCAGACTCTCACCAGGCCCATCGCCATATGCTCCGCAGCCGTCGAGGCCGAGATCCGCCCCAAATACGAGCACACCGAGCTTTCACTCACTCACGGATCGTGACGAAACTATTGGCGCCAGTTTCGAGTATCCGCCGCTTTCACCTTCGAGTGCTCCGCCTCGCCCGACTTTCGCGCCTTCTCCAAATCTTCTGCTCCCAAACTTTCCGTCGCACCCAAATTTCCTGCCGTACCCAACGTTTCCGCCGTACCCAACCTTCCCGCCGCGGCCAACCTTCCCGCCACACCCAAATTTACCTCCTGCGCTTCCGGACGTCGCGCCCGCTCAGTCGTTCTACGCCGAGTCCACTGCTTCGCAAAGCACTGCCTCGAAAGGATCCAAAGTCGAGGATCCTCTCTATCGGACAACATACCTCGCTGGCAATAGAATATATCTTGTCCCGTCAAATCATACTCTCCCTTCGCCACTTGAATCTCTGGCGCAGAAAGTACATGCGTCACGCGACTCGCCGCAGCCGAGCCTTGAACACTACCGGAATGATGAGGACCTGATGGAGTTGGAAGAGGGTGTAGGAGAGGATAAGGTAGAAAGATACATGCATGACAAGGTTTTCGACGTCGGCTATACGCCTACTGTCAAACGAAGCGACAAGAAAAGGATGTTCCAAAGACACGTTCCTAATGACAACCAAACACCTCTTCAAGTCTCTATACCCACGCCTGATAGTGCCTTCGGATACAACCGCTCGAAAGCGTTCCCTGACAACATCCAGCTGATCAATATGGGCAACGACATGGTAGCGAATGGAGATGACCTTCTCTATCCTTTTCTCGCGGTCGAGTTCAAGTCGGATGGACCTTACAAGAGTTCAAACCTTTAGGTCGCAACCAACCAGTGCCTCGGCGCCGGACCTACTTGTGTCAACATCGCTGAAACTCTAAACGCCCGTCTTGAGGCATGCGCAAGCCCCAGACTCCAACGCGTGAACAGCACTGCCTTCAGTATTGCGATGAACGGCACCGAAGCTCGCCTGTTTATATCCTGGAAGGGTGAGGACCTCAAGTACTATACTAAGAAATTACATAGTTACCTGTTGCAGAGGCCTGAAGACTTTGTCAACTTTCGTGGCCATGTTCGGAACATTATTGATTGGGGGGGAGATGAGCGGCTGAACGAGATCCGAAAGGCTTTGGATGAGCTTCTCGAAGAGGGTAGACTTGAATCAAGCGCAAGGTTCAAGTCACGAGAGGCGCCAAGGGGCGATCTTGCTAGCGACCGTGTCCAGCGTAGGCGTATCACGTCGACGAGCACCCAAGCTGCACCAAATTGGATATGGAGTCAAGAGTATAACCAGTTTTATTATGTCAACGCGCAAGGGCAGTTTGGCGGTTGATATGGCGGTGCATCTTAGCAGGGTGTCGGGTACTATCATGCGGAGACACTAAGCTGGCCTTATGACCAAACTGTTGCAACCGGTCGCATTCGTAGCATATATGACGCTGGCGTCTTCAGTCTCCTCGCCTCGTAATTGATTTTGCTACGTTGCAAATGCATCGGTGGACGGAGAACGCTTCGGAAGGGAAAGCTCGTAGGCGCAGGCGTCTATGCCATTATGGCGGCCGCGAAAAGGTCGCGAAGCGGATTAAATTTTCCTGACGTAGTGGAGTCGATCCCTCCTGGTCATCTTCGTCGATGCCACCAGGCGCGTGGGCTCAGGCCCATACCTCTCCAGCTCTTCACAAAGGGCTCACCATGTCCTCGCTGCATTGTAATGAGCAGGAGCGGGTCGACACGCAAGCATGTCTGCCCATATCCGTGGAGTTGACTCGCAACCACCCATTGATATTGCTATTGGCAACTTCTTTAGAAATTGCGATAGCTTAATGGTGTTTCTCTAAGTACATTCGTGGCATCTATTTCAGCCCATTCTGTGGCAGTACGGACGGATGCTGCCGAGACGACATGACTACAGCGCTGGAAATTAGGACTTGCTACTCTGCAAAATATGTAGACTCCAGAACGGCCTGGCTGCCCTGGATTTCGAGGTGCCCGCTTTCAGGTCGTGGGCGGCTGGGGTCCCAGAACTGGTCCGTTTCCAATTTCGGGTTGCTGTTTTCAGACTTGGGTTTTCCACTTTCTCGAATTTAGACCAAAGTCCAAACAGGTCCCAGCCAAAACGGGCCTAGCCTGAAATGGCGACAAGCCCGTACCAACGCCACTAGCCGTACTCCTGGATGTCTACCTTGGTTTCGACTGGCACACTTGTCGGGTCATAACACAGCGCCGAGCAAGATCGGGCCGTTGCTCCACTTCGCTCCAGAGTGGAGATATCGCGTATGTTGTTGAGCTCGCCAACGGAGAGCAAAGAGGCTGAGCATCTGGCCATGTTCTTGATGTGACTTCCCATTCGGCGGCAGTGGCAGCAGCGCGAGTTGTGGCGCGGCTTCACGGAAGGCTCCACTCGCTTGACTTGTCGAATTACTGAGCACGAGAGCTCCAACGCGAATCTCCTCAGACTTTGTCGTGTGTCGAAGGGTCACCACTCCTTCTCCACCAAAAGGGGGGTGATAGTGGACGAGGCTGTCTGGTTACAGCAGTATTGGGTGGCACCGATCGTAGCATGCCGAGTGTCTGGTGTTCGATTCGCGTCGAAGGTGATGCCGTTCTGTTCGAAAGGTCGTCGATGTGGAACGTCGTTAGATTGATGATGGGCTGGCAGGAAGCCCATCGGTGACTGTATGTTGGTAGACGATGACCATCGTATTGTTGGGGTGTTTGGGCTCAGTCGTCGCATTCCGTGTTGCTACATCGTGGCTCGATGGCGCGGCCACTATCGCTGATGGACGCGTTGTGTTCGTGACTTGCTCGTAGGATTTTGCGTTCTGGCCCTGCCGTAACCGCGGCGGCAACTCTACCGGTACCGAATCAACGCTGAGGGAGGCGTGAAGGCTGGTAGAGGCGCAGATGTGGAATGACTAAGCAACCGGAAGAACATTTCTCCGGATATCTACCTGGCTCTTGAGGTGTGGGTTCTTACACACCCTTACTGTTGTCAATATTTTATTGTTTCGCTGATAAAACACCCTCTTTCTAATAACCACTGTCACACTCGACAACGTACTAGTGATAGCAGATCCGTCGGACACTATAATGTCGTTTAGCGTCGGCAAATTCCTTACTGGCGGCAAATATACCTACAAACTCGTGGAACAGCTTTAGCTAAACTAGACTGTTCTCTCTACCGTCTGGAAAGCCGAAATTCTTAACAACTCTAGATACTGAAGACCAGCGAAGTGGTAAGTATGCTACGTACTATTAGAGAATGCCAGTGTCTAATGCGTGGTCTTTCAGGGCCATCATCAAAACTACCACGGCAAAAAAGCAAAAAAGGCTCAGAAGAGAGCGCGAGGCATATAATAGGCGAGCAATCTATCAGAGCCGCCACATCCGGTCTCTGTACGACGAGATCAATCAGTACATAAGCGAAAACGGCTTCCATGGCAACACCGCTGCCTTTAAAGAAGCCGTGCAGTTAAATCCCTACTGTCTTGTACTAGAATATCTCGACGTGCCGCTAAGCGCACTTAACCCAGCTAAGTACAAGGATAATCCTGTCTTCATGGCCGCACTCTTCAAGGGCACGTTAGGAGGCGTGAAAGACGTTAGTCTTACTAAAAATGTCTGGACGGGTAAGTCTAGAAGACTAATCAAGCCTAAGCGACTGCCTATTCCCCTGTCTTAAACCAAGAAACTAACTCCTACCGCAGATTGTAAGCCTGATAATGTACTCTGCTCCAACGTCGACGGACGAAACCCAATAGTCAAGATCTCAGACATAGGCCTCTGTAAGTATCCATCCTCTTGTTCCGAACCCTATAGGATATACATACTAAACTTGCAATTTTCCAGGTCAACTAGACGGCTACAACCAGGTGCAAATGCAGTCGCCAGCCATGCGCGCTCCCGAGGTCTAGGCTAGATATAGCTGCCGCCACGTGTCAGACGTGTATTCTGTAGGATCTACAATCATCTCGTGGCTTCAACCAGGAGTCCTTGGCCCACAAGACGTCAAACCGCCCATCTTTGCGGACGCATGGTGCATTGCCAAGATAATCAAGCTGGTGGAGACGGAGAATGAACAGACGGTCGATCCGCCGGCTGGTGTCGCCAGTAATGTAAAGTCGATGTACGAGTTAGGTCGAGTACTTCTCACGCAGCCCAAAGATGACGATAACGGGAGCATGCACGTCCTAGCACGGCCTCTTAGGGAGGTCTTGTGGAGACTAGGCACCATGCCTAAGGTCAAGGCTCTCCTCCAGGTTTTACTTGCACTAAACTTCCAGAACCGCTTGCCAGCGGGGCAGGTGCTCACGTCGAAGAAGTACGAGGCACTTTAGCACGCTGCACTGAGCAAATGAACGTGCCCGAAAACAATCCACACGTCTCGGCTAAGTAGACCTTCGGGGAGATGCAGATTGCTTAAGGAAATCCCCACACATGCTAGCAGGGGCAGCTCTCCTCTCCGTCCTGATCATTGGTAGAGAATGTCGCAATCTTCAGTAGTCGCGTTGCTACGATTGGATGTTGGTGGGGGTGTTAAGGAAACGGCCGATGGTTGGGTAGAACATGGGAGTAAATCGCAGAATGCCTTGAGTGGGGTATTTTTGATCTCAGCCTCGTCCGTCTGCGACGTTGAGGCTGGCGTTTCTTGCGGAGTCGGGGAAATTCGCGGCACAGATGCCTTAGTTCGAGGCTGTGCTGGTGGCGGCGGCGGCGGCTGTTGGAGCGGTAGGGAGTTATGTCTCTCTTAGATTGTTATCTATTGCAAGCCTAAGAAAAGCATTGGACTTGCGTGGTGTGCGGGGAGCTAGATGTGCAGACGCGGATTGAGCGACTTGACGCAACGGCACAACGGCCAGAGCAACAAGCCGGCGCTGAAAGCCTAGCCCCACACCCCCAAATCCTCTCCCGCCTTACCCTCCGTGCCGTCTAGCTCTGAGAGCGAAATGAGATGCCACTGGCGAGGCGTACGAGACTTCTTTTTCATAGGAACTTGTTTAAGTCTAACGCGTCGCAGATCCTTTGCGCGAAGCATGATTCCCCCGAAGCCTCCGACCACGAAGCACCTTTCAGGACCCTCCACGAGGGCCTATCCGGTACGACTGAATAATTTAACGAGACGCGTCGCTGGAGGTTGCAACACTGGCGTTTGCTGGATGGACGAGGCGGGACGGGGAGGGGGGGGTGTATTCGGTAACGGCGTCGTAGACCTTGTTCCAGATGACTTCATCTGGTTCATTATTGAGGATCACATCGAGTAGAGGCCGGATCCGTTCGATGTCGAAGTCGTCGGAGCTGGCCGCTGAGTTAAGTCTCAAGAGTTCGTGGAAGAGATTCTTGCTCCTATTCCTGGAATGGAGAAATCGAGACGCGAGAAGAGTTTGCAAGGCGGAGACAAGAGCGACCAACAGATCCTGGATTTCTTTGTACGCGTTAGAAGTGCGCAATAACATGATTAGTCCGCATTACCTTCATCCGGTACCTGATCCAGCGCAGTGTAACTAGGAAAAGTTCGAGTTGGGAGTGATGGATAAACGGCTGAGGTCTGAGTGTGGTAACTAAGCTAGATACATACGTTACTGATAACCAAGACGAAATGTTGACTTGAACGGTTTAGTTGTACCAGTCGAGCTGAATACAAGATGCTAGCTATTCAAAATCTATCCCATCTTTACTCATCCACCATACCATGTATGTCCTTCTGGAGTTCTTCCATACTGGCATACTCTCCGTTCCAGCACTTTTTGATGATGCTCGCAAAGAGGATGTCGTCCGTCGCAGGCAGCTCTTCTGCTTCTGGCCAGCGCTCGGTGTCGAAGTAATTATATTTGAACTCCTGCCAGACGGCAATAGAGTACAAGATGCACCCGAGATGAAGTATCTCAATTTGAGGGGTGGTATCGTTGACACAAAAGCGTTCCACGTCGGTGTCTAATGGTAACAAGAAGGCTTCCCCAAAGTCTGACAGCTTTAAGGAATTGTCGTGTACGAGGATATTCCGGAGAGCAACGTCTTGGACGACAACCCTGCGAGCATGCGCGTAGCTAAAGGTATCCACCAGCAACTGAATCCACTTGGCTCTGAACGCTCGAGATGGTAAGGGGTTTGCCTGCATATAGGTCGATAGGTCGCCTTGGTTGGCAAAAGCGAGCTCAATTGACTCGTCCAGTGCTTTGAAACATTGGATGATTCCGTCATGGCTTCCCAGTCGCTCGTAGACGGCCTTCTCGTTCAGAATTTCAGCGCGATTTACCATGTTGGAATAAGCTGTGTCGGGGTTTTTTGAGGGGTAGATTTTCGGTTCTTTCATAACGCGATCTTCCGCAATTCGCCAAACAAATCCGAAGGATCCATTGCCGATTAACTGCCCGCTTTGATGATTGCGAGTTGGACTGCTGTACGCATGAGTCCACGCGGTCGTAGGAAGAGTTGGAGGCGGCGGAATTGCCATTGATAAATAACGCAACGCTGCCGGCGATGGATTTTGTTGGCAGTGGATCACAATACGAAAGGGACAGGTAGGACAAAAGTCGAATGGATCGAAGTGCTTGCAAGCGCTGGGAGGAATAGCGAGGATGAAGGGCAGGAACACATGGGGTGCATTATCGATAATCTCCAGGTACACACTCTGCGCTTTCTTTCGCGCGTGATATGATCGAATTTCTTGACGAGGGCGCTGTACCTCTCTGCGTGGCTGGCGGGTGAGCGGTTTACACGCTATGACCAGCCGTTCCTCAAGAGTCGCTCGATATACCGATGGGATGGTCTGGCCTTGATCTATGTCTTTCGAGATCCTGTCGATACGGGACAAATGTCGAGATGCCATGACAGCCCAAATAGTTCAGAACAGAACCTCGGGGAAGTTTGTGGGTTATAGGACAATACAGAGGGAGAAAAGGAGTGAGGGGTACATCACGTGATCTAGTGGCGCTTGAATTGAAGCTATTTATATTAGCCTTTCGATTCCGCCTCGGCAGCCGCACCGTCATTGTTTGATGCACTTCAGAACACTCGGCCTGAATGGATTCTTCTACTCAAACGCGCGTTATCGTACGTGTTCGTGTCACGGACATTCCTGGAAAACCACTTAGACGTCATACCACTCTTGCGGAAATATTTTGCAACCAAGTTCTCCATCGACCTCTAAATCCACAACCAAATCCTTCTTGCTATGATGGGATGCATATTCCGGAAGGGATCGATTCCGACAACCCAGTAAAGCGGTGGCTTATCTACGATATCAATGTACAAGGTCCGCTCAATCAGGAGGAACTACTCGACATTCCACATAAAGTCTTTCTAGCCTGCAAAAATGGTGAAGAATTGTAACGTACCTATGGCACTGCACCAATATTCGTCGCATTGACTTCCTTAGGACCTTCATCCCGCGAGAAATTTGGACGGAAGAAGCCAAGTTACGTTGCAAATCATACTGTTGGGGTGGACGGACGGAGCAGATGCTTATCGCTACTATGAGAGAGCAGGAGAGTAAAGTTGTTGGCCAGAAAACTGATTGAATTGGTGATCTTGACCCTGGATAGTTCCACCGCAATCCTAGGAACGGTATTCATGAGCTCTCGGGTGGAATTTCTCCTTTACATTCAGGACAGTTCTCATCCGGCTCGTCTTCCTGCACTACATGCACATCTTCTTGGTTGGCTGGCGGGCAAAGTTGGCCACTTAGAATTGCCGCGGTGCACCTTGCGAAATGTTTCACCCTCGTTCTTTCTTCACCTCGATTCTCATGCCGTCCGGAGCATTGAAACACGGCGCGAACTCTTTGGCACATCTGGTATAATGTCAGTACCTACGTTTAATTAACGCAAATGGATCATACCGTAAACTTTAGCTTTGCGTTCTCAAACAGGGGGCAGAGCAGGAAGCCGAGGCAGAAGCTGATCGGTTTGTTGGAATCCACTGAGCTATTGAATTTAGGCTTGATAGGAACTGTGAGAGGTTTATAAAGGTTAAAAGAGTATCCCTTCGCCTCTTCGTTTTTCGAGCCTTCAGCATCTCATCCAATCGGGTACAGCGGCCGTGGCTTACTCTGGGCACACATATTCGTTCCTCTTTTAGTAAGTTCCCTAAGTTCTCTAAAGTTCTCTAAGTTCCCTAAAGTTCCCCAAAATTCCCTAAAGTTTCCGAACGTACTCGAACGTCGCCATGCCTATACATCCTTCTACAACAACCACTTGTCATCATCTAGTTAAACGGAGCTAGCGTCTCCGTCCACGGCCTCTACACAGATAAGATCCATTTCAGGCGGCATTAGAACGATTTGCATATGCATTACTGTCAACGGGTTCAAGCCGAAATCAACACTGAGCATTATCCCGCCTGTAATCATCATCGCATACATCGCCACCTTGAGGGAGAGCCTCTTCTGGTAGCTGTGATCGGAAGTACAGGTCTTCCATAACAATCATTTAAGCATGCTGAGGCGTGCGTTGCAGACAGAAGCGGTTGCTAATATGCATACTCAAGAATGGAATAGTGCTCGAAATAACTTCCCCACGCTGTCATGAAGACTAATCCACATCCTACTATATCCCCGCCACCAAGGCAAAGAGCGCCCGCCTTATGTCCACCCGCAGCATGCATGCAAGCCATGAACACGTCCAGGATGAATGCTTCTGCGACTTGACTCCTTCGAGTCTTGGAGCACGCATTACCATCGACAGTGGAACGTCTGCAACGAGGGGAATGCCGCTGTTGCATCTGCAGCCGTGCTCGACAACGCCAGGGGCGCATAGGTGAGGGGAGTGAGTAGGCATTAAGCGCGGGAGAGAGGCGCAGGAAGATACGTATAAAAGGTTCGCGATCTGTTAAAGCCAGTTCTTCACCCTCTCTCGTTCGAATCACTCATCCCTTATCCATCCTGTGCATAACCCCTTGGCACGCTTCTTGTGACCATTAAGTTCATCTCCCCCCTTCTTGGGATAACCACCGTTTCTCTGAGGTGAGTGGCATCTTTCGGACGCTGAGGTGCGCTCGGATGCAAGCGATCGAAACATGCTCCGCCCTATTTAGCAACGTGATGCCTATGAAGGCGGCTACTCTAATACTCCCCGTACACCACCCATCTAACGATAGGCAACTCTCAATGACATGCACGTCCTCCACAACAAATTCGGGGAAGACGGCTTGGGTAGTTCGGGAAGAATTTTGGGAAGTGAAATTTGGTAGGCGAATTTTGGGAAAGTCTCTCCCCGCGTGACGACTGCCCCCACGGCGTTTGCTGGGCCGTGCGTTACGAAAGAACTAAAAGTTCTGGCATGTGCAGTAAGAAGTGCAGGAGCTTGAAAGCCAGAGGTTCCATTCTAAGGTTCCACCTGGGCAACCTTGGAAGGTTTGGAGGGGTCGTATTGCAGGCTGACTAATGCCTGTACGCCGCCGTGCGATATCCAACCACTCGGACGCGTCTATCTGCGGACCACCGAGCCAGACCCAACACCATCGTCTTCGCCCACCATGGCCGCCCCACACTCATTCCGGGCTCTCTCCAGGCTAGCCTCGAGATGCAGGCTCTTCAGCTCACAGCCACTGCAACCATGCTCCGCTTGTCGGACAGTATCCCGCCGCTTCCTCCAGACAGAAGCTACCCCACCACAACGCGTCCCCGAATTCGCCTTCGCATTTGAGTAAGGCAAGCATCCCAGTCTTCTTTAACCGTAGTAGCTGACGGGCGGTAGCATTGATGGCGTCCTCGTCCGTAGCTCCGACCCTCTACCACGCGCCCACAAATCCCTCTCCTACCTCCAGTCCCAGCGCATACCATTCATCCTACTCACCAATGGCGGCGGGAAGCACGAGTCGGAACGCGTGGACGACCTGAGCAGAAAGCTCAAGGTGCCTTTAGACACCAGCATGTTCATACAGAGCCACACGCCCTTCGCAGATATGGATGAATACAAGGACAAGGCGATTTTAGTAGTGGGAGGCGACGAGGACAGATGCCGCGTGGTAGCAGAAAAATACGGCTTCAAGACAGTGGTAACACCCGGAGACATCCTAGCAGCATATCCCGCAGTCTGGCCCTTCTCACAGCACCTTCTACCCTATTACAGGCGATTCACGCGCCCGCTCCCCGCGCCAATCGACCCTTCCTCGCCCTCTACGTCCCTCAAGATCGATGCCATATTCGTATACAACGACCCCCGAGACTGGGGTCTGGACACACAGGTTATAAAAGACGTGCTGCTCTCCAAACAGGGCATACTGGGCACGCTCTCCGAGAAGAACGGCGACCCTTCGCTACCGAATAAGGGCTACCAGCAGGACGGTCAGCCACCACTGTACTTCTCAAACCCAGATCTGCTGTGGGCGGCGAAATACCACCTCCCGCGGTTAGGTCAAGGCGGCTTTCGCGCGGCGCTGAAAGGTGTCTGGGCAGACTTAACGGGTGGAGAGAAAAACGGCGTAGAGCTCAAGAAGATAGTCATGGGGAAACCGCATAGGCCAACGTACGAGTTTGCCGAGAAGCGGTTGATTTCGCACAGGAAACATCTACTGCGGCAATATGACGGGAAAGTAGGACATTTGAAGAGGGTGTATATGGTTGGGGACAACCCCGCGAGCGACATCCTGGGCGGCAATAGCTATAGGAGTCCATATGGCACTGACTGGGTCAGTGTTTTGGTGCAGACGGGCGTTTATGTAGAAGGCACGGAGCCCGCGTATCGTCCTCGGAAAATAGTGGGCGATGTGTGGGACGCGGTCTGTTGGGCGGTCGCGCAGGAAGGCTGGAAGGTGTAAATACCTACATGCCGCCATCAGCACGTTTTTACTAACGTCCCCTACGTTACGCAAAATACTCCGTGCCGCAACAAATCTATCGTAGAAGCATCTCAGCTCTCTTCCCCACGATATATCAAGTCGTAGTTATTATGCTCCTCTTCTTTAGAGAATTATCCCAAATAGCACGCTACAAGCATCAAAACACCACTCACCCTATGAAAGTCAAACGTTACACGACTCTGCCGGACTCCATTGTTCTCGCTCCTCCTCTAGCCCCTAGTCGCGGCTTACTTTCACTCTCAACTAAGAAGCGACTAGCAGCGCTCCATGGCTCTCGAGCTTTTCATCCATCCCTGCATCCATAACCCGCCGCATCGTCATCATCCTCCGCCGCTGGACAAACCACTAAGAATACACATACAAGGACCGCTGGAGACCATACAGAAGCTCCTTCCGAACGAACCTTGGCCTCCGATCAAGCCTTTTCCACAGCCGGCGGGGCGGAAGCTTGCGAGCCTTACCCATTGACGGCGCTCCGATAGTGCGAGACGAGTACTTGGCGTGGGCAATAGAAGGAAGAAGAGCGTTAGAGTATGCGCGCATTGCCGTACAAACGCTATATACTGTCAACTGATCCATTATCCGCTCGTTGCTTCAGCTACATCGACTACTACAGCGTGACGTTCGACCACCTCGTCCCGGCCGATGATCCAGACCCAGAACTGCTATCATTGAAGTGGATCATGATGACGGAGCATTCGTCGACGGATGCCGCTTGTTTCGCGTAGATCTGGCGGGATACACGGGGTTGATGGCAGAGAGGGGCAAGGAGATGGAGGCGCCCGTTAGGTTAACGCCAGCTGCAACGACGGATATCCCAACGATCGGCAATCGCTTCGGTTTGAGGTACGGGTGGTTTCGCGCCACCTAGCGGGGACGTTATCTGTATTTAGTGTAGTAGAGCGTGGAGTCAAGCGTGCGTCACTTGATCACATCCGGCGAGGAGACTGTTCATAATTTTTACTCATATTTTGCGCATGTGCTACTCAATGGTACATGCAGATCACAAAACCTCCCAGGCTCTCAGCACGCAAATGCTCATCGCTATGCTCATATCCAAACGCGTATGTCGTAATGCCAAGAAAGAAAATATTGGGTATCTCATAATACCATTATCTCCAGATCTCTTTGACCTTCTCCTCGAGCCACTGGACGGCCGTTGGGGATTCTTCTTCCTAGTCCTCCAACCACTGAACATTGGTCAACGCACCGGGCCCAATGCCGAAGGCTGAAGCAACCTTATTGCCAATCATACCCGACTCTAGATCCCGCGCATACACATCCACATTGTTCGTGTTCTGGTTGGCGACTGCGATCATGGAACCGTCTTTGTTCGTGCTGAAGTGCCTGGGGAAGCTTCCGCCGCTCGGCACGAGCTGCACAAAGTTCAATTTGCCCTCGCAGCTCGGCTTGAAGGTAACGATGGAGTCGCTGCCGATCTCCGTGCTGTTGCTGGGATCGGGGTTCGGCACCATGGCGATGGTGTTGTTGCGGTTGCTCGCGATGACGAACTTGTTGTCGGGCGACATGACGATCTCTGCAGCTGCAGCGCCCTCGGGTGCAGTCTTGTTGCCATATGTGCTCACTTCATCGACTTGCGTGAAGGTCAAACCGCCAGCCTCGAGATAGCCGACTTGGTAGCTGATGATCTTGTTGACGAGCTCATGGATGACGAAGAGGTAGGTAGTTCCGTTTCCAGACGAGCCGCTGGAACTCCAGAAGGTAGCGTGGCGCGGTCCGTAACCAGAGGGCGATTTGAGGTCCTCATGCGGCGTGATGTTGCCGGTGGAGGGATCGATGCAGTATACGTGCACGCGGTCAAGACCAAGATCTGGAAAGACGAGGTATTGGCCCGTGGGGTCGAGGATTGCTTCGTGGACGTGCGCTTTGTCCTGTTGCGGCTTGGGGCCGTGGTTGTCGCCGGGATAGGTGAAGTTCTGGAGCGGGGTGTAAGCGCCATCCGCGCTGACCTTGAAGGTAGAAATTGCGGAGCCGGCGTAATGGGCGAGTGCTACCGCCGTGTTGTTATTGTAGAATTTTGTGGCTACGGGTCCCGAGATTGTGAGTGAGCTATGGATGGCGCTGAGTTTGCCGGCTGCGTCGGCGGTGAGCGTGAAGATGGTGCCATTTGGCCCCGTGAAACCCTCGTCTATGCAGACGACTTTTCCGCCTCCTAGGGAGAGATCGAGCCAGGATGGTGCGCTAGCGCATTGGGTGTTCTTGGAGACGGCCGTGAGCGCTGCTGAGGCGATGGCGTTGCTATCTGCGAGCCCCGGTGTCATTTGAAGCGTGGTAATCGTGCCGTTGCTGCCGTCGCCGGGGCCGTATGACGAGACTAACAGCTTCGCTGCGGATGCGGAGCTTGCCAGACCGGCAAGCAAAAGATTTCGAAAAGTCATTTGTGAAGCGTTGATGTTGGAGTTCAATAGAAAGAAGTTTGGGGCGCCCGGGGAAGCGAGGAGTAATAGGCCTTATAAACCGAATGAGTGACGTGTTGTGAAGTGACAAAGTCTTCGAATGCACCAATGCACCAGACACATCTACCGGGCGCTTGGGGTCGTGTGAACCGGCAGCGTGAAGGCTAGCAGTCGGTTAGGTTGAAAAAGAACGTGAAAGCAATTAAAAGTGAAGACAAAGACAGGGCGCGAAGGGGAAAGGGAAAAATGTAAGATGCCGAGTGGAAGGGGTATGAGTAAGTGCCGGCGCACAGGGACAAAGTCCGCAGCGTACGCAGGCCTAATTGGAGGATTTGATGAGCGGGGGATCGACAGCCGGGAAAGGGGAGGGTAGGGCCGGGCGTTCAGCCTGGATTTCGCAGATTAAAATACTTTATTGAAGCCGCATTGACTGCCCGGCCCTGGGGTTTAGCGGCTGCATTGACTCTGAGCAGCAGCCGGCATGCAGTCACGCATTGGCGCATAGCGGGCTGTGGGTGCTTGGCCGTTCGGTTCGGGTGGATAATTGTCATTGGTTTCAGAGCCCTGTGGGGACTTGGGATGAAGCGCTGGACGGTGATGATGGCGTTGAGATGGGCGCGATGCAGGTGGACAGGAAGCAGGCGGGCGCGCTAGTCGAAATGGCTGGTCGATCGGTGTTCTCGGTGCGGCCTTTTCGGCCCGTTGAAACAAGAAGCCGCCCACGGCCACGAACGAGAGGGCAGGCACGACCGATCGCCGCTGTTTGTAGCTCCACCATGTTTCAGCACATTACACCGCCAGCCTCTGAACACCGCCGCGCTGGCCAGCTGTCTCGGTGCTATAAACGCCATTTCTGCGACTCCGATGTCAATTTTTGCGCAACAATGAGGATGCGGGCAAACCGCCGCGTCTCGTCCCGACAACGCGACGTGCGAGAGCCGCACAACACCAACACCATCGGATTCTGGGGTCTAAAATGTGTCCAAGAGAATGCACCGAAGACCGTAGTTTTCTTCGACGGCCGCTGAGCGATTTTCGTCCAGCCCGAAATGAGGTGCAGCAGCTCTTAACAGTAAATTGCCTCATCATCGAGTGGGTACCTTCATATGTGGTCTCTACTTTTCAGGCAATGGGATGCTAACCTCCGTCAGCGTAGCTAAACTCAACGTTGCATTCTTTCGACTCCGGGACCCGAATGCTTCATGTTTAAGTGAGGGTGCCTCCGAATGGGACGGTTGAAGTACCTCCGTACCCAATGCAGATATACGCATTGCCCTCCGACATGGACGCTGTTTCAACCTCAGGCTACTACACGCGCCCTTCCAGAGGACTTCCAGAGGACTTCCAGAGGACTTCCAGGGTTGAAGGCCACACAGAGGGAACTGTCAAAACTACCGCTCGTCCGAGCTGAGGACTACTTGTCAAGAAACCTAAGATGGATGTCCGAGATGCAGATCATAGGAAGCCCTGCCGGTGAACCAATTGAGCCAAAGCAGTCCAGCGACTCCAATAGGATAGCCCGGAGCCCAGGTCGAACGCCGCATGGCCAACGACACACCGTCCCCGAGTATGGTGCATCTCTGAAGGTCGAACAACCAACTACGAGCGACGAGCGACGACCGTCAATCGACCAAATTCTCAGATTGCTGCTGGTGAACGCTTGCATGGCTCCCTCATTCAGCGTTATATGCACTGGAGGCTTACTTTCCAACCCGAGATTCAGTTGCTCTTACTCCTCCTTCTCTTCTGCCATTTGACGTGAGATGCTCCGTGATCTCATTTGCAGAAAGCTCTTTCGTGCCTTTTCTGATTCTCCCCTTAAGACTACTCTTCAATAGCCCTTCTTGTGCACTTTCGTTTCTGGCATTCTCCCTTCGAGCCACCATCTCTCACCTCTCATGGCCGCAAGCTCGATGGCTCTCACTGTAGGATCCTCGCAGCCACCTTGAACGAACCTGTTTTTCCTCTAGAAATCTAATTGGCTACCTCACCCTCGACTACCTCCCTTCCGGAAGAACTATACTCACTTGATATCTCACTTCGAAACGCCACTGGCTACTGGTCTCCCTAGTTTACAGTGGACCTTCATCCGCCCTTCGACCTTGCAAGCGCTTCCGCCAGTGGAATTGAGCCCTTATCGCACAACAGCGTCTCGTGGCTCAGTATACCTTGACTGCAGCGTACTCACTATCGTCCGTCTCCGTCACCCAGGCGCGCACTTGAACGGCGACTCCATAAGCCTGGATCAACTTTCCAAGAAGCTCGTCAACCGCTATGAACCGATACCTTTGATGAGCAGAACCTCTTACTTAGTACGGCTCTGCCAGCAGAAGCACGAAAAGTCTCAATGACTTTTCCTTTCAATGTCTCTCTTCATACCACTTCCTTGGGTTCCGCGTACACACTGCTAACACAATAAATCCAGGTAGCATGGTCGGCTAACCTGGGACCACCGCCAGGAACACGCGCCTCCTATCCTCGCGGCAGCTTCGGGAGTTCAGATGGATCGCTATTGGGTGAGGGGTCCACATCAGCCGAAGAGGAACAGGAGCGCAGCTTTGTCCGAGGAGGACAATGGAGAGGGTAGTGCGACGAAGCGGCAAAAGAAGGATGCAGTGACCATCAACACTGAGAATGGAGGGTACGAAGTGATCATTGTCGAAGACAACGACGAGCCCCTTACTATTCGAAAAGGAAGCGGCGCAAGGGATGACCCGATCACGTTTACGGAATGGATTACCGGCAATCTCATTCCTGATGCGCACGACCAGATAGCCTTCGTTATATCTGACAGCGATGATGAAGAGGACGAACCCCAGAAGTCGACGTCGCGCCGCTCGTCCACCCTCAGGTACTCGACGCCGCTGAGGACTCCCACCCCGTTTCCCAAAATCGATTCAGAAAGCCCGCTTCGGAGTTTGCAAGATACACCAACGCCGCGGTGGAGACTTGAGCTTTCAGACGAGGAGGAAGACGAGGATGAGGATGGTACAAAATGTGTCATCGTGGTTGATGGCGACGAAGACGACGAGGACGCGGATATCGAGAGGATATCTCGGAATATTCCATTCTGGGCGGACTGGGCTACGACTGGTACTGTCAAGGATGAATCAGAAGAAGAAATGCCAGGCCTAAGTTTGTCGCAAGAGACGCAAGAACCTGAAGAACCCGAAAGTCCGCTCCTCAGCCGGGGCACTTTTAGAATCCCAGCGTACGAACATGGGAAAACGCGGGAGAACCCTCTTTGGAGTGCGATTGAAACCTCAGGGTCATCAGCGCTTTCCGCATTGCCTCCGGCCTCCACCAAACTGAACGGACTCGCTACTAAGAACGGGCTAGAGCAGGCCCGGAATCAAGATTACAATGTATTCAAGAAACGGCTATTCTACAATACATATGCGGAAAATATGTTCCCAAAGCTACGCGAGAGGTTCGACAAACTATTGCAGGATATCCCGGGGGACAGAACTCCGAATGTTTGCTGGCTCTGGCAAGGCGAGCCCCCAGGAAACAAGCACCGCATATCTATGCATATCTCGTTTCGGCATGAGGGCAAAGGACACCACATAACGGCCAATATTGGCTTCGTTGGCATGCTCCTTGAGGGGCTCCTGACCGTGGAGGCCAAAGAGGGCATCATACAACATCGGTGGCACGCGAGCCACATGTGTGGGAATTGGCGATGCGTGAACCCTCATCATATCATCGCCGAGGATGGATCTACCAACGTGAAGCGAAATGCATGTTTTCATGCTCCGACACCGATCAAATGCGTTCACAACCCCCAGTGTTGGACACATCTGACTATTAAGAAGAAGGCGGATGACGGAGGAATCTGTTCAAGAAGCTTGGCCAACCATCAGACGCAACGCCTTCGCCCAGAGATATCCCGAAGTTCCCCATTCCACCAGTTTTCAGCGGTCTAGCCGAACCATATTCCAGTCCCACCGTCTTCGCACCACCCTTTCTGCGATCTTCTCCGACATCTTTTCCATATATTTCAATGGGTCTGCCACAGCCAGCAAAACAGCTACTACTAATGTTCTTGGTCATGTCCCCCAAAGTTATCTCTCTTCGGCTCAGATATTTGTCTCTCATCATGGGCAGTATATGGGTTATGGTTCCAATCAATTCTTCATCCGAATATTTGCTTCCACGTTCTTGGCTGCGAGCAAGGATAACTATCGGCTATGGAGAGACCAATCACGTCCCTGTAGATGCACGGTTCCACAATGAGTAAGCGCATTGTCCACTTCAACCGCCAGGGCTCTCAACGTCTCATCCCAACTTCCATCTTAGCACGATGGCATTCATACAGCTTAACCCATCCACTCATCAATATCGACCTAGTTCATAACGTCAACGCCCTTTTGTGGGCGAGCCCCAATCGTATGCAGTGCAGGAGGCTATCGCCGAGCATTTGCTTGCGGGCGGCATGAGGCGGCGAGAAAGCGACAGCTCGTCCCATAAACGCCAGTCGCTCAAAGTCTGTGGGAGGGCCTCGTGTCCATGGGCAGCATGTACGGCCTTCACCTCTCCAACGTCATAAATCTAATTGACCGCCCGTAGACTGAAGTATCCCTGTGTCCATACGGCTGCGTGCAGAGAAGTTCCTTCCATGAGCTGGGATGCAAGATAGATTGGAGCCCTTCACGACAGCTGTGATGGCGAAGACATGGAGACCACGCAGCTCCGAGGCGAAGAGATAGAGGAGGCACCACAGCACCGACGACGAGACATATCGCAGAAGCGGCGGACGACAAGGAGCGCGCAATCTTCCCAATGGGGTAGGCAGACGCGGGGCCAACAGCTAACAGTCAGCGATCAAAGACAGTGAGAAACATGCGCGCGGACCACGCGCCACTGGACGTCTCACCTGGGCATAATTGCTTCCGCGCAAATTGTTTCCCGCCATGGAGAGGGAGAGGGAGCGGGCTTCCATTCGACAGTTGCTCCGCCTGTTTGGGTGTGGCGTGTGTCCCTGCAGACGGCCGTCCGGGCAGCGCACAGCAGCCAACCCGCTTTGCTTCACCGTTCGGCCTCATCGCTGCCTCGCCGCGACTTCCAAGGTTCGTTCCTGGACACGCTCTTTCCCTTCCCACCTCCTCCGACGTCACGGATGAACCCGACACGCCGGGCGCGCGTGAAATGAAGCGGCTCAACGTATCGCCGACCCCGCCTTGAAAGCTGTCGCCCGCACACTCCCCGTCGCCCGTCGCTCGTCGCACAAAGCATCGCGCCCTCAACAGGTTCGTCTTCATTTGAGTCTCACGTCTTGCATCGTCCCTCCCGTTGCATTCCATCAACGTGGCGCCCAAGGCAAGGAGTCGCGGCCGGCGTAGTGAGTATCATCACATCCCTCGTGCCCTCGCCGCTCTTGCCATTCCCACACCCGAGTGCCTTCAGCGAAGCTAACGGCCATGGCCTAGATCGCCGTGCCCCTGCCGCGCAAACCGCCAAAGCACGACTTCCCGTTGGCACCCCCGGGCAGCAAGGTGCCCCTTTGCACTCGCACATTCAGATCGTACCGCGCGCAGACGGCGAGGGCTCCGAAGGCCTTCAGGAGTACGAAGACGACACCCCTACCTTTCGTTCACCATCTCTTCAGTTCCCGCAGTCCTCTGATCAGCAGTCTCGCAGAAGCAGCGCTCTCAGCGAAGATACCGCCACGGGCACGACCTTCGCAGATATGGCGCGCCGCTACAATAAGTCAGACCTCGAAGGTGCCGAGCGACCGACTTCTGGGCCCCTCCCACTGGCGGGCTTGATCAGGCTGCAGTCTGGTCGCAGCAGGAAGGGAAATAAGCTCTGGCGCCCGCTTCAGCCCAGCGACTTGGGTGGCAGTGAGAGGAACGATGCCGGAGACTTTGACGTTGACAGCTCCTTCTCGCCGATTGACATCTCGGAACCGCTGACTAACACCGACGCCGCACGCCCGCTTCCTGCTCACAGATTCAGGGGCGGAGGGTCACCATACGACTTGGCCCCCTTGCAGACGGATACGTCGATGAAGACAGCCCGGCAACATAATGAAGCGTTGAACCAGTCGACCGAAGAAACACCGGTATCTGAAACAATGGACAGCGAGGACATTAGTCCCACCGACATGAGCTTTGGCGTAATGGAGAACTATACGAGGGTTTTCGGGAAGCTGCCGGACCATATACGTCTGCAGGAGGAGACGGGCGACTTTGACGGCCAGGTTGTCTTCATTGGCCATCCGAATCGAGATGTGTACGCTCATCAGTGGTCATCGGCTTCCTTTCAATGGGTGAGCGTTGGGAACTGGTCTCACGCTCATCGCAGGGTGGAAGGCTTGCTTGCTGGTCAACGATTGCCAGGGACCAGGCTCCCTTACAACTCCATTGAGTATTTCAAACTCGCGGCCGAGAATCAAGAGAAACTTATCAAAGAGTTTGGACGTCCGGAAGAGGATCCTGCACCAACACGCCCCACATTCACTGAAGCAGACAGGATGGCTTCACTTTCAAGCGCATCCGAGTCGCCGGATAATCAGTTCCCAACCCTTGCACGAACGACTGCAGCACATGCGACTCCCGAAGAAGGCTCAACGACGACATCGGCCACTCGTAATGTCACTAGGGAGCATCTAGAAGATCCGTTCGTCACTCCTGCGAGGCCACCGCAACCAGCTATACCTACCTCTCTGAAGTTTGGAAGTGGGGGACCTGGCGCGATAGGTTCAATGAATTTCAGCTACGAGTTCCCCGTCAGGCCAAGAGCTACTTCCGGGCCTTTCCATCATCAGAGTCCTGAGCTCAATCCTCAACAAGCGTACATTCAGCGTGAACGAGAGCGTCTCGAGGCAATTCGCCGCGGAGGAGAGTTGCGCGAGACTCCAACACATCTCCGTGAGGTTGACTTTGGCGAGGAGGCCTCCAGCGCGTTTGCAACCCCAGCTGTACGTGGTACCAGCATCCGCACGCGAGCCTCACTTTCCCCAGAAGATGTTCACAATCGACAGCAGCTGAAGAATAGGCTGGCTGGTCTCGGTGGTCAAGCCGACCGACCAGCTTTGCCGGCTGATCGGCGTGTTCCCGTTCCCGACGTGCAAACCAACATTCGTGCCCTGTTTCCACCAGGACCAACAGTTGCCAACCCATATCGACGTGTTTCAACACTGAACGCCAATGCAGTTCCTTACACTTGCGCATCAATTGCCGCTCAAGTATCCGAAGCCTCCGTGTCAGAAGTGACAACGGTTACTGCTGGACCTGCTCCAAATCTGCATGTCAGCGATCCTGACGGTCTTCGACAAGCCCGCGCTCAAGAAGTCGCAAATGGCCTCGGCCAGCAAGCTCCTACGCGGCAGAACTTTAATGGTCCATTCTTCTCTGAGTCAATGCCGACTGCATATGATCCGACGGTGTCGCTCACTATTCAAGTCAACAATGACGAGAAACTCAGCACCTGGTTCCGCGATGGGCAACGACCTCTCAGACAACAAGAATATGCTAAGACCCTCATGGGAACGACTAATAAGACTAAGACCTTTGGTGCCGTTGGCGATGGATCCTCCAGAATGCAGAATTCTACCAAGTACGAGAACACTCCGTTCTTTGTTCGCGCTTATGAGAATCTCTTTGAGTACGCCGAGGAGTCTCGCGCTGGAGGTAGCTCAAGCTACTTCACGAGGGCGTGGAAGCCCGCATCACTTCATTTGCGTGACCTCAGCCCGAATGGCAACAACAGCTTCTTCAGCGACGTCTCCCACGCGTCGCCACAATTGAGGAGAGAAGCCAATCGGGCGGTTCCAACCTTCTCAGGAAGCCCCTGGGGAGGAGGTATTGGCTTGTCTGCGGATTCCCCGTTCCACTTTTTCGAAGAGCTCGTTGTCCCAGATGATGATTCGAGCCACCGTCCTCGCCGAGACTTCTAAGAGCAGGTAAGCAATTCCGCCCTTCTCTTTATACCCTGTGACTACATTCTGACTTTTTAGACTTGGGAAGACTTCTTTTCATGCCCTCGGTTAGTAGCCGTCTGGCTTCCAATGCGCTAGCTTTCGGAGTTTACAAAACTTTCAGCTCTCCATCCGTTCGTTGACAAACACTACGAACACACGTCTTTGCGACTTCATGATTCTTAATGGATACCCAGTCCTGGATGGCGTCAAGGCTGGGCATTGGGCGGTTCTCTGGCTGCTTTTATTGAAGATATTGTTGCTTGGGAGGAACACGGCGAGGCAATGGCCAGCGCATGGACATGGATGGTATGACGTTACAGGGAGCAGACGATGCAGGCGTGTTTAAATATCCACCAAAGTGCCAGAAGGCATGAAAGCATGATTCTATAAACCCTATGATTTGAAGACAATCCCTAAGACTGCGGTGCTGTGATGTGATTGCTCTACAGACTTGCACTCGTTGTAAGCAAGCTAAGTCTCGAGGTACAAGGCTTATTGCGTGCCTCGCTCTCTTAGGGTCAGGGCGGGCGGTGTTTCGTGCATCAACGCGGGGTGAATGACGCGGTCCCTTCGGCTGGCTGTGTCCGTGTAACGTCTACGCTGCGTCCCGTCAGAGGCAGCCCGTGGTGGGCAATTACTTGCTCCGCCGTTAGAAGTGCTCAAAGGAGCAAATACTGGGGCCTCAGATGCTTTCCCATGTAGTTGTGGCTTGCTCATCAGGCCATCAGTGACATGTAATAGCCTTCCAGAGTTCTTTTCGTTCATTTGCTGTCCCGCAACAAATGTCCTGCTGATCTGACGACCCGAAACGGTGCAACAGTGACTGACTTGTGAGCACATACCCATCCATCACTAGGATATAAGGCTCGCACGCGGGACATCCGTCGCACAGATGTTGCGCATCGGGAAAAGGCATGGGGAGAAGCCTCGTTGGCACTCGGAGCCAGCCAATCTGTCGCAAGGCTCAGAGAAAGCTTGGAGCCCGGCACGTCTTCTGTGTTGCTTGTAATGCTTGTATCCCGTGCCAACATCAGGTCCTTCTTAGAAAGGCAATTACTCCCGGGTTATCATCCAACAACTGCTGCCGTATATACGCAATGTGACGGTTGACGTTCCCGCCGGGTGGGTAGAGCGCCATTCACCTCATATCGTCGACGCGGTGACCGCTCCTTCCTTCCTCGCTAGCTAGATAAGGAACGTGTCGCACGCCGCTTTTCTCTCTCTTCTTATCAGGGACCGGCTACTTTCGGCCAGATAGACCGATATCAGCGGGTGAGCTCTAGGGCGGAATCGAGAGAGCCCTGCCGCGGACGCAGATATAGACTCTCAATCTCCTCCACCCGCTCTGCCCTCGACACCTGCGCTCCACTCCAACTCCTCCCGCCCGTCCTCACCTCTGGACTCGAAGCAATCGGGTCGACTCACCTACCGTAACCGCAAACGCCGCCCACCATGCCGGCCGGGGACATTGGAGATGTAAGTTTAGCCCGCGCCCTCCTTCTCCTGTTTATGTGGAAAGCAGTGTTGACGCGCCTGCCCAGCAAATCGAAGCCAAGGTCGACCCTGCACTCATCGATCGAAGTGGAGATCCTGACCACAAGCTGCCGGCGTCCGCCCATCGAGTGGGGACATTGCCGTCTGGGTCCGAGTCCTTTGAAGGTGCTAGCGATAGCGCTCTCTTGCCGAGTGCGGAAGAGCTCGAGACTTTGCGTCGTGTGCCCGCGAAGATCCCATGGAAGGGTATGTATGGGCTCGAGTGCTGCCTCTGCGTCGGCCGCTGTAACGATATATGGAAACTGGGTGCTGACTTGCTTCAGTGTTTACCATCGCCTTTGTGGAGCTCGTGGAGCGCATGTCCTACTACGGTACGGTAGCGATCTACACAAACTTCATCGCCTACAAGAATCCGGGTACCAGGACCGGCGCTGCTCCAAACCCCAAGGACGACCAGGCTCAACCCGGCGCCCTAGATTTGGGCAAGCAAACTGCATTTGCGCTCACTACCTTCAACAAATTCTTCATCTATATCATGCCGCTATTTGGAGCATGGGTTGCTGACACCTACCTGGGGCGATTCAAGACCATTGTCTACTCGGTGCTTGTCGCTGAGGTTGGCCATATGCTCCTCGTGGGTTCGGCAGCGCCTGAAATGCTCGAGAAACCGAAGAATGCGCTCGGCCTCTTCATCATCGGTCTCATCATCATGGGTCTCGGAACGGGTACATTCAAGCCGAACATCTCGCCTCTCATCGCCGAGCAGATCCCGCAAGAGAAAATGCAAGTTGAGACCACGAAGAAAGGCGAGCGTGTGATTGTTGATCCGGCGGTCACTACGTCGAGGATCTATAACTGGTTCTATATGTTTATTAACATTGGTGCCCTCGTCGGCCAGCTGGCTATGGTAAGCACTTACACCGTTCTCCACATCCAACCAGCACCAGTCGGCCAGGTATTGCGGGTTGGAGCTCATCAGGCTCTACAACACGCGGACGACCCGCTCTCATATTACCCCTTCCATCGAAGAATGGCGTGTCTGACAACAGCATAGGTGTACACGGAACGTTATGTTGGCTTCTACGCCGCGTTCCTCATTCCTACCCTCTTCTTTTTGACCACGCTTCCTGTTCTCTTCTTCTGCAAGAAGCACTATAGGCTGGCGCCACCGTCGGGAAGCGTTCTGGGTCCAGCCGTCAAATTGCTGTTCCGCGGCACGAAAGGTCGATGGCACCTAAATCCCGTCGCGACCTATAGGCATATGAATGACGGCACGTTCTGGGAAAGCGTGAAGGTACGTAGGCCTGGACCAATAAGACTGGACCTTGCTAACGTCTTCTTACAGCCTTCGCACCTGGGAGCGGCAAAGCCGTCCTGGATGACTTTCGACGATGCCTGGGTGGACGAGGTTGCCCGTGGATGGTCGGCTTGTGGTGTACTCCTCTGGCTACCGTAAGTCTTCGCAATTTGTCCGTGGTGTATAGTAGAAGTGTTACTGACTATACATGCTAGGCTCTACTGGCTCACCTACAACCAGATCGACAACAACATTATCACCCAAGCGAGCACTCTTGCTCTCCACAGCGTGCCGAACGATCTTCTGCAGAATATCGACCCTCTCGCTATCATGATCCTAGTGCCCTGTAAGCTGACTATCTGGATGTATGCACAAGAAATGCGGTACTAACGGGTAATAGTCTTCGATCTTCTCGTCTATCCCTTCCTGCGTAAACGCGGGATCAAGTTCACACCGGTGAAGAAGATCACCGCTGGTTTCATGCTGGGCAGTGCCGCCATGGTTTGGGCAACGGTGGTTCAGTACTACATCTATAAAACGTCTCCCTGCCATAAGGAGGCGACCCCCAAGTGCCACTCTCCGATTAACGTGTGGGTCCAGACTGGCCCCTACGTTCTGATCGCCGCTTCGGAGATCTTTGCATCGGTCAGCTCACTCGAGTACGCGTTCACCAAGGCGCCGAGGAACATGCGAAGCTTGGTTCAGGCGTTCTCACTCTTCACGACCGCTCTGTCTGCTGCACTCGGCGAGGCATTCGTCGGCCTTACGGAAGATCCGTACTTGGAGTGGAACTATGGTGTTATGGGCGTGATCGCGTTCATCGGAGGCTGCCTCTTCTGGCTCACCTATCGGAGTCTCGATAAGGAGGAGGACCGACTCAACATGCTCCCGGCAGGTCATAATCTCAATACTCCAGCGCACGCAGCGGACTCCGAGATGCAACCGTCCATCGAGGTCGAACATGGGAAGGCGGCCTAAGCTGTCTGCTAGGTTCCAGGTCTTGGGACGACGGGCAGTAGCTCATATGTCTCGGCTCGAATCATTTTTTTTTCATGGGGCAGATCTTTGGGCTCTAATAATACGGGGTGGAGTTCGGTCGGAAGATTTAGGTGGCGTCCCCTACGATACCATTGCTGAGCGTGAAGGAGCATCTCCGAGCATATATTCGTCCTTGATGTGGATAATGAGTAGCGAACGTATTCAGTACGTGATTGCAAGGATTCGAATGGACGTCGGTGATCTCATGATGCTCGAGTAGTACCTCCAGAAGGGACGTTTGAATGATGTTCGATACACTTCTAGCTAGCTACGGGCTCTGGCGGATAGTGAATCTGACTGCGCGACGAAACCAGTCGCATCGGTGGAGGGCTGAAGATAACTCTTGAGCAATTGATGAACATGAGCAGGTGAGGGTCCTCTCTTTGTTTGGTGAGCGTTAGAAGACGATGAGATGAGGTTGCGCGCATTCGACGGATATAAGACGGGAGATAAAAATGCCAAGTGATTGGGAACCTTTGCGTCACTCCGATGAACCGCCGCCCCTCTACAACAGCCAAAACAGTATCCTTTCCCACCCACGACTACAAGCACCATGGACGATCCGAGCCGTCTAGTGGTGCCTATAATGGGCGCGACGCCATACCTACCAGACGAGCTGCTCCTCGAGATTCTCAGCTATTTTCCGAGGGGAAAGGATAAGGAAAGCCAGAGGGCGATTGCGAGGTTTTGCGCGGTGAACAGGTAGGTATATTCTTTTCGAGGCTGCCTGTTGATCTGGAAGCTCCCCAGGACTGTTTTGAGAAAGCTTCCGGCGCAACATATACGTCTAGTTCTACTAAAGTTTGCTGACAGTCTATAGGCAGTGGTACGACGTGGGTATCCCCTCCCTCTACGAAGCGCCCTACCTCTCCGGCTCCGCATACGCCCTCTTCGTCCGCACAATCTGCCCCTCGGTCCTCGCGCACATCCGCAAATCCGAGCTCGCCGGCCTCGTCAAAATGCTCGACCTGTCGCACATCGTGCATCAGGGCAACAAGTCCACGACCGCACGCCTCCTCGGTCGCACAAAGCCCAGTCTAGAAGTTTTCATCGCGCCGCAGGCCAGCTTTGCAGTGAACTGCTGGGCGAGCCTGAGCAAGTGCAGTAAGCTACGTGTACTGGATCTGAGTCTGGTGTCCGAGCAGATCAGCTTTGAGAGCTTGAACCAGACGCTGATGAAGCTGGCGGCGTTGACGGAATTCTACCTCCCGAGATGCTCGACGAGGTACGAGGACGCAGCCCGATCCATGACCCTGCGATTACCCCCGCGATTGCAACATCTCTCCCTCTCGGGCAACATCCACGGCCAGCTCTACTACGACGTGATGCGCCAGCCCGACATGTTCCCGCCCACCATGCACAGCATGAGCATCCTGCACTGTCCCTCCCTCAGCAACACGAGCATAAAGCCCATCTTTCAAAACCTCGCCGGCGCACTCACCACCGTCGAGCTGCGCGACCTGCCCCGCGTAAAACAAGGCCAGTTCAACGGCGTCCTAAACTGGCTGCCCAAACTCGCCAGCCTCACCATCGCACTCGACTACATGGACGACAACTTCGGCAAGAACACCAAACCCACCGGCTACTACACCACCCACTGGCGCGAATCCAAGCCCCTGCAATCCCTCACACTCGTTACCTCGGGCCAGACAGACGTCGACCCGCAGACTGCGTTTACCGCCGTGGATCTGTACCAGCTCATCGACGAACGGTTCCTCGGACGGCTGCGCTGGGTTAGAGTGGCGCGCAGCACTGGCTGGGAGAGTAAAGAGGAGGGCGCGGAGCTGGAGGCCCTGGCTATGTTGCTGGTGGGTGAGCTGGATAAGGACAACTGGAAGAAGCGGAGGTGGCATTATGAGGGGCTGAAGGGCCTGCCTGAGGGAATGACGTACGAGATGTGGTCGCTGGACACGCCGCTGGGGAGGAGGATGAGACCTTGGTTGGGGATACTGAGGGATCGGTAGTGCGGTGCTGTGGTTGAGGTCAAGGAGAGTTTATGCGTGATTGAGAGTGTTGCATTGTGTACGATACTATGAGACTGAGGACTGTAGGATTACCATCGGAGTAGTCTGATGCCTTCAACCGGACTCGTCCCATTGAGACAACAAAATCGAGGCACCCCTGGTATAACATTGATATGTTTTTGGATGCTGCAATGTTCAAATGCCATTCAGATACAGAAGCTCCCTCGCTCCTCAACCTGTCTATCTACGCCCACATGCCCGGCCCATCCGCAAAAGATTAGCCCAGCCGTTTGCGCAAAATCCAACCTATCTATAAAGCTCAAAAGATATTTTCGTCATCAGTCATCACCGCCGCCATACCTCCTCTTTCATGCACTGCCGTTCTGCGTCGCCTTTGGTGGTTGTATTATTCCTCTCACGCCGCCCTTACCGCCAACTTCCCTAAAGATGGCGTTCACGCCCAGATCCGCCGCGATGTTGATCTGCACCTCGACTTTGCCGCCCTTCTTGATGCCCTTGATGGCGGCTTCGCTCAGTACTTTGCCCACTTTCCATGTCTTCTCCCGAAGCTCCTCCTCTTCGTCGCTCTCGTCCTCGTCGCTGTCATCCTCGTCATCCTCCGACTTCTTCTTCGGCTTGGGCTCTGGTTTCGTGACCTTGATGTGCCGTGAGCCTTCAGCGAGCTTGATGAGCACGTCGCCGCCTTCCTTTGGTGTGGCGATGATAGCTATTCTTCGGACCGGGAGGGGCGTCTCGGCATCGATAATGGGGTGGAAGATGCCTGAGGATTCTTCGCCGGAGATGCAGAGCACGCCCACTGCGTGTGACAGATGAGGAGTTACGGTGACCATGGGATGTGTACTCTGCTCAATGTCTTCTAGCTCAAACTCCTGGACGAGGCTGGCTTGGATAGCGGCGCCGCGAACGGACAGCTCGGAGGGGTTGATGGCGGTCGCGGAGGTTGACGGTGCGAGAATGGTTGTTGATTCAGGGAAGGCAGCTCCGAGTGCGGAAGCAACCTTGGGCGTATTGGCGTTGCCACCTGCGATGATAACTTCGGAGATATCGAGAGGATCGAGCTCGGCTTTCTCGACAGCGTGCGTTACGAGTCGTACGAAAGCAGCGAAGAGTTTGTTACCAAGGAGATCGTACCGCGTACGGTTGATGGTAGCTGTGAAGTCGATACCACCCACCAAGCTCTCGACGGAGAAGTTGGCGCTGGTCCCTATCGACAGGGCCTTCTTGACTGCCTCGCATTCCAGTCTTAGCTTAGCTAAGGCGCGGTCGTTTTCCCGTGGATCGCCCGCCGACTTGTGTTTCTTGAGGAACTCCTTAGCAAAGTGGTCCATAAGGACCTGATCCAATTTCAGGCCAGTGACCTCATAGTCGTGGACCGTTGCTAGAACGGTGTAGATGCCGCCGCGGGATGCGATGACAGCAACGTCTGATCGGGCACCGCCGAGGTCCGCCACGACGATAATCTTGTCTGCCATTTTGGCCTCTGGTCGAGCGTCATACGCCAATACCGCAGCGACGGGCTCGCTGATGAATTGGAGAACCTCAATGCCTGCCTCTTTGGCAGCCTTGTTCAGTGCTTCCTTCTGCGCATTCGAGAAGTTGGTCGGCACGGTAATGACTGCAGCATTAACGTCTTTTCCAAGATAGTTCGACGCGGAGCTCCGTAGCCTCTTCAAGTGCCGGGTGGTAATCTCAGAGACTGTGACCTCATTCTCCTTGTCCTCCGCGGTATCCCGGATTTTGAATGCGATGGTCGACTCGTGTTGCACTGGATGCGCGGACTGGTGACAAGGCGTGGGATCTATCGACTTGAATCTGGAAGAAGGGTAAGCTATGCATAGGAGTCCTCAGCCTGGAGCGCCTACTCTTGGCCCAGAAAGTCCCTGAAGTACGCGACTGTATTCTTTGCATTGCGCACAAGCTGGCTCTTCGCCTGTCCTCCATGTAGTTCTTCTCCTTCGACATAGGATAATATCGAGGGTATTTGGCGTTCTATTTTTGCGGGTTAGGACCGTTTACGAAGCGCGTAGCTGAAGTATGGTGGCATACCTCCGTCCTCATTCGCGATGACCTCTGCTTTGCCTTCCTGGATTTGACCGTTAGACGCTTCATTGTAGAGTTCTTCAATGGTTTGTGCTTACAGCCGTGGTAAACGCAATCGAGCTGTAAGAATTCCCAAAGGAGATCCCAATCGCGACCCGCTGAGCGGGGTCGTGTTCTGCACTCATAGCGGCTTTTCGAAACTGTCTCTTCTTCAATAAGGCACCGTAGGTATTGTAGAATCTCAGGGAGTGCTCTGAGGTCACGACTGCGAAAAGATGGCGGAGCGCAAAAAGTCCTAAAAATTAAACGACGACCCGGCATCCCGCCGCCAAAATGTCAAGAATTCTTGGCGCCAAGAATCCGACATCACACCTTCAAATCGACAACTCTTACCTCAATTGACCACCGCCACGCACGCTCAACATGGCTGCTTCAGCGATAGTCGTCCTTCCGGGCGATAAAATACCTCAGGACGCTCTGCCAAAGCCTATGAACAAGAAGAAGGCACTCACCCTTGGTCCTGGCCTTCGACACATCCCACCAACTACAATCGCAACCACAATTGCGGGCGCTCTGGTTACAGACAACAAGAAAAATGCTGCGTGGATCGAGTTCAACAGCGGAAGGGTAATCCATTCCTCTCTCATTACCTTTACCTGAAGTATTTGCCGTCTATTTCTCACTTCATACCCCGCCGATAAAATCTGCTCTTCCCGCAACATTCTAAACTGGATTCTTAGTATCTTCCAACAGCCGGCGACTTGGTAATAGCAACCATCAACACCTCCACCGGCGAAAACTTCAACTGCTTTCTCACCCCCAATACGCCTGCCGCGACACTCCCCCACCTAGCCTTCGAGGGCGCAACCCGCAAGACCCGCCCACAGCTTGTGCCGAACTCGCTGGTCTATGCCCGAATCGCAAGCGCCGGCAAAGACTCTTCTCCCGAACTGACCTGCGTCGACCCGTCAACCGGAAAGAGTGAAGGGCTTGGTCCGCTCAAGGGTGGAATGGTCTTTAAGATTAGCCTGGGTATGGCGAGGAGGCTCCTTGCTGGATCGAAAGGTGGAGTGACAATATTGGAGGCTCTAGGTGAAAAAGTTGGATTCGAAATCACCGTCGGGAGAAATGGGATGCTACATGTGGACGGTGGCAACGTGAAGACAACGCTAGCGGTCGGAAGAGCGGTTCAAGAAGTTGACGAACAAGCCCTTGGCGCGAAAGGTCAAAAGAAGCTGGCAGAGCGGGTGTTGAAGAGTCTTTGAATGCGAACATCGAGACCTTCCTTGCGTCGCCGACTACCATGGAGGCTACTCGCGACAGTCAGAATGTCCACCCGGCTGTCATCCAATTCCAGGAAATCCTTGAGGGATGCACCTAGCCGTTGGCTTGTATTGATCACGCCGTATCAGCACGAGAGTCCATGGGGACATAGTGTCCATATACATGGGCTTTACGCTTACCAGTGAAGATTCGTCTGAGGTAGCGTTTTTGCTAGTTGAAAACTACAGCTATATAAGCTGCTATGAATCTTACGGAAACCCATTTTCCCAATGCGTCAAGGCGAATGAGGCCATCACTCGAAGCCAGGTCGGAGCGACAGGAGAAGTTGAGACATTCTGCGACACATACTCTTTCGCAGGTCCGGCTGCGGCGATCTCGCGGAACTCCAAGGCAACATTCAAGAGTTCTTCGGCGGCACGTTTGGAGCCAAGTACTTCTTCGAGCACCGAATGAGGCAACGCTCGGTGAGCGTCTTCGACAGCTGTGATGGACAGCACACGCTCGTGCAACTGTCTCAAGGGAAGGAGAGCGAGCCGCGCTAGGGCCTGCCGACGCAAATGGCTCGCGAAGCCGTTTCGAGGGAGTGGCCCCTTCCTCCGGAGGTATTGGAAGGGGCCTTCCATTTGCGGCTATGAGCGGGATATCTCATGGAGGAGCTGGTTGTGTGTATCAGATGCAGCGAGTTGTTCAGGTGCCTGCTGTACCGAGACACCAAACATGAGGAGCTCAAGGATGCTAATTCGCACCTCGCTGTCTAGCAGATATACACTCTTTGCTCTACGTCCTGGAAGAATCTTCCCGCCGCAGCAAATGAGAAATACAAGCGCATGCTTGCGTCATAGTCTTCCATTTATATCACTAACCTGCTCTCCGTAATGTTGTTTTGGAGCTCGTCATCCCTCTATTCAAAGACTTAAGGAGACCCCATAATTAGATAGCTAATTCTAGCAAGGCGTAACGCCGTTTCTAGAGGCGGATTTGCCGCAAACCCTCTCTAGCCGAGCGCGCAGGGGCTCGAGCGCACGTGCTCTTTTGGTTTCCTATCTTGGCTAGCGTATGCGCATGACGCACCCGACAGGGGTCTGGCTCCGGTTCCCTGTACAAGAGGAATGCGGCGGCACCACCTGCGACCTTCCTCGCTCCATCCCTACCTCATTTCCCTATCACTTGATGCGTGTGTTTCTCCCCCTGCGTCAACGGTCGCTTAAGACTTGAGCTTGCCAATAAATCTGCCCTCTTTGCTTGCTTTGTTCCCCCTCCAACATCGTAATGATTGTACTAGCCTATCTTATTTCGGCGCCTCTGTCCGCGTCGCAAGAAGTCGGCGCTCATGACAGACTAAACCGCATATTCTTTGGCAGCCGAACAACCGATGAAGGAGATGAAGAACATCTGAGGCGGGTTTCTGAGATCTTGCTTGATCTGAAAAAAGGTGAGTGGGCATTCAGCCCCGCCTCCGACATTTCGTATGGACACCAATTGCCATCTACAGAAGGAACCTTCGACGCTTTACACAAACGTCTTCCGTTCAAGTGGAACGATGACGAGAAATACGATACGGTCAACCCATTCGGAGATCCCCGACAGTATCAGTATCACGCCCTCTGGACCTTCGACACCCGAAATGACGTGTTGCGTTACACGAATGCGAACCGTTGCAGTCAAATACCACTCGGTCTTCTTCGAGAGCGTGCTGTGAGTCTAGCTGATATGGAACCACTTGGCGGACCTATTCCTGTGCCTTTGGAGCATACGTTCGATTCAGAAACGCCTTACTGGAAACCGCAAGTAGAAGTTGACGACAGAATGCGTGCATTTGCACATCGCCTACTCCGGGATTTCCATCACCAGTGGAGGCATATCCTTCGAAACAATTACAATTCCGTAACTTTACGAGTACTTTCTCGAGCTATAATCCGGCTTTCGACGCTTGATTTCGAAGTTCACGAAAACACAGGCGGACATGGCCCGCGGGGCGTACATGTATGGATTACACAGTTGCCCGCCTGGGAGCCGTTCGAGGCTGATATTGTGCGCGTTGGAACCGTCTGGGTCGTCCTCTGCCAAGATATTCAAAACGGACTGTCAATAGCCCAGCAACACGTAGCATCCCGGGAAATCAGCACGACTGAGAGTACTAGCACGACGACGTCTGGGGAAGCGCATGCACATTACATGATCCTATCAGTCAAACACATCATGCTCTGCCACGCCACCGATCGGGCTTCACTCAAGCACACTGCTCCAGAGCCGCTCTTCAATGGCGATTATGGCACCGGACCTCCGTCGGACCTGGCACTGAACTATCTTATCTGGGCCACCGCCTCCGCCAGACCTTCGATCTTTACAACTATTCAATCCCTACCCATTGAGGTCCAAGATATAATACTCAACTACTCATCCGTAGGCACAGTAGTAGCTGCCAAAGTCGGCTGCATGCTTGGCTTAGGATCCCCATTCTCGTGGAAAGATGGTCCCCTAAAGGTTACGTTGGAGGAAAGATACGTAATTCGGCCTTCGGGATCCTCTGTCGAGTCCCAGGTCTGGTTCGGTGAGCACAAGAGCGGAATATTCTATTTAGCACGAGCAGATAGAGTCATTACATGAATACAACTTTCCATTTGTTCAATGTAAGAGACCGGAAAAACCAGCTAACATATGTAACTGTCTAAGCGGAACAGCTTTGGCAAAACAGTATAACAAGACATCCCTCACCATCACACCGCCTCCTAGTGTACTGACTCTTTAATCACAAAAACGGGAGTGGCTGACGCTTCATGTTCCCAAACATGGTTGTGATCGCGTTGACGTCGTTGCGTATGTGTAGACCACAACTTAACGCCGTAAGCACCCCTCTGTTGGCAGTGAAGAATTGAACGTAAAGTCCAATGTGGACGATGCCATAGACCTGCCCAGACTGGTTTTCTGTACCGGCACAATGTCGGCTCAGGTGATGCTCCGTCTCAGTCCAGCTCCTATCAGCCTTCTTACTCTCTACCAAGCAGTAATCATACGCATATAGGCTTCCTCCGGGGCGAGATGTGATTTTGAGCACCGCCATGTCCGCCCTCGACTCGGTTTGGTCTAATTCCCCGCGCGACTCTTCCTGGAGAACGTCGAAGCCTTCGTCCTCCAGGAAGAAGTGCTTCAAAACCGCAATCATAACCCTTCTGTACAAGTACTCATGGGATTCGGGCGATCGCTCGACAAGCTGGAGGTGCGTTTGAACGTTGGCCTTGTCCAGGTAGGTTCGAGGTGTAGGGGGGTTCGGATTCGTACGTCTGATCCGTCCGGTTCTGGTATTGCGCCTGCACGGGACCCAGGAGGTTACTTCTGATCTACATCTGCTATCGCCCGTAGGGGTCAAGGGTAACGGGTAAATACTCACCATTGCGGCCAACTCTTGGAGCCATCAACGGCCCATGTATCCTGTGAATAAGATCAGTTCAGCTCACTTCTGCGAAGGCTTGGTGCATACGCACCGTATCGGCATCCTCCAATCCAACCGGTATATTATACTGCGTAGCCCTGGTGTTAAGGTTCTCGTAATAATCCTGTCCAGCAGAATTCGACCACTGTCTCCAGGTACCGCCAACGAGGGTTCCGAGTTCATATTGTGGACTGGCAGCCATTGCAAGAGAACAATAGATGGTATGCGTAGATTTCAGGGCTTTTAGGAAATGGGAATGTTCGGATGATCAGAATGCGTGACTATCGAAAATACCAGAGATGTAAAGGATATATATACTCTCTATCACACCTACCGAAGCCTGCAGCTACGTAGTACGTTTCATATGTCATGACAGGAAACGAGACCGACAAGTGCTCCTGGCGCTTGTTCTACAATGAATGTAATACTATTGGAAGAGAGGTTGCTGCGGCTGCGGCGTTCTCGTTACGATCACCAATTCCGCAACGCGCGCGCCTAGATTTCAAAATAGACTCGATCACCACATTTGCTAGGTTGCAGATATCTAGCCGCGTTTACAAACCTGCGCCATGTTGATTCCTCACTCATAGTGGACTAATTCGTATTCGAGGCATTCTATAAATCATGCCATGTAACGATCGGACTGTCTTCTCCTCGAACATCTGCTTGATGTGGTGGGCTTTCCAGGCGGGAATGTATCGGGACCGTAGCTGGGTCATGATCATGGTTGGATATCGCGCCAGGATGCAACTGGCGCATATTGAGGCAAAGCAGCGTGATAGGAGCCAAGTAAAACACCGCTGAGGTTCGTGATAGCTTACAAAAGGATGCAATCCGACTGCTCCCTCTGCTATCCTCATCATTCAACTTCCATATCATTCCTCTTGCATTCTCATCATTCCTCTGCACTTGCATATCTTGCCTTTTCTCATATCACTCCTTCAGTCGCTCATTTGCTATGGCTTCCCAGTGATCGAGTACATCTGGAAGGTCGCACGCCCAAAGAACGAAGCCATTGCTTGGGCATTGATGTATGCCGCTTATGAGACGGCGGTTAGGACAGACCCAAACACCACGAAAGCCTTGACCCGGTACGTAAGCTTCTTCCGAGATCAAAGACGGTACGGCTGACATGCTGGGCTTGAGATCTTATATCCATCCCACAACTCGAACCGGGGGCGTTTACGTCAAGGACGAAACGCATATCACAGTGTCTGTGAAGAATGCACAAACGGCCCAATCGGGACAACACCAGTCAAGCCATGGTTACACGCCAGACTTGAGATCATTCGAAGTGAATAGGGTCAAGCCGAGCAATGTCATTAAAGGCGACAACGTAAATGCGACGTGGCCAGCTTCGATGGGAATGCGACCGAAAGACACCTTCTCAGGACCACCTGGTCTTCTGGGGCCGAAAAATGAATTCATCACTTGGCCTTCGGAGGAAACGGGTGAGTGAAGTCATGGAGGGGGATGAGGCTTTCTCGGACAGGTCTGCAAGCATTGTGGAGTTTACTTGTTCGTGAGTTTTGTGGATTGTGTGCTACGTGAGCGGACGAGTAATGGATCGCTTTCCCACAGCGTTCGGATTGGTTTCTTAAGGCAGGCTCGCGTGGGCTTCGCGAGCTGTTACAATACGGTGTCCTCCCGGGCTCGCTTCGCGGACGGCCTTTGCGAACGTCCCCGGATCTCGCTATCCCTCTCAGCTACCATGCTATTTATGAGCCTCCGATCCAACGTGCCTTTCTTATGCTGACAACATCTTGGCACGGCGAGTACTTTCTTCCCCGTATAACCAGTCGGATTTACGGAGAACGAAAGGACTTCATTCGCGTATTTCCCTCCATCCGCGTATACTCCTCCATCTTTGTCTACTTCAATGATGTTAATCGCAAGTACTTCTGGATCTAGATCGTCGGTAGGAACGAGGTGGTCAAATGTGACCCCGTAGTAGTCTATATAGCTAAATAGCCGATGGTCAGTCTCTAGGAGCATCAAAAAGCCGTACTAGGAGTTGCGCTCTTACTCTAATGGTCTTCTTCCTTCCATAACCCAAGCCAAGTACTCATCCCGCACCCTCAGACCACCATCAGCCATATTATGTTCTCCTTGTCCATACAGTGCCTGGTGTGTAAGCCTTGCGAGCGCCAGCGCTCCCAGCTGCGGGAACGGCACAACATTATGCCATGATACGTTTGGAAGAAGCTTTTGTATGGACTCGAGCGGGCCTTGTATCCGAATTCTCAGAGGTTTGTCGACTGGTGGGGGGTGGAGACGGTGCGGCGGCTTTTGGACGCAAGGGTGGATATAAAGCTCAAGCGCCATTTGGAACTACTAACGATTCACTTCTTAGCTCTGAGGTTACGCAAGGCGTGGTGAGGTTTAAATATTAGGATGAGTAGAGTTGAGAGGTTGAGAGTACGAAGGAGCTCGCATTTTTCCTCACCGAATCTGGATGGCCAGTGCACCCACACCGGACCTTCGTAAGGCGCCAAGAGCGGACCGTGCGCCGCAGGATGTATCAAAGGAGTTAATCTCAAAGACCACCGCATTTTAGTGTTCTGCTACTGCTACTCTGATCGATCTCTGACTGTGACTTGAAATGGGGCATGTGTGCAAGTTCGGGTCTTATTGATGACATGAGGGTTGTCATTCGAAGTCCGGGAAATGGGAGCAGGTAAGGGGAAAGATGAAGATCCTGCAATGACTTCGACCTGGATATTATTCGTGTGTGACATGTTGTGTCTTTCAGGAATTTCATCATCATTCCATGTCGAACTAGTGGGAAGGTGAGAGGACACGGGGGTATCTACATAGGCGCCTTCCAAATCGCTTGCAAGATCCTCAAGGATGACGGCCGTACCGCTTTCGTAAGCGCCGATGGCAAAACTTTGCTCGTCCGATCGTGTTGTAGCAGGAGTCGTGATGGGGCTCACGCCGCCAGGGATCGGGTCCCGGCGGTCAGATAGAGGGAGTGAGTGAGGAAAAACGAAAATTCCAGATAGACTGCCGGCTGAGAATGCATAAACGACGTGGATGGGGACCGTATTCCGGCTTGTGGTGGAGGGAACGCCTCTACAGGACTGTTTACCGGTGCATGCGTATGGTTGACTTCCGAAAGATCCAAGCTTCGCCATTTTTCCACGGTGGTAGACGACACTGAGACCCCAAAATAACAGACGAATACATCCCTTTGAAACCACCACGTGTACAGATGCATGCTCATAGCGTCTTCCCAATGGTACATGTGATGTTTAAAAGATGATCTCGGTCGGCTCTTTGCGGCGTCCAGAACGGGCGTCCACATCGCTGCTTCAGTGGCAAATTAGTCATGGAGGATGATCGAGGGGCCCGCGGTTCGTTGAAGGGGATCGGAAGTTGCAAGTTCGTCCTCGAGGCTTCTTCGTTGGTGTTTGGATGCATGTCTCGCGCAAAGCTTTCTGCAAGCCTCTGGAGAACTCTCGTGACCAGGAGGCGAAATTCCCGCGCAAGAAAAACCCAACATGTTGGCAAGGTTTGCAAAATCAGCGAGCACATCATCACGCTGCAGCAACCGCTCCGTAAGATCTGGGGTTCCGTCATCCATGCGAGGAGCAATTTTCGAGATTTTTGGAAACCAACGCCAAGCGAAGAGCCATAATTGAGCGTACGGTGTATAGTAAGGAAAGGTCGGATCGAAAATACACAAGGGTAGTTCCTCGAATCTAGCTACAAGCGCCAGGGGACGTCTAGATTCGCTCTGGTTCCGGATCCGTGACCTCGGACCCGAGATTCGCGGTGGAGACTGTATGCGAAGGGACCTGGGTCCTGCCTCCGGGACCCGTACTCCTACCGTCCCAAACGTCCCCAATCAACCCCCAATTGCCCCGGTTTAATAGCACCGCCTTCTTAGCTAGGCTAATTTTGCAAAGTAGTCGTCTTCAAAAATTCCTTCATCCACTAAGGCCTGACATTCCTTCCGGCAAAGTGATATGTACTCCATATCAAACGGAATAGCGCGAGGCAGTTCGATAGCGCCAGGCAGCTGCTTTGTCTCCTCTGCTATACCTTTAACCTGCCCAAATTCGCCATGCCAGCATCTTTTTATAATTTGATCCAAAGGATCGTTCCCTAAGGTTGGGAATTCCATATGTTGGAAACGACTAACAATGAGTGAAGCACTGTCAACATTCTCCCCAAATTCTTCCTCCTCGTACGGCTCATAGCCCCGCGTCATGAGGTATAGGATCGATCCAATTGCAAACTGCTCTGTCCGAGCATCATTGTGCCCGAAGGTTCCCTTCTCCGTTCCAGCCTCCGGCCCAAGAGGACGAGCATACGGGGGCGCGGACGCCTCCTTGTCAGTTCCAATCCGTGCCACGCAATCGAAGTCAGTGAGTTTTAGATGCCCAACATCATCAAGGAGTAGATTTTGAGGCCGGAGGTCTGTATGCGCGTATCCGAGAGATTCAAGCCAGGCAGCCGCGCTAGCTAATTCCATTGCCCATCTTTCAACAACGTTTGTAGGTTCCTTTTTCGTGATCTGGAGGACTCTCGAATATGGTTCGTCGCTCTCCCGGATCTGGTTCGCACGCAGTCGCTGGTCCAAATTGCCGCCGCTCAAAAATGCGAGAAAATTTCCTGCTGGAACACGCAGGAAGCTTTGAACGATGTCTGGACAAGGAGTAGCATTCTCGAAGACATCGAATATCTCGATCTCGTGGCCGAACTTTGTGCAGCCAGGAATCCGAGGGAATTTGAGAGCGATGCGATCGTTGATCTTGTACACCCATCCAACAGCACCTGTGGAGACGAAACAGTACTGTGATATTCGGCGCGGTATTGAAACAACTTTCAGGTTAGGGGTAGCCATTGCGAAACCTAGGCAGGCATGTAATCGAAGCGAAAATGGACGTGCTTGCCGCGAGGAATAGCAGCGTGTTGTTGAAAGAGGGTTAAAATTTTCAATGTGAAGTGAAGCGAGTGTCATATACTAATGGATGGCAGAGTGACCAGAAAAGCTGGTGGTGAGGAAATTCTGGACGTTCCAGGGTGCTGATCCTCGGCGGCTCGTCGTCAAAAATCTGCTGACTAATCGTGGCTATGGCATATGGCAGCTTTGCGGCCACAGCGCGTCATCCCGGCGGCTACACCGAGACGTTCGCATGAGCTTCGCCAGGAACATGAGCCTGAGCCCCAGTGGGGGACTCCCTCGCTTCTTCTCCCAGCTTGCGATATTTTACCGACGAACTCCGGATTTCCTCCCGTGTCCAGTTCAATTCGCGTCCAAGACCACCCGTCACCGCAGACCCTCCCCGTGTCGATCCCTTCATTCCATGACTGACTCGTCACTCCCGCCAATGGAAGGTACATATCACCCTGAGGAGGACATTGAATAGCTCGAGGACTACGCGCCCGGTGGATACCACCCGACTCTCATCGGCGATGCCTTTTGCAGTGGTCGCTACGTGGTCGTGCACAAGCTCGGATTTGGTGGATATTCAACCATCTGGCTCGCCCGGGATCAGCAAACCCAGCGCTACGTCTCGCTCAAGATCCTGACTGCGAGAGCTTCGCGAGAATGTCATGAGGCGGACATTATTCAGCACCTGATGAAGGGCGACCCGACCCATGCTGGGAAGCGATTCATTCCGCCACTCCTTGACCAATTCTCGTTTGATGGCCCCAACGGACATCATCGGTGCTTGATCGAAGAGCCCGCTGGCTGCAGCATTTCCAAGTCCAAGGAGGACAGTGCAGACTTCATGTTTCCACCGGACGCTGCAAGGTCCACTGCCGCGCAACTCCACTTGGGATTGTCGTATTTGCATGCAAGCGGCATATGCCACGGAGGTATGGAAATGAGACATGTTGTTGAATGATGTGCTGATGGCAGCCATATCTCCATTTGCGGAACTTTCTCTTACGCACACCGCCCTTCTATGGCCTCAGCACGGTTGAGCTCTACAAGCGATTCGGCGAACCCTTCGAGGTTCCCATCCGGCGAGTGGATGGAAAGCCAGGTGGACCGCACGCACCGCCACATGCCATCTATCCCATGACCTTGGGCGTGCCTGCCAACGAGCTGGATGATCAAGAAGTCATCATCTCCGACTACGGAACGTCTTTTATCGTATCACAGACGCCGTCACCGACTCTCCACACGCCCGCCCTCTATGCACCACCAGAGGACTTTTTTCATGAGCCCATCACTCGACCAGCCGCAGCCGACATATGGACGCTGGGCGTCAACTTGTACGAGGTGTTGGGCGAGCGTCCACTCTTCGAAACCTTTGCGTGGGATCGAGATGATATCATCGGGGAGATGATCAACACGCTGAGCCAACCGCCGACGAGATGGTGGGACTCTTGGGCGAAACGGTCCGAGTTCTTCGATGCGGACGGGTCATGGGTCGCTGATTTCGGCCGGATCGGTACTCCCGTGTTTCGGCGCCTGCATCAGCGCCTCTGGGACATGGGACGTGGCGAGACGGAGCAGACTTGTGTATGGGACGTTGCCGGTGGCGAGCTGCGTGCGTTGGAGGGGATGCTCAGAGCGATGATTGCGTTTGAGCCTGCGGATCGACCGACGGCGGATCAACTCCTGAAGTTCGAGTACATGACGAAGTGGGCGTTGCCGGCGTGGGAGAGGCAGAAGCGGGCTGGCCCTGTACGTGATCATTAGCTGTGCGCATCAGTCTAGGAGATCATAGCCTGACAAGGCATAGCCTCTACTAGTACTAGAGATAATTAAAGATACTCTATAAGTAGTACGTACGTAAGCTTGTAGATAAAGACCTTATTACTAATATAACTCGCTCTTGCTATTAAGTCTCTAATTAATTATGCACTACTCCAAAGTATTATAGTAGTTATTATCCCTGACCGAAACTACTGCTGGACTTACCTAGCCCCGGCAGATAACCCCATAGAACCCCAGCCATGCCTAAGCTCCCAAGCTCGCTATGCCAGCAAACCGAAAAAAAGACCGTCCTTTCGTATCGAAAAACAAACAAAACGCCGCTAGCTAATGCTGCAATAAAGTTCCGCCAAAGCAAATGTCCAAAAGCCAGCTTGTATCCATGCCAATATGTCCGCATAATGTGGGAGGGAGAGCGTGCTTGGATTAGGGGTTACCATCCCAGATCTTGACCGTCTTCATAGCCGCCGAATGCTTCAGCTCATTGCAAGAGTTCACGCTTACAAAGTTTGTGTGAAGAGCCGAAGCGGCAAGTAGCAGCCGATGAGGATGGAAGGCGGTGGCTGTAACGGGCTGCGAGCGATCGCGGAGGAATCCCGAGTAGGGCTCCCACTGAGACACCGGTTGGCCGTTGTTGATGTTGAAGAGCTTGATCTGATGTCGTTGGGTCCCACTGGCCTAATTAGCACGAGCGACATACAAAATTGGATGGAGTGGACCTACACAGCGAAGACAGGAGCATGTTCATGAACACTCAGCGTCTTCAAGTTATCCGTCGTAGCCTTGATGGTCTTTACGCTCTTGTCCATGCGGATATCCCACAGCTTGACCTCACCATCTCGGCAACCGCTTACGAGCTCACGTTGGCCGCCGCGCTGCAAGTGCACGTTGGTAATCCACTGCTTATGCTCTTTCCAGACTTTGACCATCGCCGTGGCTGGCTTTTGACGTTGATCGTAAACGCGAACGGCGCCGTCGCCGAAGCCTGCAGTGAAGACGTCGCCTTCCACTTGGTCCGACGTTAGGGAGGTGATGCAGGAACCAGATCTCGCGGGTATGTCCTATTTATTCGTGTTAGCAGGATCCATCTTCAGAAGAATAGTGCGTGCACTTACACTTGTGCAGATCTCTGTACCAGCATTCCATACACGTATCACCTTAACGTCGCCGGCAACCAATATTAAACCCCTGCCTTGCTGCCAGTCAAAGACCAGTCCGGCATTCTTGTTACTCGGCACCAGGTCCGTCAACGCACGGAAAGCGGTAACCATTTCAGTCTTTCCTCTCGTATCGTAGTTGCGGAATATCTTTATCACTCCATCGGAAGATCCGGTCATCAAAAGAGCCTGATCATCCTCATTGATGAACCGAGCCTCTGTGATCTTGGAGTCCGTAGGATTGCCATTCGAAAAGCAGTTGAGCCTCCGAGTTGGGCCCCCTGAGTACTCGATCACGTTGATGGTGTCCCGGTTATCAGTCACGACTAGATGGTCCTCGAATTGGTGAAAGGTCATCTTCATTGGCTGGCTGAGGTTGTCGAAAAGGGCGTACTGATGGTCCCAGCGATGCGACACAGCCACCTCTTTCAATGGCTGGGTTTCCGCGATGATCTTATCGTTGCGGTTTCGTCTCCAAAGCCGGCCATTGTAGTCTGTGCTGCCTGGCTCATCAGCCTCGGTCGGCTTCATTTGAGGCTCACGAAAATACTCCACCGACCAGTCAAAAAATCTGCTCTTGAGTGGGAGTTCGGGTTCTATGGCGAGGCTTCGCGGCGTGAAACCTCTGGTCTTTGGCTGTTCTTCGACGTGGTATTTCTCTGGGGTAGCGGGACGTGAAGGCAAGGGCTGCACGAAAGAATCGGGGGTCTTGATACGTCCTGGGCTCTTCTGCGGAGAGGTTGAAGGATCGTGGGCGCCCCATAAGTTCTTAAGCGATGCCGCGACACTGCCTGTCCTACGCAGTCCACCGAAGAGCGAAAGATAGCTCGCTTCTTTAGAAGGCGTGGGTGGAGTAGACGTCTGTTGAACAGGCCTTTCTTCGTATATCCGGCGCTGCGTCCGGTGTACAGGATTCTTTCTAATGATCTCATCGAATTGAGGTTGGACGAATTTCGCCAATGAAGACTGCAAAAGTGCGAGGAGGATGTAGTCAACGACGATGCCGGCATCCCTAGCAATTTCAGGATGAGGATCCACGGACATGACCAGCATTTCTTTCCAGATGGCGGCGTAGATGGTGTTCTGGGAACAAGAGTTCGCAATGATGGAGTTCGTCGCTGTCGCTGCCCGCATCTTCATATAGAGGCCATCACCATTCCTCTCGTCCATCTTACCGGCATGCTCATTGCTTGCTTCTTCGGACAGCTGTTCGAAAGCGGCGACGAGGATTTTCGTTTTGTATCGTAAGATGAAGGTGGAGAAGAAGATGAGCAGCTCTCTTCGAACAATGCTATTTCCGTCAGTGGTCATAACGAGGACCATGGAGGCGATGGACTCCTCGATAGTGGCCACCTGCGCGGTCACATCTCGAATGCCCAGGAAGGCGGTCAGTGCATGAAGCATTGCCGCCCTAACCTCAGCCACTGGGTCAAAAACTAGCTCGCATAGCCGTTCGTGGGCCATGCATCGGATGCCCACCCACTTAGCTTCTTCATAATTGACCCAGAGCTTACTTAGACAGAGGCAAGACCACTGCCTTAAGAGAGGATTCGGCATGTCCTTGAGGTGATCTAGGCAGCTCTCCACTAACTCTGGGCTCAAAGAGGCACGTTGGCCCTGGTTGTAGTCCTTGCAGAACATGGCGATAATAAATGCACACATCGCTCGATGTTCACTCGCATTCTGAATCGGAATGCCTGAAATCTGTCAGCATAACATAAAACAAGGAGGAGCATATATGCGAACCTGAATTCGGGTTGAAGATGTTGATGAAGTATTGGTAGCCATTGTCTTTGAGAAGATCGGCTTGGCAAGACTGATCGACTGCGAGAATACGAGCCCAGATGAAAACCATGACAGGTTTGAGCTCATTGGCCTGGGACTGTAGGAGTTTGAGAACGTAAGGAAATATGCCGATGCTGAGGGCCAGATTGACAGCCCAGGGTCCGTGGTCTAAGAAGCTTGACAGAAGAATGAGCGCGCGAAGGCGATGTACCTGACTGAGAAGCACTTGAAGTACGATGGGGAGTTGTTCGGGTATCTTCTGCTCCACAGCGCCCTGGGAGAGGTACACCTCAAAAGCAGTAAGTTGCTCGGAGAAGAATTCGGAATGCTTGTAGGAATATTCTTTGTCTCCGCGCGCCTCGGCTTGCAGGTCTGGTAGCTGGGCGAGGATCAACTCCACAGCGAGATCCCAGCTCCGCCACAGTGGGTGATCGTGGGTTTGGGGTATTTCCGGATGAGAGGCTGGATGACAGTGATATACTCTCATGATGCGCTGAGCCAAAAGATAGTTGCGGAAAAGAGCGGCAACCATTAGATCTTGTCGAAATAGCTTCTTGAATAGGGGCTTAGATAGCGAGTTCCATGCAATGGTGTCGGTGATGGCCGTGAATATCCAATTTAGCTCGCCAATGGGCGTCCTACGCTCAGAGACTTTGCCAGGGATATGGTGGGCGTCGCGAAGGGTGACGTTGCTCGGCAGCGGGTTCTGCAGGATGAAGAATCTGACCGCCATTGTGATGGGGTCGGTCAAACAGGAGGTGAAGACGTCGGCGGGTAGATCGGGGTTGGTAGGCAGTGACTCCTTCTCCCTACACGCAGCCAGGTGGATGCAGTCGTTGAAGTCTACGTATTCAACGTTAGGATCTCTTCGACGCGCCTCCTCGAACTCGGCCTGATGCTTTTCGGCAAATCTGTTGAAGTTGCTGATGATCAAGCCTGCGTCCGAGCAATCATACACGAATAGGCTTGGAGCTCCGATCCAGCTTTGTAGATCGTACAGAGACAGCGGGATGTACTGGGTATAGTTCCGGTTGAAGACCCAAATTTCGCCCGAAGACGTCGGCTTCGGCACTCCGTGGCCATTGTAATGGAATAAAACCCGCTCATTGCGAGCATTGCGCCGAAGGGTGGAGGTGTACTTGCGCGTCTCCTCGGTTGTGGGGTCGAGCAGCAATTTGTATCGCGTGCGCATGCTGAGCTGCTCATATTGCGTCTGCAGCGCCTTCCCAATCTGGTTCATCGGCGTATGTCCCGGCGTCTGAGAAGTGACGGTAGGGTCGATCCAGCACTCCTCCTTGGCGCATGGGTTCGTTTTGATTACGTCTGGAGGATCGACGCCGATGTTGAGACAGAGCGCAAGCACTGCGGATACCGTCTTAAGGCGATCGCGCATGCGCCATTCTTGCAACGGATACGCACTGTCCTCGCTCCTAGGGTTGCCGCCCGTCTCGTGCTTCTTCTCGGTGTAGTACATAAAGAAAGACTGAGCAGGCTTGTTAGCAAGCAGGGCTTGAATGAAATGGTCTGGCAGAAACCCACTGAGGTCAACAGATGGTTGTACTCCTCTGAATTCAGCTGGTCGTCCCAACCGTGCCGTATCTTGAAGTGTCCGTCAACGCTGCTTGCCTCGTCGGCGCTCTCAGAGGGAGGGTCGGGATGGCGGGGTCCAATGTCACTCCTCACCCGCAACAGCGCAGGCCGGCCCCTACGCGGTCCCGTCGACGCAGACTGCGCTGTGTTCAGCGCATCCCCGTTCATTTCCGGAAGGTTACGGTGGGAGGCAGTATGGGCGGCCGAGGCCGTACTAGGGCGCGAAAAGGTTGCACCCTGGGGATTGTGTGAATCCGGTGGCGTGGACGGCGCGCGCTCCATATCTTCCGGCGTAGGAGCGTGCGAGGCAAGGGGGTTGGGGTGCGAGTGGCCGCTGATGAGGGGCAATTCGTTGGCGGTTCTCATCGTGAGCTTGCGCGAGCTGCTGTGACTGAGTTCGAGGCCGCGCCCATGACGGAGGGCTCCTTCTTAACGCAGGCGGGCACGTCTGTTGGGATGCGCGGAGAGCCAGATGCGGCGGCCGGTGAGCTGGGGCGTGGTACTGTGGGTGCGCAGGTTTGCGGTCGAGGGAGCTGTGTGCCGGTCACCATGTTTGTAAAGCTCCAGGGCTTCCGCAATGCGGCCAGTCGGGGAGGCGGTGAGATTCTGCCACCCGGCCAATGACGACCCAGGCTTGCTCCCCTCTCCGCCAGCGTCTTCCCACGTCCGACAGCAGAGCCATACGTACCTGCGTACTGGGCGGATTTGACATCTTACACCATGGCTAGCCTCAACCCACCATGCCTGACGACGAAGTGTGCCGTTGGACCTGGAAGCACGGTGTACGAGCCAGAGACGCGTCGAAGACGGCTCGCATAAGGCGTTCATAGGGGTGTGGCACACAATAACGAGCGTCCTTCTTACGGGAGATTCAATCTACTCTGTTCGTCTGCCCGACGAGCTGGTGCTGACTCCAGCGTTCGAGTCTTGCAGTACCTTCGGTTTGTCAATGCCCGCTTCAACTGCAGAGACTGCAGAGGACAGCCCAGTAAATCCTCCGAATGGCGCGGCCGGGTTCGCTCTAGTGAGTGTTTCCAGGCGCCGTTGGAGCGGTGCAAACAGCCACGATTGATGGGGCCCGTCACTCGCCCGCCGGGTGCTGCAGCGTAGATTTATATCACATACGTGCCGCCGTGCAGCAGCCGCAAGTGGACGCGGTGCATGCGTGACGGGAGCCAATCGCCGCGGCCTGCCTCCCCTGCAGCGTTTGGATCGGACTCAGGGGCCACCGCGAAAGCGTGAATGCCGTACGCTACCTGCTGCTGAGCGCAACGGCCAGCGCAGCGCATTGTAGTAGAAGCCGAGCAATTTGTCACTGTTGTTTCCATCCCCGAGGCCGAACCAAGGGCACGCCATCCTTGCCTGTCGCTGTGCTGTCTCCGTTGCCGTAAGAACGCACCTCCTCGCTGTCTCGCCGATCCATCTTGGCACCTTCTCAAACGCAAGTTCAGAAATCTCCACGCCTCACCACCCTCCGCCTACTACAGCCCGCCGCCTCTCTTCGACCATACTTTTTGCACTTCCGCCGCCTTTCCCTTCGCCCACGCCGCTGCTGAGACATGCGCACGCCGGTTAATGCTCGCCGTAACGTTTGAGACACCCCCCTCCGCATCGTCGACCAGCCGCAGTATTCCCCAGCCCCCGGCACCTTCGTTTCCGCACACCCACTGTGTCCAGCGCCAGCACGCTCACCCTCCGCATCGATTGATTGCCGACCGAATGCGTCCTTGACCGGCGCTGGAAGCCCACATAACACCTCCCTTGGCGCAAGCCCGCCGCCATGTCGTTCCTCTTCGGAAAGAAGAATAAGCAGCAAAACAATGCGCTCCCCGCGGCCACCAGGGACATCTCGTCGTCGCATGGGCCGGGCTCGCAGATACCCACAGCAAATGGAGCAGGTGCACCACAGCCCGAGAAGCTTCGCGCTGGACCGCCGACCCAGACCCCGACGCCCGGCGCGAGCGTGAACAACTCGTTCAGCTCTTTGCGGGAGCCCACCAACGCCGCGAGTCCGGAACCGAAGGCATTGCGCGACAGGGCAGATTCGGATTTCCAGGTACGTCACCGACATTGCCCGGGGCTCATCCCGACCCCCCAACGCTTTCTCCATGACGAGGCATGCTCACAAGAAGGCGCAGAATGCGAGGACCGCCCGCGGTCCCCAAGACTCTCCGTATCCGTGGTCCTCTCGACGGCTGAACTTTACCACTACTGCAACTCCCTTTCCTCGATACGGCGCCGCCATCAACGCGACGGCTTCGAAAGATGGCATCATATACATCATGGGAGGTTTGGTGGGAGGCGCGACAGTCAAAGGCGACCTCTGGGTGACTGAGATGGGCAACGGAAGCCTGGCTTGCTATCCTATATCGACCACGGGAGATGGCCCCGGGCCTAGGGTCGGCCATGCAAGCCTTCTTGTTGGCAATGCCTTCATCGTTTTTGGCGGCGACACGAAGCTTGACGACAACGATGATTTGGATGATACTCTATATCTGTTGAATACCTGTACGTCACGCAAGTAGCATGGGGGAAATCGGGATACTAACAAGCCATAGCAACGAAACATTGGTCGAGAGCGCTGCCGCAGGGACCAAGGCCGACGGGTCGCTATGGGCATACGCTAAACATCCTGGGGTCCAAAATCTACATTTTCGGTGGTCAAGTGGAGGGCTTCTTCTTCAACGATTTGGTTGCCTTCGACCTCAACTCCTTACAGTCCTCGGCGAGCCGATGGGAGGTGTTGCTGCCCAATACCAAAGATGGGGCGCTGTCCTCCCCCCAAGGTCGATCACCGCCAGCGCGGACGAACCATTCTATCGTCACTTGGAATGACAAGCTCTACTTGTAAGTGCGTCCTCATTCCTTGTAACCGTCCACTAACACGCGCGCGAATGCAGGTTTGGCGGTACTGACGGCGTCGCTTGGTTCAACGACGTATGGACTTACGACCCGCGCTCGAACTCCTGGAGTGAGCTCGACTGCATTGGCTACATACCGGTTGCGCGCGAAGGCCATTCTGCAACCCTCGTGAACGATACCATGTACATCTTCGGTGGCCGTACGCAGGAGGGTGTTGATCTTGGGGACCTTGCTGCATTCCGCATATCGTCCCGCCGATGGTACATGTTCCAGAACATGGGTCACTCTCCTTCCCCACGCTCCGGACACAGCATGACTGCTTTTGGGAAACACGTCATCGTCATGGCCGGTGAGCCAAGCTCGTCCGTTGCCGACAGGACCGAACTAAGCCTTGCATACGTCCTGGACACCTCGAAAATCAGATACCCGCCGAATGAGACCCCTCCCCCTCAGCAAGCATTAAACGCCCCGAGGAAGTTGAGTGGAGGGGACAGGAGTAACATTCCCCAAGGCAAAGCCGGATCGCCCACTGCACGTGAGAGTGTGATGCCAGGCCCACAGCAGCCCAAATCGCAAGATGCGCTCGCTAACGGAGCCGGTGCCGCAGGATCAAGATTGCCGCGCGCAGCTGGTCAAGCCCCCTCAGGGCCTCCGCCGCTTCAACAACCTCCGCAACCCAGACCAAACGGGCCGAGTGGCAATGTGCGGAGTAAAACACCCACGAAGGGTGAGCGAGGATTTGGCCCGCCCGTGGACACTAGGGCCGCTTCTCTAGACCGGGAGAATCTGTCGCCGAGCACAAGGGAAAGCCCTTCCGCCACCGAATTACACGCCCAATCCATGAATGAGAAAGCATTGATTGGTTCTCGAAAAGCATCAGACGCGGCCAGTCAGCCGAAAGAATCCATGGATACCTCTCGATCTGGAAGCGTAGTCTCTCGGAACACCTCAAAATCGCATCGACAGCAACATTCTCTCGAGAGTGTGGAACAAGGAACACCAAGGCGCTCAATCGAAACTCACCAGCGTGGCTTGAGCCATGAGGCTGAGCAGCGAGCCATTGACAGCGGTGTTGGCGCGTCACCCGCGCTGAGCCAGCAGAACGACGAGTTGGTTCGGGAGCTGGAGACTATGAAGAGCCGGAATGTATGGTATGCGTCCGAACTGGCTCTTGCTCGTAAGGCGGGATACAATCCTGGATCAGCAACAAGCCCTGTTCTTGACGAGCGCGCGGCAGACGCATTCGGTGATGAGGATCGGCCATTGCTTGAAGCATTGCTGAAGATGAAGAACGAGCTGGAACGAGTGCAGAAATCGATCAAAACACAGGGCCAGGACGCAGCTAGAAGAATCGCCGAAGTAGAGAGGCAGAGAGATGCTGCTGTCAGCGAAGCGATTTACGCCAAAGCAAAATTAGCCGCTCATGGTGGCGGTAGCCAGGGAGGCACCCCTCAACCCGATGGGGCTCGAAGCACCGCTACACCCGACATGGAACGCATTGCCGATATCAATCGCCGGCTTGCCGCCTCCCTATCCGCTCAAAGTGAACTCTCAGCCAAGGTCGACAAGCTAGCCAGCCAGGTGGAAGCCGAGCGTAGAGCGAAACAATTGGCCGATGACACCGCGGAAGCCGCCCAACGACGTGTCCAAGAGCTCGATTCGTCCCGGCAGAAGAATGTTGCAGACCTTGAGAGTCTGCGCGCTGCGCTACACGAGGCTGAACGAGTAGCGAGAGAAGCATCCGCCAGCGCGGCTGAGGCACAGACTTCATCGAAACTTCTAGCAGTTGACAAGAGCGAGTTGAGCGCCAAGTTTATGAAAGCTTCTGAGGAGTCGAAGAATCATGCTGCAGTCCTTCAATCGCTTCGAGATGCTCTCACGGCATCCTCTGATAAGTCTACCATGTTAGAGAAGAAATTAGAGGAGGAGCGATATCAAAGGGAGAACCTCCGACAGAAGCTATCTCAGCTACGCGCAGAATTCGAAGAGCAAACCACCGAGCTGGAGGCAGCGTCGCAAAAGCTTCGAGACGCGGAAGAACTTGCGGAGAAGTATGCGGAAGAGGCACGCCTTCACCGCCAGGCCGTCCTCTCCGGTCTGGGCAAATTGGCCGACCGGGGTGAGGAGGACCATGAAGCCTCGGACGAGCGCGTTGCCATTATGCAACAACAGGTTGAAGCAGCCAACATCATGGTACGCAAGAACCAGACCGCTGCTGACCATGCGTCCGAAAAGCTTCGACGTGCAGAGGAAAGAATTGCCGGCCTTGAGGCCTACCAGGAACAGTCCAGCCGAGAAGGCCTTACGATACGCAAGCAGCTGCAGCAGGCAATGCGAGATATGCAAGCATCGGAAGCCGAGAAGGCGGAAATGCACCAGCAATACGAACGATTACGACTGGAGAGCAATGCATTCGAGGTTCAACTCAAGACGCTCAAGAATCTCCTTGAAGAGCGAGGCATCAACCCGGTTGATGCACGTCGGTCAAGAGTATTGGACAGCCCGAGCTCAAGATTCGGTACTCCCGAGCTTAACCGTGTCCGTGAATTGGAGCAGCAGATCGACTCGATGAATAAAGCACACGAAGAATTACGGACTGTTTTCGAACAGCGCGAGCACGACGTTAGTAAAGAATGGGAAGAGAAGCTGCAAGCACTGCACAACGACCACCAAGCTGCCGTAAAGTACCTCAGAGGTACGGAGAAGATGCTCACGAAGATGAAACAAGAGCTCGATCGCTACAAGAATGAGAAGGCCAAGCTAGAGGAAGAGCTTGCGCAAGCCAGAGAGACTTCGCGTGGTCCCACAAGAGAGCAATCTGCTGAATGGGAAGCTGAGCGGGCGTCTCTCCGGAAGGACTTGTCGACTGTACAGGACAACATGGAGACGACGGTTGCCCGACTGGAGAACCAGCTCTCCACTCTCCAATCCGAGCTGGCTTCCGCTCGTCAGGAAGCCGAAGCCGCTGCAAAGAACGCCAGAGACGCCGAATCCTCTGCTGAACAGTCACGAACCGATCTGGAGACCCTTCGCCGCCAACACGCGATTGTTGAGGAGCGCGCTCGCGAAGCTGAGAGTCGGGTGCAAATGTTCTTGGACCAGTTCGAGACGTCTGTCGATAACTACCGTCGCCAATCTCAGGTCCCCGCTGGCAGTGTCAATGGAGCGCAGGGGCACCACCGTGCGCACGATAGCATCGCTTCGGGAGATTCCTTATACAGTGACAATGATGGCTCGAGCACGCCGGATGCGATAAACGTGCCAAACTCGGCCGCAACGCGTAATTCCATGGCACTCGATAATCTTGCCTCAGAGCTTGATGCTCTGCGAAGTCACTGGGAGACTACCAACAAGGCTTACCGTCTGAGTGACCGCTTCGACTTCGAGCGAACGCCCACGAGCGAAAAGAGCGAATTGAGCGAATCTCTGTCCCAGTGGAGGAAGCGTATGGACATGGAGGAGGACGATGATGATAAGGAGCACAAGGCGCCACAGCCCCAGGCCCCTCCCACAGCCATAGCACCGTCAGGACCGGGCGGCACCAGCATGATCTGAGCTACGATTACTCGTTTTTTCCCGACTTTACACACGAAGGATGTTAATTACCTTCCTGCGCTTCGGGTACCCTATTTCTGCAGGAGCGGCCGGCGTCTATTGTTTTGTTGGATGATCTCCCCGGCGCTGGATGGCCGTCTCGGACCTGGGTTCTCTTTTTTCGACTTTCGGCCACCTATATGACTATTGCGAAGGGCCTTTCTCGTACTATACCACCATTTCATTCTATTTGCTTGGCTTTGTTCGGCTCTCTAATTCTGTCTCTCCTTAATCACCATTTGCACGCTTTTCGTTGTCCTTTCCAGCGTGTTGAGCTATGTGAGATACTTGGGGCCATTGTTATGTGGTTGGGCGTTTATGTGTGGAAGTCCGATCTGGCTAAGCTGCTGCAGAGTATCTCAGCTACGGAATGTTTTGTGTCTAATGGCGGGCTTGCAGAGTCTACAGGCTTATGGAATACCACTCATGTTCGTTGCTTATGGGTTCGTTCAAATGATTGGCCCTTCTGGCTCCATTCACGGATTGCGATGATTAAGTGGGTTGCATTCTGCCATTCGCACCGCGCCATGTGCATGCTCATGTGAGGAAGATGTATGCTGGTGTTGATTGACCGCCGCGACGTAGATGATGTCAGTGCGCTTGAGGTTAGCGTCTCTCACCCTCACCACTCCGCACCCGCATCGCGATGCCTCAAGGCTACAGCTCCAGGATCACCATCCAACAGCTGATGGCATTGATAACCATGAGCTATTAAAGCTTGGATCAGATGCTTCTAACGCCAAACGCCTCCTGAAGCAAGGCCTCAGTGACGCGTTCTCGAATAAGCGTGGGTGGCGCGGGTTGTTGCCTGACAGCCGAGCAGGCAACACTCGCGATCTCACCACGAAAACAGGTGACCATGCCCCCTCAACGCTGCTAGCCGGGCAACGGCAAGCCAAAGGTTGCCCATCTCCCATGACATGTCTTACACTCACTTATGTATAAAAGCAACAATCTGCGCGGCATCTCCTCAAACAACCTGTCTGCGCCGTGCCTTCCCTTTATTTCGATTCAGCGAAGCCAAGCGTATTCGTCTTCTCCATCCTCCCTTTTCATCTCCCGTTCCTCAATTCTTCTCCAAGTCTTTGATCTCGACGCCCTTCAGCAACATGGCAACGCCGTCGGTTCTTCCAGAGGTGCCGGCGAAGCACGCTGACTTCATTTCCTACGTCCAATCGCATGCCGACACACCGCTGTCGGAGCTCCTTGAGCCCTACAAGAAGTACGATGCGAAACTCCGAGAGGTCTTCGCTCAGGAGCCAGAGCATCCTGCCTTGGCTGATCAGCACCTCAATGTTGTTCCAGTTTTTGATGGGCAGCAGGAGGATGTGAAGATTCGGGCCCGGGATCTGGAGGTACGTGGGTCGCTAGACACAGCTTAGCATACTTGCATACAATTGCTAATATCCACCCTCACTCTTGCAGTCCGAGAGCGCTGAGGAGAAAGACAAGTACATTATGTCGCTTGATGCCGCTGACAGGCGCCCGAACGGCTCTCCTGCCATCGTTCAAGACATCAAGGACTTCCAGCAGAACTTCGCGCTTTTCTGCGAATCCTCGCTCGTCGACCTGGACTGGAATAATGTGGTGGCGGCCGGGTCGTCTGTCGTCACTTGTCTCCTACCCGTGCCCGACAAGTACAAGAAATCGAAGCGAGCGCTGCGCCAGTACTATCATGAGATGATTGCGCCGGCTTCAGATGTTGACCTCTTTCTCTACGGTTTGAGCGAGGAAGATGCCGTCAAGAAGATCATCGAGATCGAGCAGCGTATCAAGGACAGTATCCTCACGGAGACCACTACTATTCGCACCAAGAACGCCATCACAATCGCCAGCCAGTATCCAACACGCCATATTCAGATCGTGTGCCGCATCTACAAATCAATCTCCGAGATTCTGACTGGCTTCGACGTCGATTGCAGTTGTGTGGCGTACGATGGCAAGCAAGTTTTCGCGGCTCCGCGCGCCTTGACTGCCTACATGACCCAAACCAATACGGTGGACCTGACACGTCGCTCTCCATCATACGAAAACCGTCTGTCCAAATACTCTCATCGCGGCTTTGAGGTCTATTGGCCTCTCTTGGAACGCTCGAGAATCGATCCGACCATATTTGAGCGGAACTTCGCGCGAACTGTTGGTCTGGCTAGGCTCCTTGTTCTAGAGCGGCTTCCCTCGAAAACGGAGCGCGAGGCTTATATGGATGAGCGTCGGCGCGAACGAGGGCGACCTGCTATCAATCGCCACTGGAAGCGCTCAACGAGGGACAACATCAAGGACAAGTATGAAGACGAGGTAGCCGAATGGGTTGATCAGGAGGATATCAGCGACTATCGTAAGTTGGCCCACCCTTCATTACGGTTTTGTTACTCATTCTCTGCCAGATACCTTCACGATTCCGTACGGTCCCAAGTACCACGCCAAGAAGATCGAAAAGCTTCTGTATACCAAGGATCTCTTGCTCAACGCAGAGTGGAACAAGCCTAAAGACCGCGAAGTCAACCTTCATCGCCACCCTGCCTTCTTCGGTTACGCTGAAGACATTATCCACGACTGCTGTGGATTCTGCCCGAGGCCAGTGACTCCGGAGGAGCAAGACGTTGCAGAGGAAGAGTCGAAGATCTACGTATCAGGTGACATCTCTTTCATCAAGGACGATGCTGGACGCCAGGCAATTGGATCCTTCAATCCCATCACGGACGAGGACTGGACGGAAATGGCCTATGTTGGAAATAGTGCACGGCTTTGTCAGGCCATCATCGACAAGGACCTGGAACATGTCGAGGACTGGCTTTCACAAGATGGCGCCGATCCCAACAGCCGCGATTACACTGGCCGGACACCACTACACCTGGCTGTCATGTGCTCTTCATGTGAGATAGTGCAGACGCTCATCAGCCATGGTGCTCGACTTGTGGCTCGCCTTGCCGATGGTAGAACGGCGCTTCATCTTGCCGCTGCGCGCGGGAACGTGGAGATGGTTAGGATGATATTGCGAAAGAGTGAAGAGAACGAAGAGGAAGAAGCCAAGAAAGAGGACCTTCGAAAGCAAGCGAGAATGGCTGCTAGGGAGGGCAAGGACGAACAGCCAGAGAGTGACAAGAGAGCTGCCAGCTTTGCTGCGGAGGATAGTGACTTGGAGGTAGTCGAGAAGGAGGAAGAAGACTCCGAGCCAGACGAAGACGCACGCACCACGACTACCGGATCCTTTGTCAAGGTCAAGAAAGAGGAGAGGAAGGCAGATGATCTCATCCCAGATGAGGAGGATGAACCCGATGTCTACGATGTCAACGTTGTCGCCTGGGATACGCAATGCTCGCCACTTCATCTTGCGATCCTCAACGGTCACATTGAGGTTGTCAAGGAGCTCGTCCAGTCGTTTGGTGCCGATGTCCTTTTGCCCATCAAACTATTCAACGACTGGGATAAATCACCGCGTGGCGCTATCCTAACCCTTGTCCTTGCCCTTCGCCTGCCACTGGAGAAGGCCAAGGCTATGACCCAAGCTCTGTTAGAGATTGGGGCCTCTTCTGCACAAGCGGATATGCATCAGACGACCGCCCTGCATTACATCTCGAACAAGCAGCCCGACATTCTCGAGACTCTCATAAAGTTCGACGAACCCGCCGCCAAACGCGCAATCAATCATCTCTCAGTCAGGGGCTCCAGCTGGAGCGCCTCTGCACAGAGCCCTCTAATGTCTGCCATCTCCAAAGGCAACGCACTTGCTGCACTGAAGCTCCTGGACGCCGGCGCAAAGCCCACTATCGAATTCAAGGACTGGATTAAGGCCGTTGAAGTTCAATTTGAGAGTGTCTCCGGGGTCGGCGCCGAGCAGAACCACAAAAACTTCGCACGGGACATCGAACAACCCATCATCCTAGCCGTCCAGACGGAGTTGCCGGAAGTCGCTCTCCAGCTGATAGAACAGGATGTTTCGCCAAATACAGTCACGAAGCAGAGTCAGCAAGCGATTGTGGATCAATACTATTCGCGGTACAACTCTATGGAGAGCCTTCTTGATATCGTCCGCAAGAAGATTCGCGATCTCAGGGACTACAAGGACGCCGAAGCACCTAGCAAGCCGGACCTCAACGTGAAAGAAGGCGTCGACTACCTTGCCGGAATCGAGCCTGACTCCTACCAGTCCTTCATCGCCCAAATGCAACTCGAAAGTGCACGAGAGTCCGACAGGCGAACAAATGAGGACTACGAACAGCGTCTCAAGCAGCACCAAGAGCGCAAAGGCGTCACGGAGAAGCAAGAGGCTCTTGAGGCTCTTGCCGTCAAGTATGAAAAACTTGAGGAGATCCTACTCAATAAAGGCGCGAAGACCTTTAAGGAGCTCCATCCGGACATTGCCAGTGCTTACCAGGAGTACCAGCAATACTCACATCCTGAACAAAAGAAGGTGCCCTGGGAACTGTCCTTCAACTTCTCTGTTCACGACCTGACAGACGAGTCCCGCGAGGCGTACATCAAGCTGTAAGTGTAGGAAACTCAAAGAACTTTGAAAAGAACTAACATGAGACAGATTCCAAGCAGCGTGGGATGGGGATGTCAATACGATCAAGTCGCTGACTCTCGCCCCGTGGGGCCCCTCCAACAATACTCCACTGAAGATTGCTATTCAGGACAATAACAACCAGTCTCCCTTCAGTCTTGCTGTTCTGCGTGGTCACCTCGATGTCGCCCGCGCCATTGTCGAAATCTCATTCGCTCAATTCCAGCCCGCTAACGACGAAGAACCAAAGGCGCGATACCACATGGGGAATGACGCGGATGAAGGCGAAGACAACATGAGCGACACCAGCGATATCCCCGTCTACAAGGAGCTCGTCGATGATAAATTCACTGTTGAGAACATTGGAGAGGTCTCAACTCAGGTACGTAGGTCGTGGTGCACACTCTCGCATGTCTCAGCTTTTGCCAGCGGAAAGCTCATCCTGAGGCCTTCGGCAGTTGAAGGCCTAAGACACGTTAGAGTGTTAACATCTCCCCTTTGATTTAGGATATCTGCTAATTGTACCACCAACTTTGCAGGTCAAAAGCAAGGTTTCTCCTTTAGCTTTTATGTCATTCTCCTGCTCTGCACGGAGTTACGCCAAATTTTTCATGGGTGATAAGAAGTTCACGTACGGTGTGGATGATCGCGAAGTCGGAGGTAGCCCGACACTCACTCTCCAATCGTGGGCGATCACTACGAATGACAAGTCGCTCTTCTCTTTTCTTCTAGATCTCGACGTCGAATGGACAGATCGCTTAGCCAAGAACATGGATGGGTCATCCGGCATCCCGTCTTTCGCGACATACGATTTCGAGCTGGCTTTGAAGTACGGTCGTATTGATCTGTTGGCGGAGATGATCAAGCATGGAGGTGCTGGAATGGAGCTTCAGTCGCTCGTCAAGAATTCTTCGGTGAAGTATCGAGAGAAGCCAAAGTACTACCAGGGCCTCAGTGTAGGCTGCCCACAACTCATTTGTCCGTAGCATAATGCAGGCTGACTTGGTTCGCAGGTTCACGGGAAGAAGCGAACCGACTGGATCCGAGCCGCTCGCGGAACGGACGCTGAGGGAGTCACGGATACGAGTCCACCACTCCTTGAAGCTGCTTTCAATGGCAGCCTCCAGAGTGTCGAGTGGCTTCTTAGCGATACTCCTGCTCGACACTACCTTGACTTCGCTGAAGCATACAAGGGTGACAAGTTCATTACGCACTTGAACACTGCCGCCGGAGGCTTCGAAAAGGTGCTCCGGAAGTGGCTGGGCGCCCGACGTAAGTTCATTCAGCATCCCTCTAAATATTCAGGCTGACACCGGATTAGGCGAGCTCGCTCTGCACTGTGCGGTGATGGCGAAGCCAGGAGCAGAGACCTCGAAGCTAATTCAATACTTGCTTCAAGTCATGCCGGAATCGCTCGAGACGAAGTCAGGCGATGGGTACACGCCACTTGCCCTCGCTTTCTCCCTACACCGACTAGAAGCGGCCAAGATCCTGATCGATGCAGGTGCTGACCAGACTGTCCGTGATTCCAATGGAGCCAACATCATCCACCTCCTTCTCTGCCCTGCTTATACGAATGGCAGCTCCAAAGACGAGGAAGCATTTCAACCACTGTTGGACCTCATTGACAAACGTTTGATCTCATCTCTTCTCACGGAACGATCATCCCATGAACCTGGATCCCTGACGCCTATTGCAAGGCGGCTTCGATATTGTGGTAGTGAGAATGAAGATGTACTACGGATGCTGCTCGATTTCGCAGCCCCCACTTGCAACGAGCACTTGGAGCTTCTCGACGGGTCCGGCGACACCCCTCTTCATTACGTGGTCAAGTCCCGGAAGCAGAGCTGGCTTCAGATCATCCTAGAGTACCGCCCAGATCTCTTGTACCGCGAGAATTCCGTCGGTCGCACTCCTTACGAACTTGCCGAGGATGCCTACATCTCCGAATGTGTCTCAGACCCACCAGGCGTAACCAGCAACAGGTATTACTCCTACCCCTACCAAAATAATTACCCATCTCTGGTACAACGGCTTCCCGAGACCTTTGCCAAGGACTACAAGGAAGCGGGTAATGCGACCACGGAGAGCGTCTGGAGGATATGCGAGGAGTTCGTGAAGAACCACCCTGGGAGGAGGCGGCTCGTCAGTTTACTGGATGCCAATGAGGTTGCAAAGAGACTGGCTAAGAGGAAAGCTGAGGTTCGTGTCTATGACCGTGTCAAGCGCGACGAGGAGAGCGATGCAGGTTCCGTTGACGGCAACGCAGTCGACTTAGGCGATGAAGTCCGCCAATGGTATGTATCCACTGCTCCATCTTCGACCTCTGCTTACTGACCGCCTTCAGGTATTACAGTGCTTCACAAGAGCACGTCTTCTTCGGTGGACAGAGATATAATTTCATAGGGGGCGGTAGGAGACATCGTCGGGTAAAACGCTTTCCGTAAGGCGCAGGCATCTCCTTTTCAGTACTTGGGTGAATGCAGCTTCGTCAATGTTGGTAGGCGCTAGGTAGCAGCTGAAGACGCAAGTCTAGTCAACCTTTCCTTCAAGAACTTTGATCTCTTGCTCTTGACTCTACTTAACGCCTCTTTCAACCACATTAGACTCCGCCTTGTCTGTGTCTCAAACAGGAACTGCCAACAAAGGGTATGCGGCGTCTAGAGCATCGAGAGACCAGATGGTATGCGAGCCCGTCTCAACCTGCTCGCGAGCGTGAAGAGCGGCTTGAAGTGACAGTACGTCATCACACTTGTCGATTTCCCGTCCTGGCGGGCACACCTACGCCTACGTCTCTACCACAGCAACGTTCCAACCCTACGGCGACACCACCTTCGCTTTCCAACCCCAAATCCTGAAGTCCTTATTCGTTCCTATTATTTAGCGGCGCCTCTGAGGCTCGCTGGTATTATCGTCCCAATTCGGCGTTGTTGGGCGCGTTGCGAATCCCCACGACACCTTTCACTCCACTGGCGGTGAGAGGGCGCTTTCTACCACCGACCAAATCTTTATTCATTCCTATTGTGCCCAGCCTCAACTCTCACTCCTTCGGTTCTCCTCGTTTCAGAACTCGGCGTTCGGAGCCGCGGCTCTCAATTCGCACAATACCTTCCACCACCCCCAAGCTCTTCACTCTGGTGAAAACCACGCATCTGCTCTCCATCGCTCCTCGCCGCCCGCGTACCCCAGTTCGCTCAGAACAATACCTTCAATACAGACCCGCTGCAGGGGTTCCGCCGCCCCACAGCGCACAATGCGTCTGAATGACGAACGGGCGAGCAGCGCGACGGCTGCCCCGTCTGCAGCTATTGTACCTATTCAGAACAATCGCAGAGAGCTGCTGCTGGCGTTGGAGAGCTGTAGGCGAGACTTCCGGGCATAAGTATCTTCGTCCTCACTGTCCTCTGCTTCTCTTTTCCTTCTTCTTTTTCTTCTTCAGAGCATCTCAATTCGCTTCTTACTACTGCTGCTGCTCTGCGAGCGCCTTTACGACCTTCCGCTTTTCTCTTTTTGGATTCTTTTGGATTTTCCTGACGCTGGTCGTCAACTCCTTGATCCTTTGCCTTTGTGGATATACGACCTTTTCGACGCTGGCCGTCAACTCCTTGAGCTTCGACTCCCTTTGCACATACGGTTCTGCCAGACGCTGGTCGTCATCTTCGACTTCCCTTTGGATATTCAGTCCCCCTAGACGCCGGTCGTCATCTTGAACTACGCTCCTATCCGGCACGAGACGTTGATCGTCTGAACCCATTCCTTCCTTTCCATCTCCAACAAGATGTCTAACCAGGACTCCCCAATCAACATGTCGCAGTTCCTCGGCAGCGCCCACCCATTTAATCAGTGGAATCCCTTCGATCAGGAGTTCCTTGACTTCGAGGCCGGCCAGATCACCCTTGAGGGCGAGCTCTCTAGCAGCGTCCTGAGCGGCTCGGGTCAGTTCACCGGCAGCGTCCCTACCAGCTCAGGCGATTTGTCTAGCAGCCTTCCTAGCGGCTCGGACGAGGTCTCCGACAGCGTCCCAAGCAACGTCCCTAGCAGCGTCCCCAGCAGCGTCCCCAGCAGCGTCCCCAGCAATGTCCCGTATGCTCCACCAGCTACACCTCACCAGTTCCTTCGCCCATCTGCCCCGGCTTCGAGCAACCCAGTGCGCCGTCAGGGAGTCCTCCAGCCAGCTGCCCAGAGTAACGCAGGACCCCTCCAGGGAGTCCTCCAGCCATCCGTCCCCAGCAACGCCACGCCCCTCCAGGGATTCGTCAGGCCATCCCTCCCGAGCAACCCAACTCCCCTCCAGGAGCTCCTAGCCGCCTTAGGCGGACGCCCTGCGACTATTGAGAACGTCGCTGCACTGCCCCCTCAGCAGCTAAACGCTCTCCACCGCTCCGCCCAGAGGGCCGGTATCTGGCCTGTTTCACCACTGGCATACGAGCCACTCATCGATGTGGATGAGGTTATCGACGACGACATGAAGCCCCCCACGCCCGAGGAGACAGTACCCACGACCGAAGGGGCAGTACCCACGACCGAAGGGACAGTACCCACGACCGAAGGGACAGTACCCTCGACCGAAGGGACAGTACCCAAGACCAAAGACACAGTACCCAAACCCATCTACCCGGCATTTCAGGGCCACTTCCAGACGGCGGACGCCGCCCGCACGCATCGCAAGCGCTCGCGCCTCCCCGCCAAGCAAGCCGCCGACGTCCAGCGCGTCAAGCAATTCGGCCGCGAGTACTGGGTCAAGCGGCTCTACGAGGCCATGATCGACATCTCGTTCGTCGTCGACAGCGCGTCCTCAATCCACCGCCAGCGCTTCGTCGACACGGCTGCCTTCGACCCCATGGATCTCGAGGCCGCAGCGCACCACATCTTCGACAACGCGGTCGGTGTGCACGAGCGCGGCTGGGCTCGCCCGATGGTGTACCACAAGAGGGTTGTGCGCGGCAAGCTCACCGATGTGAGCGAGAACTGCTTGGAGCGGCGGCTCGCGCGCATCTGCTTCCGGCTCAAGCACTCGAAGGCCACGGTTGATGATGCGCTGAGGGGCGGCATCACGTTGGCGCTGCTGTGCGATAACCCTGATGCTAGGGGCTTCACGAAGCTGTCGAATAATTCGGGCAACAAGAAGCGGGGTGAGCGGTTGAAGGCTGCTGGGGGCAAGGCTGCTAAGGGCAAGGCTGCTAAGGGTAAGGATGCTACCAAGGAAGCTACTGAGTCTTCGGCTGCTGAGGCCGATGCTCCTGAGGCTGATGCTTCTGGGACTGATGCTCCTGAGACTGGTACTCCTGAGGCTGATGCTTCTCTGGTTGGTGCTCCGACTGGTGTTCCTCCGATCGGTGTTTCTCCGATTGAGATTCTGACTGGTGTTCCTCCGTTCGGTGTTTCTCCGATTGATACCTCGACTAGTGTTCCTCCGTTCGGTATTTCCCCGATTGATACCCCGACCAGTGTTCCTCCGTTCGGTATTTCTCCAATTGATTCTCCGACTGGTGTTCCTCCGACCGGTGCTTCCCGGACTACTGCTCGTCGGGGTGCTCTTCCTCAAGCTCCTGGTCCTTACCCTGCTGGTTATTACCCTGCCCGTCCTTACAACCCTCAGGATTCCGTTCCGAGACCTGGCGGCTTTCCCCCTCATGCTGGCGAGGTTTCTGCCGGTCGTCAGACTGCTGGTCGTCAGACTGCTGGTCGTCGGACTATGGCCCCTCCGACTGCTACTCCCCAGGCTGCGACTCCTCAGGCGGCGACTCGTCCAACTGCGGCTCGTCCAACTGCTACCCGTCCAACTGCTACCCGTCCAACTGCTACCCGTCCAACTGCTACCCGCCCACCTGCTACTCCTCAGACCGAGTAGCTCTCTCTGGACGCATCTCTTGCTGCCTCTCATTTTGGTTCCTGATTGGAGGTCTTTTGGACGCACTGCTGCGTCTCATTTTCGATATTTCCTTGTACATTTGGAGGCAAGGACTCTATTGGCTGGATATTACTACATCTCTTCTTTGGATATTCCTTGCTGCGTATCCTGTTGGTGGAGATACATGATCGGTTTTGGATATACCCCAGATCCCCTTTCCTTCTCTTATGGTTGGCTATCTTGCTCATCTTCGACATTGGTCGTTCGACTCTAGTGTTGGATACTATATCTTGCGTTCTGTTTTGCTCAGCTAGATCTTTTAGATTCCTTGAAATCCACCAGGTACCTTCCTGTGGCTAAAACTTTTTCGCTCCTAGGATCCTCGAAAAGACCTTGTTCACACGGCGCGGTGAACTAAGCTGAGCAGTAATTATGGTTTGTAATCCATTAAGCTGCGTGCCTTAGCCGGCCAACGCAGATGGACGAAAGAGGGTATTGGGAGAGGTCGGAGGATAGAAAGCCCCGAACCACACGACCTCTAAGGAGTGCACAGTACTCCAGCTTAGCCGTTCACCGACATTGAATCGCGAAGCATGTCAGCACAAAGAATTCTTCTCGGCCTTCACGCAGCGGAGGATCGGAGAAGTTCTTGAATACGGAATAGATAAACAAACTACTGGTATGTTGAGCATCGGAACATAGTCACCCTCCGGCGCTATCCCCGATCCGTGACAACACTCCACATCTCGGCCTCTCAACTCCTTTCTCCATCCCACCTCGCGCCTTTCCCCCTGCTTTTCCGACTCCACCGCCACAGCCAAAAGGCCGAACTGCACGCTCGTCCACGGCCGTCGTCCATGCGCCACAAGAACTCCAGCACAGAGTGGCGCCCGCAGCGAATCATGCCCTGCCGATTTCTGCGCGGGAAGATCTCCGCCTCATCAGCCGAGGGCGAAGCTGGCCGACGTACCAATGATGTCGAGCGCAAGTGCGGGCCACGCGACCCGGACTTTTCGTCCTCTACTGGCTGCTTAAAACCGGCGCATGGTGAAGATGCGGTGGGCGCGCGAGGAAGGCTGCAGAGCTGCACTGTAGGTGGTTCACTCGTTTCGTGGTTTGTATATTAGAAATCGGGCCGCACGTCTTTCTATCTACTTTTCATTTCTATTGTGGCATTCTACATAGCCAGATCCAGCGGTACTGGGAGTTGTGCTATTCTGAATACTTACTTCGACGTCATTTGAATATTCTTCTACCGCATTCCACTGAAAGTCGGCGTACCTTTTTGGAGACTCGGTCATGGCAGACACAAGACCAGCGCGAACGGCGCTTTCAACATCAAGAACGCGTTCGCGCTCTCGGCCAAGTCGGCCCAGTAGTCCGCCGCTGCATCGAATACTCTCGAATCAGTTTCCGGACGATCATTCCGTTTACCATCACGAGAACGGCGAAGGTGTCCATGTAGACACCGATGTGGAGTCGCTACACAAGACGGAAACAGAACGAAGACGCGCAGAGCTTGAAGATGAGAGCGATAGTGCGGCTGATGAAGCCGAATTGTCGGAGAAGGACGGGGTGACACATGAAGTGAATGGAGAGACTACGATACTGGAAATCAGGAATGGCATCGTAGACGAGCGCGATGTTGAGGCGCAACCGGCGCAGCTGGAGAAGAAGAAGTCTTCAAGGTCGATTAAGGATCCGAATTTGGTAGGCTCTTCTGCCATGCTTGAGAGCGCAAGCGCATAAATTGACAACGAATAGGTAACATGGGACTCACCAGAAGACCCAGCGAACCCCAAGAATTGGTCCATGAAACGCAAATGGGCAGCAACGTTCATTGTGTCGTCCTTTACGCTTGTTTCTCCCGTCTCGTCGTCCATGATAGCGCCGGCCTTAAGCTCCATCAGCCGAGACTTCAAGATCACGAACGAAGTCGAAGCACAGCTCACGCTTTCGATATTCGTTCTTGCTTATTCTATCGGTCCGCTATTTCTCGGTCCTCTGTCGGAGATATACGGACGTGTAATTGTCCTACAGCTATCGAACTTGTTCTATCTTGCGTGGAACCTTGGATGTGGGTTCGCTCAAAACAAGGCACAGCTTATGGCTTTTCGGTTCATGAGTGGTTTAGGTGGCTCCGCGCCGTTGGCTATTGGCGGAGTACGACTTGCACTTCCCTTACTCTGATCGAAGGCTAACAACATCCAGGGTCTCCTTGGCGATACCTTCTACCCCGAGCAGCGTGGCCGAGCTATCTCCATTTACTCGCTCGCTCCTCTGCTAGGGCCTGCTATCGGTCCTATTGCTGGTGGTTTTATTGCAGAAAATACGACATGGCGCTGGTGCTTCTGGGCGACCACGATCTTCACAGCAATGGTTCAATGCTTCGGCATATTCTTCCTTCAAGAGACATATGCTCCCAAGCTGCTCGCCTGGAAACGCGACAGGCTCCGCAAAGAGACGGGAAACATGAATCTGCACACCGAATACGATAGCCCCGACAAGACGCTCTTCAAGACCATCAAGGTGGCGCTGCAGAGGCCGTTCCGGCTACTGGGCACACAACCCATTGTCCAAGTTTTGGCATTGTATATGGCCTATCTCTACGGACTCATGTACCTTATGCTGTCGACTTTCCCACTCCTCTGGTCCGATCATTATGGCGAATCAGTCGGCATCGGCTCGCTGAATTTCATATCTATGGCTCTCGGTTTCTTCCTCGGAACACAAATCACAGCACCCTTGAACGACGCACTCTATCGCCGGCTGAAGAAGAAAAACAATGGTGTGGGCAAGCCCGAGTTCCGCGTTCCGATCATGGTACCAGCTTCAATCGTTGTTCCAGCTGGACTCTTTTGGTACGGCTGGAGCTCGCAGGCGAAAGTGCATTGGATCATGCCCAACATTGGCGCGTGCTTATTCTGCGCCGGCACTATTGTCAGCTTCCAGTGTATCCAGACATATCTCGTTGATTCGTACACGCGGTATGCTGCGAGTGCGATTGCGGCGGCTACGGTGCTGAGATCTTTGGCTGGCTTCGGCTTCCCGCTGTTCGCGCCGTACATGTACCAAGCCCTTGACTTTGGGTGGGGAAATAGTTTACTGGGTTTTATCGCGATTGCTCTAGGTGTTCCGGCCCCGTTCTTGCTGTGGAGGTATGGCGCGACGCTGAGGGGTAAGAGTCAGTTCGCCGCCGGAGGATAGGAAAACTTGTGGGAAATAATGAGGAAGGGAGAGAGGTGATGGAGGGGTTCTGTGTTGCTTCGTAGCGAGCATTGAAGGTGTTGGTCTGGTTGGGCCTTGAAAAAGTTATACCCAACATATCTGTCAGTATACACATAGGCAAGATAAATATACTCTATATCCTTCTCAAGAAACGTCTGCGATGCCCTTCTATGAGTTTGAACCACGACGTAAGCAATGCGGTCTGAACGCTTCCTAATTGGGTGGAATCGTTCGACGTGGTCCGTGCGCTGAAGCTCAAATGTCGAAAAGTCGTGAGACAGCGTCGACGTGCGATTCCACCGCCCGGCGCAACCCTCGCACACGCCACTGTACCCGCCATTGAGATGGCTTCGGCATGCAATTGCCTCGCTGGCGTCGCCAGAAGTGCCAGAGCCTCGCCCGCGCTCCGCGTCCCGTTCCGAACCTCCGCACGGCGAACCTTCGTCTCCTCTCACAGCTCGAGCCCAGCAGTGTCGTTACGGATAGCCGGAAGGAATGATACGGCGTGCGCTTCTAAGAGCAGAAAATTGGGCTTGCAGGAGGGTAGGCGAGCGAGGAGCTTGCACGAGCAGATCAAGTCGTTTTCCAGCTCCACCCCACGGCAGAAGCTCAAGACGATTGAGCAAGTGCGCGCGCGGAATAAAGGCGGCGTGAGTCTCTCCCATATATCCATTGCTCCTCTCGGTTGATAATCCCTTTCTAAATGTGATACCTCTTCTTTGGAGCAAGCTGACCTTTTTACTACCAGCCCTTCAATGTCACGGCCGCCATTCTCTTCGTTGCGACCGCCGGAGCGCTATGGGCCTACTTTACCTACGAGAAGGAGCGTATGGCGCGGAAACGGATAGCGGATCAGACGAAGGGCATGGGGAAGCCGAAGGTTGGAGGGCCGTTTGATCTGATCGATCAAGATGGGAATCGGTTTACGAGTGATGATATGCTGGGGAAATATTCGCTGGTACGTTGATATCTGTACCTGGTGGGGAAACTGCACGATATCCTATGGCATCAGGGTCAAAGAGCAGACAAGATGCGGATGAGGTGCTTCGGCGAAGTTGCGAGCTGCACGGAGCCATTGCTAACGACTCTACTCTAGGTCTACTTCGGCTTCACACACTGCCCCGACATTTGCCCCGACGAACTCGACAAAATGGCGCTCATGTACGACAAAGTCGTGGAGAAATGCGGCGATGTCCTCCTACCCATAATGGTCACCTGCGATCCTGCGCGAGACAACCCAAAGGTGCTGAAGGAATACCTCCAAGAGTTCCACCCCAAATTCATAGGCTTGACGGGCGACTATGAAGCCATCAAGCAGACGTGCAAGGCGTACAGGGTGTACTTCAGCACACCGCCGAGCGTGAAGCCTGGGCAGGACTATCTGGTAGACCACAGCATCTACTTCTACCTCATGGGTACGTCACTCCCTTTCCTCTATTGACTCTTTGTTGCATACCGAAAGTCCATAAAACGATGATGTCGACGAGGCTCGTATCGCGATCTTGGAGCTCTGGTGTTCGCGATGCAGCAAAGATAGTCGAATGCAACTGACGTCACGCGCAGATCCAGAAGGCGATTTCGTCGAAGCCATCGGACGCAACTTCACGGCAGACCAGGCCGCGAAGGTGATCTCAGATCACATCAAAGATTGGGAGGGACCATTAAAGAAGAAGGATCGCTGGGCTTGAAGACGTGGAGGTCGATTGCGATTATCAACGGACGGCTGGCGGTTAAGTGACCACCCCTCTCCATCCTTCAACGGTACAGGCGGTATCGCAATGCTGCTATTGGTGCAGGTAGTGGCTTCTGTACATGTACATTTGTAAGGGTATGTAGAATATCAGTGTACCGCTATGCCACACGTCACCTATTTCCACGACTTCTGGAGATGTACAGCCGGTCTTCTCGGTCGTCAGGTCTATACATAGGGAACGCTTCAGGGGCCCAAAGATCTGGACTGCGGGATCACCCAGCCCTTTAACCCCGCCCCAATTCGCCCCTTCGGCGAACTACTCACTTCGGGAACCTGATAAAAAGTTCTCTAGCCACGCTGCGACTCGTATTCGCGGCATCGTGTGCCGTCAACACTACGACTATCCCGCGCCAGCCACAACTCGCGCGAATGGTGAAGAGAAACACAGCAAAATTCCAGATCAGCGATGTCTGCATCCGCGAGTGTGGACGCGCTTATCCACAAAGGCAAGGGTTCTCCAAGTGTGTCCAGCGCAAGGCTGGACCCATCCCAACCAAGATCTTCAGCACCAACGATCTCGTTCTGCGAGGGTGGTCGGGTTTTCTAGAAGCCCGCCTTTGGCAGGGTGATGCTTGTACCCGACTTTTACTGACTGCGTGGAGTGCGGCAAGGGGGCTTGTGGCGAGGCTTATGTACTGTACTACTGTACTCCGTACCGTCGGCAGTCGCTGCTGTTCGGTTGGGGAAGGTGGTTGGGCATCTTAGCCGATGGGCGGATGCAGCGGGGAAAGGGAAAAAGGGCTTGAGGAACGGGGACGGCGATCTCATATGGTATTTGGTAGGTAGAGGAGTTTTGTGGACGTCACGGGTCTTGAGGGGGTTGAGGCTTAATTGGCGAGCTGAAGATGTTTGTACTGTACTGTACTGTGTAGGAGCGGAAGAGAGAAGGTGGTCATGTGAAAGCGCATAGGGGGCGCCGAATAAGCGTCCGCGCCAGACGGGCGCTTGGGAGATAAGCTCTCGCAGTGGAAGTCTTGTTCGGCCTGTAGGCGAGCGCCGAGCTGGGCGGCTGAGGGGGTTTACTGGAGCCGCGTAGGGGCCGGAGCGCGCGAGGTCTCCTAGGGTTCCCTATCATCAGTAGCTGAGCGTTGTCCGGAGTACCCGTCAAGCTGTGTTGGGTTGGTATCTACGCCTGTCAGCTAAACAACAGCTGCTGTGCCCCTCGAATCGATATCTCGGGCGGCCGTCACGAGACGAAGGAACGAGAAGATGGATGTAACAATAAGCTCCTTCCGGATGGGACTTTGCTGGGCGCCACGCTCCACTTCCCCAAGCCATCGTGGGCTTGGCTACAGTGCGGTTGGAGGCTCCACTACCGTACTCCCCATAGGTACCGTCGACGCCACATATTTTTGGATATCTGTAGCGTCCGCGATGCCTGTTGCGGTTGCAAGGCCGATGCGTGAGCAATCCCGCCTGCCGGGTCGCTTGTTCGATATCTACCATGCAGAGAATCCGCGGCTTTGGATGGAGGACGGCGCGTGGGCCGTGGACCGCTGGTAAGCGGCGCGACGTGGACGTGGAGTGCAGGACCACATGTCGTGGAATAGATGAAGTTGGGGATTGTGAGGGTGTGGTTGCGATATCAATTGCAGCCGCGGGATGACGCGATGGTTGACGCCGAGCTCCTGCTGTTCCTGAGCTGCCTTTGCCTCGTCCAACAGCACCGTCGTGATTATTCAAGAGCCCTGCACCGTCAGCGATCTCCCTTCTCTTCCCCTTCGACGCCGCAAATCGCCCATCGCGCGAGTTGCCCCCAGGTCTCGCCTCGCACGGCAATGGTGGAGCCCATCACCTTCCTGATCGGGCTGATGGGCCCCTGCCGCTAGCAAATAAGCGCAGCCTATCCGTGCCCAAGCATTTGCCGGGGCCGCGTTGGTCGTCCAAATTGCCTGCAACAGCATCAATATTAATCTGGCAAAAACAGGCCAGCGTGGAGAAGGAGTGCGTCCCGCATGGAGCAGAGGGGCAGGGGGACTGCGCTGCCGACCATCCAGCAGACGCGTCCATATCAATTGATACCAACTGCGGCGTCGCGTTCGCGTTGGAAGACGAGCTCCCTTATCGCAACCTCGCAACCACGCAACCCTTCAATTCCTTCCATATACCGGTGCAGCATTGAGACGGACCTGCGACCTGGGCGCGCGGGATCCTTTTCTATCTCGTGCAGATCGCAACCAGCCCAGTCCGGCTGCGACGCGTTCCGCACACAAACAAGCCCGCCACCGTTTCACGCAAATGTAAAAGCGTCGACGAACCAGCGCGCGTGCTGCTATCTCAGACGTCGATGGCTGGGGGCCGCCTTGCCACACCCGAAGCCTTTCTCCAGAGTTTGGCGTTAAGCTTGCTGAGATACGAGCGGGCCACAGATTAATCCGGCAGGCGGCGTTGCTTCATCCTTTACCCTGATGCGTTGCATGGGTGCATGCGCGCTGGCCGAGCACTGGACCACGGCTCCTTCACCTGCGTTGCCCGATGAGGTTCCACGTCCGGCGACTGGTGCGCCCTCGCGATGGCCCTCGCTGGCCACTCGAGAGGCGCCGTGCGGTTGATTTTGTGTTGCGCGCCGTTGATCTCGCGCCTTGCCGCAAGGGGCAGGCCACAATCTTCTACGAGCCTTCGGTGCGTCCATCTGGTTCCACTCACCTGGCCGAGGCCTAGATAGCAGGGCCCGGCCCATGATACGCAGCGGCAGGGTTGCTGGCTGATAGGGTGGCAGGGTGGCATGGGGTCGCGGAAAGGGTCGCACCTCCAAACGCTCCCCCGGCATATATTGCGAGCCAGACCCCTCCCTCGTGGGAGCTTCTATCGCGAGTCCCTCTCCTCTGCGACACCCGTATCCCACCAGCGCAGGTAGGGCGTAGTAGTCCAGCATGTCTCAAAATCCCGAGGTCCTCGACGTGAATGTCGACCCTATGGGTCAGGTTAACCCCAAGGTGTGAGTTTCACCCCCAGCTTGCTGTCGCATGGACCTCTGTGCTACCGGGCTCCACATTCTCCACATGTTTCTTCTGGCTGACAATTGACAAGCCCGGCAAACACTGAGAAGGAAAACACCTTCAATACGCCTGCCTATACCGCCGACGAGAAGGAATTTGAGGTCGAGCGCGTCAAGTCCATTGATCACGAGCACCATGACGACTTTACCATTGACCCCTTCAAACCTTTCGACGACCTGCCGGACGAGCGCAAGACCATCCTTACCATTCGTGCTGTCTTCGTCGGTCTATGCTGCGGTGCTCTTGTAAACGCCTCCAACGTCTATCTCGGTCTCAAGACAGGATGGACCTTCACTGCCAACTTGTTCGGCGTATGTTGAACCTCACATCGCGAAGCTTTGGTCTCGGCAGCTAACAGATTCGCAGGCCATTGCCGGTTTCGCCGTCATCAAGTTCATTTCCAAGGCGCTTCCAGAGCATTTCCCGCTGCTCGGAGGCAGCTTTGGCCCGCGTGAGAACAACATTTGCCAGACCGCTGCCATGGCTTCTGGTGGTCTGTCCTCCGTCTTCGTCTCCGCGTTCCCCGCCTTGTACCAGCTCGGCCTCATGGGAAAGGACCCAAAGGAGGACTATTGGCGAATTGTGGCCCTGACTGCTGTTTCTGGCTACTTTGGTTTCTTCTTCGCTACTCCTCGTAAGTTTGACCCATATGTTAGATATTCTTCAATTGGTTCTAACGAGTTCAGTGCGTAAGTTCTTCATCGTGTACGTCGCACGTGAACTGCGCCTCATCTTCCCGACTCCCTCTGCCACGGCTATGACGATCCGGTCGATGCACCAGGCCATTACCGGCGAGGCCATTGCGAAGATGAAAATGAAGGGTCTCTCCATTGCTTTCACTCTCGCCCTGCTTCTGCGTGTCGTCTCACAGTATGCCGTCGGCATTCTCTGGGACTGGCATTTCTTCACCTGGTTTTACATCTGGGGCAACTACCACAGTACGTATTCTCCAGCCCGCACAGGTGTATGAGTACTAACACAAAATGTCTAGACCAGGCCCTCGCCGTAGAGAACTGGGGCTGGTTCTTGGAATGGACCCCGGCCTTCATTGGCTCCGGCATGCTCGTCGGTCTCAACGTCTCCATCTCTTTCCTGGGTGGCTCTATTCTCGCCTGGGGCATCATTGGGCCAGCCCTCATCGTGCACAACAAAGCTTACGGCATCAACCTTGGCGAGGGCGACCCAAAATGGGACGGCTACACCACTTTTGCATCGCTCAGCTTGGCCGCCTGCAACAAGGACTATCCGTCTCCCCGTTACTGGCTCCTGTGGCCTGGTGTGCTCATGATGATCGTCGTCTCCTTTACCGAGCTCGCGCTGCAGTACAAGGTCATCTTCTTTGCCTTCAAGGCTCTGTACCGCGGGGTTGCCGCTGGTCTCTACGCGCTCGGCCACACCATGGGCAAGGAGTGGGGCTTCTTCAAGAAGGCCGGCTCCCAGGCCGAAGAGGATCTCGTCGAGGACTCGGCCGCGCCCCATGAGCAAGTCAAGATGTGGATGTGGGGACCTGGTCTGATCCTCTGCATCATCTGCATCTGCATTGTCCTCGGTGTCCAGCACGACATGCCCGTCGGCATGTCGCTCCTATCCGTCGTCCTGGCCTTCTTCTTCTCCTTCGTCGCCATCCAGTGCACTGGTGTCACTGACATCACGCCCCTCACCGCCGCGTCCAAGGCCTCGCAAATCATCCTCGGCGGCGCCACCAAGGGTGAGCACTGGGAAATCGAGCACGCGCAGCGGCTCAACCTGATCGGCGGTGCCATGTGCAGCATGGGCGCCAACCAGTCGACGGACCTAGTCTGCGACTTCCGAACGGGCTTCCTGCTCCGCACGCCGCCGAACCAGCAGTGGCTCGCGCAGGGCGTCGGCACCATCGTCGCCATCTTCCTAGCGCCCGCCATGTTCCAGCTCTTCAGCACCGCCTACCCCTGCATCATCGACATCAACGCCGACACGTGCGCCTTCGCCATCCCCTCCGTCTCCGCCTGGCGCGCCACCGCCGTCGCCGTCACCGACCCCACCTTCCCCATCCCCACCTCCTCCGGCATCTTCGCCATCGTCTTCGCCATCTTCGGCTCCGCCATGGTCTTCATCCGCCACTACTTCTGGGTCGGCCGCTACGAGTGGGTCAAGCGCTACCACCCCAACATGATGTGCATCGGCCTCGCCTTCGTCCTTGCCCAGACCCAGTACGGCACCGCCATGACCATCGGCGCCGCCTTCGCCGCCGTCTGGCAGAAGAAGAAGCCCGAGCACTTCGACATCTACGGCTATGCGGTGGCGGCTGGTCTGATCGCGGGCGAGGGTATCGGCGGCGTTATTAATGCTATTTTCCAGATCGCGGGGATCTCGGGCTCTGTCTACGGGACGCAGGCGGGGTGTCCGATGGAGTGCTAGACGCGGCGGATGGGCGTTGCCGGGTCGGTCGGGCGGGCGGGTAGATTCGCCTGTGCTATCCATGGATATGGGAAGGCATTTGAGAATCGGCTCGGCTCGGCTCGGCTCGATGAAGGGATATGATTTTTTGCGACGGATATACCACGTGTGCTATGAAATGACTCTCTCAGCTGCTAACCACTTAATGCACTCATTATTTTTAATGTCTGGACCTGATCGTCCGCATTGCCTGACTCGTGCGTACGACTTTGCCAACGCCAACGACAAGCTACACTATAACTGGGTGTCGCGTCCCAGGCTTCGGTTTGCCTGATGTACATACACCCCATTCATTCGTCCGGGCATCTGCGCAAGCGTGTGAAGGATACGAGTGAACTTCATAAGTGTTATCATTCCTTTTGAATCCTACTATCTTGCGCGCGACTCCGGGCTGGCCTACAAAGGCGTTACAAAACAGCCTCTCATACAGGGGCTCGTGCTCATTGCTCATGGTGCGGCTCCTATGCCTCGCTCCAAACTAGTCCCAAAATGTAATAAGGAGACAAATTATGCCACGCTACCCACAACCAATGCCGCCACACCCTCTTCCTCGCTCCGCGCTTCGATCTTCATTGTGATGCCGGTCTTAGCACTGAAAGCCATCCGCACCATAGCAGCAACCTTGCCACCAGTAACCGTCTTGCCATACAGCTTGAGTGTATGTGTCGAATTGGACATGGGGACATCTGTGCCTTCGAGTGGTTGGAGCGAAAGGGTCTTTGTTAGCTGTTCGGTAGCATCTGTGATGCAATTAGTACCTCGTCAAACAGAATTGAGGATGACGGAGACTTACCAGATATGCTCTTTATATTGCTCAGTTGCAATGTCTCTATTGCCGAATCGCCGTTCGACTGCTCCCAGACATTGTCGAAACTGCCTGCATAAGCAGGGACGACATAGTCCGCGCCATTGACGTCCAAGTCTTCGACCTGGTACTCATCAGGGTAACCCTCACCCTCTTCCGGCTCACCCGTGCTTGGATCTATCTCCTTGCTGGTGAACTTGAGCACGTTCGTGAAGGAGGTGGCGATGAACTGTGATTCGGTCTCCAGGCGCTTAAAGGAGACGTAGACCGTACCGGGCTCGTTCGTAGGGAGTTTAGGGGCGGGAATAATGAATTCCTCCTCTAGCTGGACATCCCCATCGTCTTCTGGCGTGACGACCATTTCCACGTCTAATAGAACGGTGTCTGGGAGAGTATTCTTGATGTTGTACTGGATAACCACGTGGTCCTTGAAAATGTGCTTGATAGCAGAGACGACGTATTCCGTCTCGGATTCAGTGAGCTCGACCACGCTGCTTGATTTGAGCACCCCACCATGGGCCGCCAATTCTGGGATCTTCTGCAATTCTGCAGCATACTGCTGCGCCGCCGCGGTCGCTGATGCAGCGGCATCGGCACCTGCTTTCGTAGGTGCCTTGGCAGCGCTGGGTGCCTTAAGAGTGGGTGTGGAGCCTTCGGTCTTCTTTGTGAGGTCTGCCGCATCTGCCTGCTCCCGGGACACGGTGGGTATCTTGGAGATGTCGAAGGCGTGTTCGAAGGTGTCGCGTGAGTCAGAACTGACGTAAATGGCAAGCTGATGCTCGAGCACAGGCAGCGAGTACATGGAGTCGTTGCGGACGAAAGTTACGGCCAAATCGTCGTCCTGATCCATTAACCGAAGGTTGAGAGCTGCGCGATCTCGGACTTCGTCATCAACGTCGTCAAGACATCGAGTAAGAAGCACGTGGACAGATTTCTTGATCTCTGGGTCCTTCTGGCCAACACCAAACTTGGCGAGAGCAGACGTGGCAGCGGCTCGAACAATAGCGTTCTCCAGCACCACTCGGTTGTAGATGTACCGGATGTACTTTGTCGGGTGTGGTGTCGACGGTCCTTCCCTGCCAAGAACGAAGAGTATCCTGACAGCCAGTTTGGTAAACTCACAGTCCTCGATGAATTCGCAGAGCGTTGCTAGAGCGTCTTCTTTCGCTTCCGGCACGAATCGGATCAGGTCCATTATCGCCTCAACCACTGCCCTCTTGAACTCATAACCACCTTCGTCGCGCAGGATGCCGCTGAGGAAGGCGAGGAAGCCGGACTGTTTGGCTTTGAACTTGAGTGCTAATGTGCGAACCGCTTCGACAATGGTGACCTTGAATTCGTCAGTGATTTCAGCCATGAAGCCGGTGATCTGTTTCATAAGTCTGTCAACCGACGACTCGTTGCCCGTTTTCAGCAGCGTCGTGATGGCGAAGGTAGCAATGCTGCGGTTTGAATTGGTAATAAGCGCCTCAATGTCCTGGTTGCAAGATCGGACTGCATCTGGCTTGAAAGATGCCATGGTCGACAATATCCTTAGAGCAGCGAATTTGGTGACCGCACGAGGAGAGGTGAGGAAGAGCTGGAGGACATGTACTGCTTGTACAAGTTCGCCCTCGGTAACGTCGCGCATGTCGCAGATGGCCTTTGCTGCTTCGAAGTTGACCATTTCGGACTTGTGGCGCAGCCAGCCGTCGAGGAGTTGCATCATGGGCTGTTTCCCGGTTAGCATGATGAGATTTGAATTTTCCGCGACAGTCCTACCTTGCGCAGGTTCGGGTCTTCCTCCGCAAGCTTTGCTGCGATCCTAACTAGGAAGACGGTGGCAGCAGGGCTCTTCACAACACCGGGGTTGGAGTAGTCCCGCAGCATCTTTTGCAAGCTCATCCTATCACCCGCCCTCATCTGGTATAGCAATCCAATGGCATGATACTGCGTCATGTAGTTTGTGCTGGCTTGAAGGGCGCTATGCGAGCTGCCCCCAAAACCACCCAAAAAGCCACCTCCGGATTTGCTGCCTGATGCTGCTTCCTGGGCTTCAGACTGCCATCTCCGCACAACGTCTCTTGCGACCGGAAGGAGGTGGTATGACGACACTAGCGCAGCGGAAGCGACCGAGGGGTTCTTGTCCACTATGCATGTCTTGACGAGACGTTCAATGGCTTGGACGGTGGAGGCGTCAATAACCCGGCAGAGGGCGCGGATGGCGTTTGGGCGATATACGACATCGCTGCCGACGGACGTATCTTTCATTATCGAGGACGTAACCATGATAACGTCGTCTGCGGAGCCAGCGAGTTCCTTAATGACAAGGTACACCATCTGACGGAGGGAGGCATCTTTGTTTTGGAAGAGTTTTGAGACTGGAGATTCTCAGTATGAAACTTCGCGAGGAGAGTGCAGAGAGCATACTGCCGAAGAAGAGTGTCGTAGCCTCCTGCCTCCCCCAGCTCTCGCCGGTGAAGAGCAGTAATGCCAGCTTAGTCAATATCTGCCGGCTGTGTCAGAACTTTTCCCCGAGTTACTTCACATCGCGCAACGTACCACTCTGCATTTCCGAGGCGAGATAGGGCTCTGATTGAAGACTCGTGCTGTTCGGCCATGTCAGCACATCGTACAGCTACGCATTGCTCCCCCAGCTCCGGTTGCAATATGGACCGCCCTACCTTCCTGGAATACAGATGTCTTGTCAATCTGCGCGACCCCACCGACATCCTCATGCTTCTTGTCCATCTTGCCCGAGTCACGACTCTCGCCGCGAGCCCTCGCTCAATTGTGTGGTATCGCCCTTCTCTTACTCCGCCAAACGTGGCCTTTCGCCAGCCTTGAACAACGCAATGCTAGACTCGGCGTAGGGAATTTCGTCGCAGTTGCGGCGTCCGGGGGAGCGAGGAGCTGGGTTCGGCGGGGATATCGGGAGCGTTGCGGTGAATTGGCGACGTTGTGGTTGCCCTCGTTCGGCGTATGCAGGGATGCTGCAAGTGTGGGCTGGGCTGCTGTTCGCTTAGTCAGCCGCTTTGGGGAGATTTTGGCGGCCAAACGCGGGATTTCAAGGCCGTCATCACTCGCAACTCAACACTCTCAGTCTTTCCTCCGCGGGCAATTCTCGCAATGGCTGCGTCAATACAGCGATCGCGATGCCTGCTCTCTTCATCGACGCTCCAGTCGCTTCCACGGTCGCTCACACCGGCCTCGCAATGCTCCCGAACATTTGCCACAACCGTGGACCCTCCGCAGCCCTCAACTTCAAACCAACAGCGTCCTACGACAAGATTCCGCGATAAACTAAACACCGGGCCCTCCTTCAACGACTTTGTAAATCCCAATGCGCCTCTCCCACCCTCCGAAGCCTACGAAATCAAGACCGCGCAAGTGGGACCCGAAGGCCGCAAGAAGACGATAACACGGCTTCCGGAATGGCTCAAGACGCCTATACCAGTCGACCAGAACTACAAGAAGATCAAGAATGATTTGAGGGGCTTGAATCTGCACACGGTCTGCGAAGAGGCCCGATGTCCCAACATTTCGGACTGCTGGGGCGGGAGCTCCAAGAGCGCTGCGACCGCCACGATCATGTTGATGGGTGATACTTGCACAAGAGGATGTCGGTTTTGCTCGGTAAAGACGTCAAAGACACCACCGCCGTTAGATCCACACGAACCGGAGAACACGGCGGAGGCGTTGAAGCGGTGGGGCCTTGGTTATGTCGTCCTAACATCGGTGGATCGGGATGATCTCGCCGATGGAGGTGCACGGCATTTCGCAGAGACGATCATGAAGATCAAGCAGAAGGCGCCTACTATGCTTGTAGAGGCATTGACAGGAGACTACGCTGGCGACCTAGAGATGGCGAAGCTGGTCGCGCTGAGTGGGCTCGACGTCTATGCGCACAACATTGAGACGGTAGAAGAACTCACACCCTTTGTGCGCGACCGGAGAGCAAAGTTCAGGCAGAGTCTGGAGGTCCTGCGAACAGCAAAGGAAACTAAACCAGAGCTGATCACGAAGACAAGCATAATGCTGGGCTTGGGGGAGACAGAGGAACAGCTCTGGCATGCGCTGAAAGGTATATCTTTCCCTGGCCTTCATCAATTGTGCAAGCGCTAACCGTCAATACAGAGCTGCGCAAGAACAACGTCGATGTCGTGACCTTCGGTCAATACATGCGTCCCACAAAGCGACACATGGCAGTCCACGAGTACGTAACACCCGACGCGTTCGAGCTATGGCGACAGCGAGCTCTAGACATGGGCTTCCTATACTGCGCATCGGGACCGCTTGTGCGATCAAGCTACAAGGCCGGCGAAGCCTTCATAGAGAACGTACTCAAGAAGAGAGCCGCAAAGAGGAACGAGTTGGTTGGCGCACAGGCCGTCGAAGATGTGAAGACAGCATAGAGCTGATGTCCTAGCGGACCTGATAACATCTTAGTTCTTGTAACATATTGTACGGTTCAACCGACGTTTAGAGTAATTTTTCAACACTTTCTGAGGTCCCCGAGGCCTCGCGCTGGGTGTGCTCTTGATGATTGCGGGTATGTCAATGGGCAAGAGGCGGGCGAGATCCATCTGAATGATTCATCCATGTGTATTGGATAGGAATATGCTCTCTAGGTATGGCACCGTGCCGGCGAATCCTTCTGAAGCCTTATCGACCCTCGTGCCGTGTGTACTGGCAATACTCCACTGTCCCGATGTCCTCGAGCATCCACAAACCCGTAACGCCTCGCCCATCACCAACCGAGACGATCACCTTTTGCCCAAGGCGGCTTCCAGGGGTATCTATAACGCCCGTTTGGCCCATACCGAACATACGGTTCAGACTGGCTTATGCATAAGTCATCAGCATCAAGCCTCCACACAATTTAGAGGAATTTTAGAGGAAAGAGGAAGTGTGGCAGAGCGCTTCCTCACTACTCCGACTTCTTCGCCAACTCCGCCTGGTTGCGCAGATTCGGAGCAGTTGTGTTCTCCCCGCCTGCGTTCTTCTGCTCCATGTCTGCGGCCCAGAGTGCTGCGCCAACGGTGTTGGTGAAGGCGAAGAATATGCCTAGAATGGGAACAAGCTCGAGGAGGACTGCGGGGACGCCGAAGCTGTCTCAAATCAGCAATTACTCGTACGAATTGGATGTCCCAGCTCACCTGGCGTATGCAGCCTTCCTCTTTCCGACGAACTCATCCCTGTCCCTCTTCGACATCTGCTTGAGCTGGAAGTACCGCGCATGCGCTGTGGGGCCGAACTTGCGCCCTTGCAGCAGCACGAAGAGAACCGTGCCTACGACCGGAATCATGTTCAGCGGCAGGTAGAGAAAGTACCGAATGATGGCCTTCGGGGTGAAGCGCTCAAACGGCTTCTTCATAAGCTTGCCGAGGTTTCCTATTGGATCATTGCCGGACTTGACCTGGCGCTCAGTGGAGACGAGAGAGTTGAGGTTGCGGCTGAGCAGCGTGCCGTCAAAGGTGTCGATGAGCGCATCATCGATGAGGAAGTTCTTGCTAAGGACAGAGAAGATGGTCGAACTCTCGCTGAGGACGAGGAGGACCGTGGTCACAATGGCGAGCGGGCCATTGACGAGGGTGAGGACTGCGGCTTGCGGGACGTAGGTCACGGCGAACATGAAGGCCGTCACACCCAGTCCTAGGGAGACGGTAGGGATGAGTTTCGCAGTGAGAGGACGCCATAAGCTGCGGTGCACGAAAAAGTACGCGATACCCTGGAGCCCATCAGCATACTTTCCGTAGTCAACTATTCCGAGCTCAATACCTTGAGAGGGTAGAGGTACGCGCCTGATCGGACCGCGTCTCTGGTGAGAACTCTCGCCTGCTCGAACTCCTCCACCGCGACTTCCTTGACCTTGTCTGACATTTTCGACTTGAATCGGCGCGAAGGAGAGATGACTGTAGATCTTAGGGAGAGTAATTGACTAACGGAGAAATGGCCATGGCGTGGTTGTTGGAATGAAAGTTTGATGTGTGCACATCCCACTCCGCATTACGTCATGCGCCCATCACACCGCGGACCCGGCATCTGGCTGGTCGGCCCAATTCCCCATGCCAATCAATTGAGGGCCTTTCCGGTTTCGGGCTGCATTACCAGCCACAGGCGTTCGTCGACGCGCAGAATCCTTGTCCGTCTGATGTAAAACATACATCCCGGCCCTCTGGAGTAGAATAAGTACCTAGGTAGCACAACGACGGCTTATTCCATGCCGCGTCATAATAGTTTAGGTTCTCTTGGGACTCCACACAAAGCAAGCCAACATGTCTCCGATCTATGGCTCTAGAAAGCCAAGAGCTGTATGTCCTTGCCTATCTGGGTGACACGGACGCACTCTCAGCCCAAAGTGTCCTCAGGTGATGCCCAGGTGTGCTAAAGCCAACTTTTCCTTGATTCCTGCGCCACATCGGATCAAAGCGGCATGGCTGCACGGACCGAATAGCACAAGGCTGATGCAAACCCGTCCAGAAACAGGCCTGAAGCTACGGTTGAGCTTCGATCCTTTCCCACTATGACGCAGCAACAGCCACAGGCACGGCCACGGAGAAATATACACCGTTGAAACTAAGCTACTTGCGGCCGGGCACTAGCCGCATGTGGCGGTGGACCCTCCCGCATGGGGACAACGTCTGTGGCGCATACCCGCATACCCTGCATCCTCGTGGGCTTGCGCAATATCGAAAGGCCGGGACAAAGCGAGTTTCCGGAGACATGCCGTATGGGGGTTGGTGAGGTGATTGCGTCTATTGCAATGACGAAAGTGCTTCCCCGGACCTGTTTGTGTCGGCTAGTGCTTGCATACTCTGGGAAAGGGTGAGGGTAGTGCGCTACAGAAGCTTCACCGTAGCGACTGCTCGAAGGCAGGTCTGCTGATGGATTTCAGTATGACGTATGTTGAGAAGCAGACTCACATAACTATATAATGCGCTCCATCCACAGCCATTGAACATTCTCCAACACTGCACTACTTCAGCTTCGGTACACCCGCACAAGCTCTCAAGTCTACAACTCAGCCACTCAAACAACAATCCAAACAGACCCACATCGTCAACATGGAGAAGATCAAGCAGAAGGTCGAGCAGGTCTTGCACAAAGACTCCGCTCACTCCAACACCACGGGCACCACGGGCACCACGGGCACCACTCATGGTAATTATGGAGGTGGTACGTTGTCTTATTCCTTACGGCCCATCACCAAACCCGCTTGAACATGCTCGCTGACCACCCACAGATCCGTCCGGGCCTCATTCTTCGCACATGGCAAATACAGCCGATCCTCGCATCGATAGTAACGTTCACGGAGGTTCCGGGAACACGCACGCCATGGGTGGTGGATACGGGACTGATCCGTCTGGCCCTCACTCATCGCATATGACCAACAAGGCCGATCCGCGGGTCGATAGCGACTATTCTGGAGGTATTGGAAATACACGCGCCACGGGCGGCGGGTATGGAACGGATCCTGGAGCCGGAAACATTGCCTCAACCGGAGGCTACCGCTCGCACGAAACGACGGGTGCTACTGGCTCTGACCCATCGGGCCCACATAACAGCCGACTGGCGAACAAGCTGGATCCGCGGGTGGGTTCTGACAGTAAGTGCCTCTACCGCTTCCCCTTTTCTTAAACGAAAAGTCGCTAACTGTGCCCCTTCTTCTAGATACTGGAACGTACGGAAACACTTCTGGAACGAGCGGCCAGGAATATGGCCATACCGCAGGCACGGGAGTACCTCACACCGGCCATGCAGGCGGGCTCACTGGCACGACTGCCAATGATCCGACCGGCCCTCACTCCTCTCGCCTGGGTAACACGGCTGATCCGCGCGTTGACTCCTCTAGAGTCGGGGGATATGGCAACACTGCTGGTACAGGTGGACCTCGCACCGGTCATGGTCTTGCTGGAACGACCGGAGGTGATCCTACCGGCCCGCACTCGTCACATCTGGGCAACACGGCTGATCCGCGCGTCGACTCATCCACAGTCGGTGGATATGGCAACACTTCTGGTACAGGAGGACCTCAAACCGGCCATGGTCTCACGGGTGCGGGTATGACCGGGTCCGGAGTGGGTGGTCATGGCTACGGCAATACTGCACAGACAGGCGGTGCTCACACCGGCGCTGGAATGACCGGGGCTGGCATGGGTGGTCCTGGATCAGCTCCCGATACGGCCGGACCTCATAAGTCGAACCTCATGAACAAGATGGATCCTCGCGTCGACGCTGATCGGGACGGGTCCAAGACGTACGGCGGCGACCGCACCTACGGTTAAACCACTCTGACCGCACGATGGAGGAGATGGATGATGGATGGTCGACGATGATATCCCGGCATGGCTAATGGAAGAATGCCTTTCAGATGTTATGACTTTTGCCATGGGATCGTGGACAAAAATCCCTTCTGCGTAGTGTATTATAGTTGACATGAAATAATTGATATCACGTCTCTATCGCAATGCTTGCATGCACATGTGAATACCGTTTAATTAGTAGAAAGGTAAGTTAGAATAGATCTATATTGTAAATAGTAGGTAAGATTCAGTCTCTATGTTAAAGGATATTTAATTTTTATGGTAGCGCTTACGATTAAGCTAGCTAGCCAGCTAGTGTCGCGTCGACCTTAGAATCTCGATAGTCACGTCCGAGAAGCCTTGCCTAACTAGCTGGAGCAGCTCCTGGTGGTTAGCCTCTGCCTTTGCGATGGCCTTTTGCTGTTCTTGGTTCAGCTCACCGCGGGAAGTGCTTTCCTTGAGACGCTGAACCTCCGCCTCAGCCGTTGCCGTCAGCTTCTTTTGCTCCTGGTACTTCTTCTTGTACTCTTTCTTCTCGCTCTTGAGTTCTTCCACTTTGTGATTGAGCTTGGCGATCTTCTCGGTGAGCTCGCGCATCGAGAGGTCGTGCTGCGAGGACGCCGACGACACGCTGGCAGCGTGCTGGATGGCGTGGCTTGGGGGCGTTAGTGCTTGCGCGTAATGTTCCTGGGGAGGCGCGTTTGGAGTGTGATAGGAGGATGGTGGGGGATGTGCTTCGATGCGAGAGGGCGCAGTGTCTTCGAATTGTGACATAGTCCCCGTTGCGCTCCAGTCTTGCGCCGACGGCAGGTTGGCCTCCAATTCCACTAGTGGCTCCGCTTGCTTGCTCCCGCTGCCAGCAGCCGCAGTCTTCTTCTTTTGCCCCTGCGCCGCCGCCTTCGCCGTCTTTTCCAGCCGCGCGACCACGCGCTCCAGGTCGGAAATGTAGTGCTTGAGCTCCGTCTTGACGGTCGACAGCGACGTGTTCTCGTTGGCCAAGTCGTCGAGCAGTTCTTGGTGGTCTGTGTACCACTTCTCCTTCTTGAATTCCGGCAGGTTGTCATTGGCCTTTGCGTTTGCTAGCGCTTCTTTCACCGTCTTCTTGAGTGAGTCGACCGCTTCGCGGAAGAACGTGGAGAGCGCTTCCGTGGGGTCTAGGAGCTGTGTGTGCTTGGACAGAAGATCGCGTAGGTCGGATACGTCTGCGAGGTTTTCCTTTGCATCTGCCAGGAGCTTTTCGCGCGGTCGGGTCAGAGCTGCGGCTGCTTCGCAGATTTTCTCGAGCTCTTTCCTGGCGGCTTGGATTTTTTTGGGTGCCATGGTTAGATAGTTAGTATTTGATTTGGTTTGGTTTGGTTTTGTGTGTGTGTGTGGATGGAGGTAGTAGAGTAGACTAGAGACCTGTTTAAATAGAAGAATCAGGGCTGAGTATACATTATTCTAGAGATGATGAACAATGGTGTCAGTGTTTTGCGAGGGGTTGCGACATTGTGTTTGTTGTAGATAACTATCACAAAGAGAACTTTGAAACTTTTTACAGTTGGAAGGACAGAGATGGATAGCGTTGTGTAGTCACTCACAATGATCGACAATATGCTTACACATTACCGTCATGTCGTCCCAGTGCGATGATTGCCTGGCATATGCTGTAGCCAAGAGATTATAGATACAGGTGCTTGTGTGGCAGCAGCATCAAAGTCTTCTGCCCGTCAAGCATTGTTTAGGAGCCTGGAGCCCAGCACTTCCTGCAAAAGCGTTGTGAAGACTTCGATGAGTCTAGGTCACCATTTCGGTGGTTGCATTATGTACTGTACAGAGCAGCAAAATGATATAGGGCACGGCAAGCACTAATATTTCCGCTAGTATACATCCTCCTCTTACAAGAATAATTGCAGAGCTTCAAGAGCTAGGTCAATTTCAATGATTCCAGCACCTCCTCTTACAAGAGGGGTAGCCAACAGACAACCAAGACACGCTTCGTTTAGCCTTCTCAATCTGGTCCTGCTATCCGTAGCGATGCAGAACCGACATGAGATTATCTCTAAGCAAGAGTCCTACCGAAGACTAGACTCTCCGACAAGGCTGAACAGCTTGGCTTGTATCGCTTTTCGCAAACTTGATCAATCCCTTTCCGATTATGGAACTCGCCAGTTCAGCAAATGATACACTGTAGTAAGACGAATAGTGGTGGCGAAGCACTAAAGTAAGGAATACTTGACGAGTGGGCTGCCTTTTGGACGCGCCACACAGAACCGAATGCAGAAATGGCAGTCGAAAGCCAAGATTCTTGATCTTGGAATCGAGCGTTCTGGAGGTGGAGAAACTGAAAGGGCGAGGACGACAGGTTCCGAAGGCATTTGCATAGTGCAGTGGGCGTATATAATCAAATTTGAAGAAAAGGCCAAAAAATAGGGGGCTTTTTATCACTACGCATGGTTTTCCTTCATCTGCCTCGGCAGGAAAATACTGTAGAATAATTGCATAGCTTCCAAAGCTAGGTCGATTCAATGATTTCAGCAGCAGCAGCGGCGGGCGTATTTACCTACTTTCTGGTAGAGTCGTGGCCCGCGGTTACGTAAGCCAGCTTGCGAGACTCGCGCCCTGCACGTGATCTGCTCTGCATCACCCGTTTATGCCTAGCCCCGCCATCTACCCCTCGCCATTAATCGCGCGCCCGGCCTCCGCCTCCAAGCACTGTTCACAACTCAACCTCACGATGCAGTCGCTGCCGGATGCACGCCAGCAGTCTTTCGAGGAGCTCTACGGCCCGCCCGAGAACTTCCTCGAAATAGAGGTAACGGCCACTACCCCTCCACACCCCTCCACACCCCGCCAGAGCTCCGTGTCTCATCCCATGCGCAGGTCCGCAACCCCATGACCCACGGCGTCGGCCGGGGCATGTATACCACTTACGAGATTGTTATGCGCACGAACATCCCGGCCTTCAAGCTCAAGTCTTCCTCCGTCCGCCGTCGATATAGCGAGTTCGAGGCGTTTCGAGATATCCTAGAGCGCGAATCGGCGCGCGTGACGATACCGCCGCTGCCTGGCAAAGTCCTTACAAATAGGTTTTCGGACGATGTAATAGAGCATCGGAGGGAGGGGCTGCAGCGCTTCTTGCAGATCGTGGTGGGCCATCCGCTGCTACAGACGGGTAGCAAGGTGCTGGCGGCGTTTGTACAAGGTCGGTGGCAGTTACCGCATAGCTGCGGATGGGATACTGATCGTTTCGCAAGATCCGAACTGGGACCGCCACGCGTGGTAACCATCGCCCGCGGACATACTCTCTGCCAAACTCAATCCACGCGTCAAGCCGAAGCATCACGCGATATCACGAGATCACGAGTAACGCCTCGGAGGAGGAGGTAGTCCGCGTTTGAGGCATTTCCTTTTCGCCAGGAGGCATAGCGGTGCGTTCAGGAGCAATTTGGTGTTTCTGTTGGTCTGCTCACCGAGGGACCTTTCTCCTTGATATTTGTTCGTAGCTTTAACCTGTCCATACTTCCACGGAGCTTCAATCTTACCACGAACTTGGCATGCCTTTCACGTTCCGACACATTACTTGATATCAACGCTGTTCTGCGATTTCCCTCACGGTTTCGCCTGTGCGACCTTACATCCAGTGAATCAGTAAGCTAAGATAACAAAAGTAATACCGATCACACGATGAGTTACGAACTGCGGACTGTGTTGCACCCAATGCCCGTCCACCTTGCGACCATGAGCAATCCACTTTCTAGAAAATTTTGTCATTCTAACGGAGAGCATCCCGCAATTGCGCTAGTGATGTAACTTCGGGCTTAATAGCTTCCTAGCCTGGACAGCGCGGGGTGAGGAAAAACAAATTGGCGAACCACAGCTCCCAGCCTTAAAGGCTGCATTCCCGCCCACCTGGATATCGCGCAAATTCTGCAGTCGATATCATCATGGGCGTTCCTTCAACTCAAGCGTCGAACGCCATCATCTATCTGACCTACGGCGCATTCTTGTGGGTGTATCGTTTCGAAGCGGCGACGATAAGCTAACCAATTCGCAAGGGTCGTCGGTTGCTACATCGCATGGCGGCTGCGACACCAGTCAAAGACAGAATGGCTGTCGAGCAACAAGTCGCAAAAGGGTGGGAAACCAGATATATTTCGTCCGGGTTGCGGGCTTCACGTTTGCCCCGGGACCCCGCAAGCCCTTCCAGCGAGAACCCATCCAGCTTGGTGGCACAAAGGCTGACATTTGACAGGCATCCCGCTTGCTCTTAACTTCATCGCGTCGGGTGAGTGCATCCGTGCAACGCTTCACGCGTAAAGGGCAGCGGCAGCATCGGTATCACGGCATTGTACGAGTTCATCGAGATGCGCAACGGCACGGCTGGTCGAGTCATGAGACTCATCAAGGTTCGTATTTGAGATCTCTCGCAGAAGCTGCTCTCATAGCGGCGACTCCACTACCTTCACCCTAGGAAAGGAAGAGTGAAGCACTATGAGAGTAGGTCTTCTGTGCGGCTACACTGCGGGCGCCGAGCCAAGATTGGACCTGGAGTGCTTCAGACGCGCTTTGAAGCATCCCAGTCCACTTGAGGCGAAGCTGAGAAGTACCGTATGAACTCGATCAAGATAATACTTGCGTGAGGAACGTGCTGCCGCTACTCCCCTTGACCCCTTCGCTGTATTCAGGCGCTAACCTAGGAACTCTTAACAAATAGCTCTTGGATCCGGGATTCTCTTTACCTACCCCGAGATCGCCACGATCTGTGGGGTCCAGGGAGTGGTGGTCTATGCGCTGTCATCTTCCTTACCTCTCTTGATCTTTGGCCTGCTCGGACCGATCATTAGGCGCAAATGCCCGGAAGGATTCGTCCTCACAGAATGGACGAGACAGCGATATGGAGCAATCGCCGGCTTGTTCCTCAGCCTCTGCACGCTGATCACCATATTCCTCTACATGGTGGCCGAACTCTCGGGACTTCAACAGATCATCACCGCTCTGACAGGGCTGGACGGGCTTCCAGCAGTCATTGTTGAATGCGCTGTAACGACAATATACACCTGTACGTTATCGCGTCGGCTTTTAGAACGTAGATTTCTCTAACGTGGTACAGCACTCGGCGGATTTAAAGTGTCTTTCATCACGGACAACATCCAAGGGGCCATGGTCGTGGGCCTCATTATCCTCGGAGTCATATCAGTTGGCGCTGAAACGCACATCGACCGCAGCTTGATCAAGGAATCCGGGTTTCTCAACTCCAGTCTACTTGGATGGCAGCTTATCTATATTCTTCCAGTTGCCATTCTCACCAACGACTTCTTCATTTCGGGCTTCTGGATGCGCACATTCGCCTCCCGGACTGACAAAGACCTCTGGATCGGAGTTACTATAGCAAGCGTTGCAGTTTGCATTATCCTGACGCTCGTTGGCATCAGCGGGTTGCTCGCTGCATGGTCGGGAGCCTGGCCCCTTGGCGATGCGGACAATGGATACCTTGCCTTTTTCCTTCTCCTTGCGCAGCTGCCAGCGTGGGTCGTAGGCGTCATCTTGGTCATGACCGTTTCGCTTTCGACTGCAGCGTTTGACAGTCTCCAATCTGCCATCATCTCCACCGGCAGCAATGACCTTTTCCGAAACAAGCTTAGCCTGTGGATCATTCGACTGCTGGTCGTGATACTAATCGTACCGGTCGTCGTCGTCGCGCTCAAGAGTCCGGACATCCTCCAAATTTTCCTGATCAGCGACCTCGTCAGCGCGTCCGTTATTCCATGCCTAGTTATCGGCCTCTCTGACAAGTTCTACTGGTGGCGAGGCTTCGACTTCGTTGTGGGTGGACTGGGTGGCATATTCTCCGTTTTCCTGTTCGGCCTGGTGTACTTTAAGGGCGATACTACCTCGGCCGGAAACTTGATCCTACTTGAAAACGGTCTATATGCGAATGACTGGAGCGCTTTTGGTAAGCGCCACCTCCATCTATAACGAGTCTTCTGACGCTATTTAGGGGCATTCGTGGCAGCTCCTATTGGAGGCCTGCTGTGGGGCTTTGGTGCTTGCGGTCTCCGCCTTGCCACTCTATACATTCTTTCAAGGGTCAAAGGACACCGCTTCGACGCATTGGACCGTCCCATCCCTCATACCCGCTACGTGGAACCGTACGAAGACCCGGACTCTGAGAGGGTCTTAGAGCAGACGGACGAGGCTAAGAAGAAGGGGAAGTTCTTCTAAGTGGTGACTACTATTCGTTACGAAGATGCACAGGATAGATGGAGTTGGAGATAGAGACTAAATTGCTACACTGTTGATTTGGAGAAGGGGTGTGTTAGGAGGAGGGCCGGAATCACCCGTTCGAGATCCGCTCTAGAATCTGCTTGTTCGCTTCTAAATTCAGTCGATCCTTTACTATGCGTAGATTGGTACCTGGGTATACTTCATTGACGTGGGCTGCTTATTTAATGTACACATGGTTATTTTCTTTACGAATGTTACCGTACGCGCTGGACCTAGGTAATGCCTCCATTTCCCCCGCTATCGAGAAGTATTGCCGTGGCTTCCTCATCGTCGCCTACCTCCGTTCGGAGTGCACTTTCATATCATTCCGCAGAGATTCCAAATCGCCGCCAATTGTCGTTCGGAGGATGGTAGGTGGACTGTTCCCGAATAGGAAGGTGGCGGGAGTGGGGTAAAGCAAGGCTGGAAAGCTTGACCCCGGCGCCTGCAAAAGTTTCGCAGCAACGTCAGGCATCGTGTCGTCGTCAGCATCTGTCAGGCAACAACTGCATATTTCCGGTCTGCAGCTTCAGAGTGCTTCATTTGCACTTTACCACTCTCCGGCCTCCAGGGGAAACCAGTTCGCACTGCGATTCGCCCTCGGACCCTTTGAAGAACATCAAAGCTCTCCTAGTTACTGCCTCTTCGAGCCCTTGGCGGCCCTCGCCCACCAAGAACCCGCGACCATGCAGATGCCAGACGTTCCCGTTAACGTACCCGTCGACGACCCGAATGCAGACACAGAATGGTAAGCTGATTCCTGCAACGCATGCTGTGGCCCGTCGCTGACGGGGTTCGGCATAGGAACGACATCCTCCGGAAGCATGGCATTATACCCGAGAAGCCACCCTCGCCAACGCCCATGATCGAGGAAGCCTTGGAGGAGGCACGCCGATTAGCGCACGAAAACCGACTGGAGGGCAAGGACCTGGATGAGCTGGCGGAGCTAGAGGACGAGGAGGACGAAGAGTTTCTCGAACAATACCGGTATTTTGACGAACCCCGCCGATGCGTGGGTGTGGTTGCCTAACTCTCTGCAGGAAAAAGCGATTAGAGGAGCTGTCCACAATCACCTCGGCATCTGTGTACAACCAGGTGTACCACCTTCAGAAGCCGGACTACTCAAGAGACGTTACTGAGGTTTCGAGCAAGGCCTACGTGCTAGTGCTCCTTACCTCATCTCAGGGCACCAACGTTGAGACCCGCGTTATGATTGAGATCTGGAGGGAACTGGCTCGGCGCTTTGGGGACATAAAGTTCTGCCAGATGCGCGCGGATCTCTGCATCGAAGGGTATCCCGACAAGAACACGCCGACTGTGCTCGTCTACAAGGATGGTGACATCAAGAAGCAGCTGGTGACGCTGCGCGAGCTACGCGGGACGCACACAAGTGCAGAAGGTGAGCACGTTTTCTTCAGCCGATATACCGCCCGGGTGCGGGATCGTGAACTGGCAGCTGGGCACAGGGATCCCCTGAAACGGTCCACCCCTGTGTGCCGTGACTGATGTTGGTTTGGCTTTCATCCAATAGCTAAAACCGCCATTGCTCGATTCCCATACTGACTTTGCACGCTAACTGTAACAGATCTCCAGAAGCTCCTCGTGGATGTAGGTGCAGTGCGAGTAGGCGACCCACGCCTGCAGCGGAAAACCGAAGAAGAGGCTAGCTCGAGCAAGATAAGGCAAGGGCGGCCTAGTGGGGATGACGAGGATAGCGACTGGGACTGAGAATAGACTCGTTCGTGTCGATTGGCTCAATGCCGCACTCAACACCAGCCCATCGAGTGCCACAGCAAAGCGATCGGTGTGAGCACAGGGCATCCGAACGCTAGAGAGTTGCGGCCATTTCATGGAGACCCGGTGCGACTGAAGTCTACGTCTGAGGAAGCCCCACAAGATGGTGCGGTAGCACTATTATCGGGCAAGCACACTGAATTACTGGTAGGGCGCGAGGAGGATTGAGCGAGGTGGAGTATATGCACCACGGCACGCCGTCAGAAACCGTCCCGGTCATATGAATGGACAATGCAATTCCAATCTAGCCCTCGTGCAGCCGAAACAGCATTTACCCCGCCGTGCCCGCCTTGCTTAGTCTCCCCAACGCACCACCATCGAACGGATCCGCCTACTGGAAGGGGAAAGAGGATTATCTAAGAGCCACCCCTGTCGATAGCGGCTTAGATAACTGCCCCCATACAACTTTGGCCGGGCTGACATGCTTCGAAGGCTGCTGACTTCGGAGCCCATACAGGGCCAGCCACGATAGCGCCGCTGCACGAGCAGGGATTCTCGGTTGCTTCCAGCATGTCGCATTTCGTTCTATCCGCCACGATTCGGGCCCCCAAGGCAACAGCCCTCACGCCGCGCTCCACGTCTTTGACGTCTAGCGCCCCGCGCCAGAGAAGAGGCCCAAAATGCGGGCGCGCAGAATGCAACCTTGTGGCTTCGTCGCTGTGCGCCTCCTGTCGGGCGCAAGGCCCGAATGCCCACTACACGCCCCACGTGTCGATCTTTGTCGGATAGGGAGAATAGCGGTTTACGACATTAAGCGGTGTACCCAACGTCTACAGCCAATTGGGTTCCTGCAACGCCTTTGTTGGACTGCCACGGCCTTATCTGGACGACTTGCTGTCCAAACCCCGCCATGAGTTCGGAGGGTCGTGATGGATCCACACCGATGTACTTCAATTGGCTTGTGTATTTGCACAGTGATAGTCCGCCGGTTAGTGGTTCTCTAGGATGTGAATGATTCCTCCTTTCTTGTTTCTTGGCCTCTTATTTCCGAACCCAAAACTAAACGGCTTTCAGCGACTGTACTGGATTGAACGGCCTGGGAGGGACTTTTCAGCTCGTTGACACGAGATGGCGGCTCTGTTCCTTCCTGCGTTCTATGGCGCCATTGCAAACATTATCGGGGCCTTCAGGCTCATGAAGGGAGTAAAATAGATAGCGAATTCTGAACAAGAGCCTTCTACTACAATAAGCTCCAAATACCAAAAACGTAGGCCCCCCCGGAAGTGAGTCCTATAGACGGCACGATCCGCTATACGCGCTAGTCCTTAGTATAATTGACTTCGATTGTCCTTTCGCATCGCGGTTCGACAATCGTGTCCGCTCTTGCTTCCTATGTACTATCTCTTGTCCATTGGTGCACATGCTGCAGCTGTAAATCGGGACTATCGACTTTAGTACAAGCACGCTCGCATGTTCGCCGTCGGTGACGAAGCGTCTTCAAACGGAAAGTTGCCGGATGGACTTGCGGGTATGGAATTGTAAAGACACTTTGGTGGGGTGAGGCCTGATCTCCGCTCCGCCGGGAGAAATGGTGTAGGAATGCTTGTGAGGTAGGTAGGTATGCTGTGGTGGCGAGCTGTGGGTTCGGAGTTGGAATGCGTAGAGAGGTTCTCGAAATTCGATGGACGAAGCGTCCATAAGTTATTTGCATAGAAAGTTCGTGGGGGCGCTTGTAAAATTGCTGTACAAAAAGTTGAACGATGACGCCGAGGATGAGGTTTGGGAACAGATGGGAGAATGTGGGACTGAGTTGTCGATAGGTAGTTCGAGGATTGTATTCCGTCTACTCTGATTGCTGCGTGCTGTCGCGGTAATCGTGGTGTCGCCTTGAAACGACTTTTCCGTGCCCGTCTTCATTCTTCTCTCCCAGAAAGCAAAATAAGTCCCCAGGTCAAGTCGAGTAGTAAGCTTGGACCGCATCAATCGCACTCGAACGCCGTCCGTCATCGTAAGGCTTCCCTTACCCAAGGAAAATGACTTCAAAACTACAGTCATGAACGGGTATAAAAAGTGACCTCCAAACTCCTGTGTATCTATCCATCCCTGATCCTAGGGGCCGGACGGATTAAATCAGCTCGTCGCCGCCGCTTCTCCGCGAACTCTCAATCGCCGCCCACACTGTGCTCTCTTCAAACACGGGCCCATGCCCGTCGCACTTCGCCGCGCCCTTCAGGCGTTCGCACACGTCGGCGATGTCGACGAGGCCCTGCTTGACCAGGGGATGCGACTGGATGAGGTCCCAGGTCTGGGCGGCGGGAATCTCGCGCGCCTTGGTGGTCTTCCGGCGAGACGCGGCGTGCTCCTTGTCGGCGCTGTTTACCACGCTGCCGTTGGGCAGCGACTGCACGTTGTAGGAGGCGTCGTCGGCCTCGTCGTCGGGGAGGTGTGCGCCGGGCGAGGGGTAGGTGGCGGAGACGGGGCGCGAGGAGGTGGGCGAGTGGCCGCTGGTGGCGCGCAGGATCTCGTTCTCGGTGCGGACGCGCTGCAGCTGCAGCTTCAGGCGCTCGTTGTCGGACTGTAGGGAGTGCGTGCTGGACTCGAGGGCGGAGAGCTTCGCCTCGAGCTCCTTCACGTGGCGCTCTTTGCGCTCGCGGAAGGCGCGCTGGCTGTGGTTGCGGGCGGGGTCAGCAACAACTCAACTCGCGATACAACACACGAGTACGGGAACAGCAGGTACATACGCTGCCCGGTTCTGCGCCTTCCGCCTGCTCTGGGCCGGCGTCAGCCCGGCCTCCTTCTCCTCTGAGCTACTCCGTGTCCGGCTGGCCCGGCTGTCCTCTACTTCTCCGCCGATTCCGCTGTCGACGCTGCCGACGGGCATGGGCGTTTGTGCTACGGTCGGGTCTGGCGAGCCCGGTGTAGGCAGGGCGGGCGGATTGAATGGGAAGGCATCGTAGGAGGTGGGGATCAGCGAGGTGTCGAAGGGTTCCTGTGCAACGGGTATTGATTAGTCAAGGGACCATGCGGGGTCCGCAGCGCTGATCGAGGCCGCAAGAACGTACAATGCTGCGAATTGTCTCCGGGTCGACTCCAGTTCCGGCGTGCGGGAAGCCGTTTGGCGGCATGCCCATGAAGTGGTAGGGCTGCGGCGCTGCGCTGAAGTACGAGTAGTCCATGGCGGTCGGGTCGGGCGTGTAACAGCAGGAGGCAGTAAGCCGGCGAGACGATGCCTTCACGAGCAACACCAAGGTGCCGTGGGGGAAGAATAGGGCGAGCAACAGATCGGCCTTGGGAGGCGGGCGCGGGCCTATATTATAATACGACGAGCTGAGATCTAGGCTTATATCCACCCGCCTGCTGGGTTGGGGGAAGCTTCGTGCACGTTCATCCTCTTTCTGGGCCCCAATCCTACAGGGCCGTCGATGCCACCCTTGTCCTGGCGCCAGCAGCCCGTGCAGCGGCCCCGTCGTTGAGGGAGAACGGCTTGGGGCGGGTCTTCCAACGCTGCAGCACGCGTTGCTTAGTAGGCATGTCGTCGTCGCCGCCGCATGCATGCGCAGAATGGACGCAAATTAGCATCTACCGCTCGGAGGCGTATCGGAAAGTCGAAACAGAGCGAAGGATTGATCAGCCCTGCGAGGCTACGCGCAACTCATCGCTTTCCCGACCGCACAACAGCGAGTTTGGTGACGGGCAGGCGACGGTTCCACTGCTGGGGCTGCGCGGCATAGCGGGCGGCCACGCATCTCACGCTGAGAACCCTAATGCTCCTCCTTTCCACTACGCGGGTGCGACGTGCTGACTGCAGCTTCGCAAGCATCATCGCCCCTAGGAAGCGTCTGATGAGCATGGCATTTGGGACGTGGCTGGAGAGATTGCCAGCATGACACACCCTCAAAGGGCCTTACGAGGCCTTACGCTGTCTTCCTCGACTCTTCCTCCCCGACCTACATGGAGAAGAGACACGGCGGAAATCGCGGGGGTGATCACAGACGATGGAGAGCTTATTTTCGCACCGGTTCATCTGACAGCGTCTTTGCCACTGGTCAAGATGTCGGGAACAAATCCGGCGGGGCTGCTATCCGCGAAGCTGAATTTCCGTATAAGATGGGTACGCCAGCCCTGTGACCGTCGGGTGCCCCGAATTCAACAGCTGTTGTCAGCACTAAGCCAGCGTGGTGTAAAAACACCCTCTCACCGCCCAATCACCCAGCCCCAAAGGCTCATGTTTCAGGAACAGCTGTAAGTTACGGAGTACAGCTCATGCATTTCCTCCCAAGCTCACTTTACCACACCGTATTCAGCCGGCTCGACCATGATGACTCCAGCTTCTTAGCGTTCGTTCCTCCTCCCTTCGCCTAGGGCAACTTCGCATGCAACTCCATACATCCGCCCAATAGCAGCAATCGGCAGAAGAACCCGACAGTAGTCTTAAAGTCTCTACTAACTCCACCTGTCCGGTCTTTTCAGAGTTCGACGATCCTTTCGCGAACCCTGCCTCGGTCAACCTTCTCGGGTATAGTCCGAGAGGTCGCCATGGCTTCCAGCCCAGAGCGGAGTTAAGTCGAAACGTCCGAAGCACATAAGATTCAGTGCTTAGAGAAGTCGAGAGTGCCATCGCCATCATGCTGTTGCATTGCGGTCCACGTGCTTGAGCCTATCAGTCTAGTCTATTTCGGGTCTATGATAGTTTTCCGAGTTCAGCCACGCTGGCGGTGAGCCACACGCGAAGCTCGTCCTCCCATAGCACGGCTGATGAAAGCTTGGCGGGGGTCCAGCCGGTGCACGGGGCGCTCCTGTACCAGCACTACCATGGGTCTTCGAAAAGACTATTCGCACTTCATCTTTCTGTTTCCTCCTTGGACGTTTGCAACTACGTTACTTCGTGTTCTGGAATTGCTACTGCCACCGCTGCATGGGGGTATGCGGCCCGCTCAGGCTGTTGGAGTATACCCCCTGTTCCGCACTCGACTCCGGCTTCAGTTCGCCAGCGCAGATGCCCGATGATGCTGGAGATCAGCGCCAGCGTGCTCGCTCCAAAGATGAGCCTAGCTTTCCCGAACCCGAGCAGGGTGGACTGTGAAGATCTACATCTTATTATACAATCCGCCCATCAACACGGTCCGGAACGGCATCCAAGGAACCAACATCGCAGTTTCGACAATGCTGCCATGCTACCTAGACTCTAGACCCAAGTTACGCTCCCCACGGCTCTCTGATCCTTCTTGACCCGGCCCATCTGAAACCACCGCGATATCCCAACACTTGAACCTGGGGAACGGGCATCATGGCCCGGAGAGAGACTTGCGCAAGAATGGGCTCACTTTCGCGGGTTTAGGGGGCTCTCTTCTAGAAGTACCCCAATTTCCTCCAATCCGGCGCCGTTTTCGCACTGCATGCACCCGCATGAGTCAGATCTCTATCTGGCGCTCCCTGCATGGGGACCGCATATGTGCTGTACATTACTGGCTAATTTGCGGTATAAATCACTGCATGTGGTCTTGGTGGAGATGGAATGGGTGTTAAATGCGCAGGGCGAGTGTTGGTGGAGTGCGGTGCTGATGTCCCAGAGGGAGATATAGGGGGCCGAGGGCAACGTTCCACACGCTGCTATGGAGTATCCTGGCATCAATTGCAATGAGATCCTCCATGCTTTAGAATCACCAGCAAAATGGCGGCCTTCGGTACCTACGCAGGGCGGCATCTGCACTGAGGAAGCAGCATCCAACCTCGGGCCGCTCCCCCTACCCCAAGGCGCCAATTCCCAACCCAAATGTCTCAGTTCAACCTCACCAACGACGCAGACCCTGTATCGACCCTCCAGATCTAGCGCCAACAGCTCTCCCACAGCGGTCCGGAAATAAGCATCCAGTACTTCCGCCATCTACCGCACTCCCGGCTCCATTCAATTACCCGCCCGCCCGCGGGATTTGTGAAAATGACTGAGCGCTCTCTGCGGGCAGTGTGCCTTATCTCAGCACACTATCTGCGCGTTTATGGACGGTGCGGGCCGATGCTATCCCCGATTCTCTCTGCTCTCGGCATTGTCAGCATGCATCCCACGTGTATGATTCCGCGTCCAGACATGCAGAGCTAGTAGTAGGGAGGCTCGACGGCGGTTGGAAAGGGGAATGATTGTGATCCGAATGTAAGGCGCTTGGAGGGTTGCTGACTTAGCCCGTCCGGAGCTTGGTATCCGCTTGTGCATTCGCTCTTGGTTTTCTCAAAACTGTGGAGGGTTTTAGTTGCGTATTCGTATTTAGCGAGAACATATGGCGCAAATGCTTCCGTACGACTCTTTGTGGGGAGCTCCCTATGCGCAGACTGCTGTTGGTAGCCACAAGGGTTTGTATATATTGCTCCTCTACCAGAATCGAAAGTCGTAGCGGTTCAAGTATCATGTACTCCAATCCATCGAACTCTCGCCTTGTGTCCTGCCCGTTTGTAGAAAGCCCGCCTTGAAGGTGTGTCCGCCATGTACTCATCCAGAGCGTATAGGGCACCCTAACAGCTCTTCAACCAGCCACACTACTCGTTTGTATGCCATATTCCACCCATCCTCTCCCGCCCCATCTCCAGTCCCTCAGCCCATACACGCCCCACAGCTTGCCGTCCCCCACAGCTGCATCGGTGGTCGCGAATCCCTCGCCCCCGGAACCCGGCCCACATCTCTCCTTCTGCTCTCGTCTCCTCCAGTCCTCGGCCCGGCATTTCCGCGTCCATGCATGCCCCCTTGGTAGCTGTCGGGTGGCGGGGGTGTGTTGGCGGGCCGGAAGTAGGTGTTGGTGCTGCCGGGGGCGCGATACGGCGAGCCGCGGGCGGCCGCCCAGGTGTCGAGGCTGAAGAGCGTGGTGAGGTAGAGAGCGACGAAGGTGAAGAGCGTGTCGCCGGTGCGGTGGAGGAGAGATTGAGATTTGCTGGCGGGTGTTAGCTAGAGTGCTGGGGGGTCGGGTTGATCGGGTGGGTAGACGAACTTGTCGGCCATGATGGGGTGGTTGCTTGCTTGCTGCAGTCGGGTCAAAAGTGTGATTGCGAGTGCTTTAGAGGAGAGAGGACAGGTATATGCTTCGCAAGCAGCGCGTTGTGGTGCGAGGCAAAGCTGTTGCTGCGCCGTCGTCAAAGCCTCGAAGGATGCGGCAGCCTTACGCTCCGACCCTCTGGGGACTAGCTCACTTGCAGGGATCCGCTGTTTCGCGATAATGCGCGGCCCACGCGGGATCAGATGTACGCGCGGGGAAATTTTCCACCTTCACTTTTTGATTGTCAACTTCAATCGCGGACCCGACAACGTCACGAGCTGTCAGAACTGTTGACGGCGCTTCGAAAGCTCCGACGAGCTGCAACAGGACACTCACCAAGCCCGGGAGAGGAGCGCCTGCGGAAGAGCCGACATCTCTGCCTCCCAAAATCGCAATGACTGAACGCGACACGATTGCCGTAAGGGCACGCCCAACGCTGAGCAAGGTGCCTGAGCCCGGGAAAGCGAAGAAATCTAAGGTATGTATTCCCATGATGCTAATCAGCCCTCAGCTAAATCCAGACAGAAGCGCAAAGCCTCGGTGGTCCTCCATCAGAATTGCACCCAGGACGAGGACGAGGACGAGACTATGAGGGATGCGTCGCCTCAGCACAAGAGCCCAGTGGCGAACTGGGATCAGGAGCCGCCGACAAAAAAGAGGCGGAGTGAAGGCAGGCCGGAGACAAGGAGTGATAAGGCGGAGCAAGCGAAAGAGCTGCATACGTCGAAGCCGTCTGCGTTGTTCAAGCCCGTCAAGGGAAGAGATTGGACGCTGAGTATTGCTGTCCCGGGAAGCATCATTGCGAAGTAAGCTGTGATCCATTTTCCCTGCCATGCGGTGCTCGACAACTCACTAACTTACTCAGCGTCCAGAAGCCCGACCTCAAGACTCTCCTGGCGGGACGTATTGCCCGCGCTGCAGCCGTCTTTTGCGTTGATGAGATTGTGATCTTCGATGACGATCCGTCCACCATTCCCAACTACATCGACACCAGGTACAGAGGCAGGAGCAAGAGCAAAGAAGACATTCTATCTTCGATCGACGAAGCAGATCAGCCTTGGCAGTATCCGGACCTGTTCCTCTACCACGTTCTAAGCTACGCTGAATGCCCGCCATATATACGCATGGACGCCAAGGACTCGAGAGTTAGCTTATTCTTACAACACCAGAATCTGAAATGGGTGGGGCTTCTGCCGAGCCTGGACATGCCGCATCACATGAAAAGCCATGAGTGGTGTCAGTATCGGGAGGGCGTGTCGCTAGGTCCGGCAAACCCCAAGTCTATATCTCCCTCGAAATCGAAGCTCAAGAAGAGCAAGGCGAAACAGGATGCTTCTAATCAACAGCAATGGACTTATGTCAAATGCGGCCTACCCTACCCGGTCAAGATCCCATTCAAACTTGACCCAGCAACGCGCGTTACACTCAAGTTCACAGATGCAGTCGAACCACCTTCATGGCCAAACCTTAGCAAAGAGGAATGCGAGACCTTAGGAGTCGATGCTGTCGCTCCTTCCGCACCGCGCGAAGAGGAGGGATATTACTGGGGCTACAACGTCCGCCGCGCCACGTCGCTCACAAACGTTCTCGCCGAGTGCGAATTCGAAAACGGCTACGACGTCACAATCGGCACTTCAGAACGTGGTGTACCTCTAACCTCCGTGCTCCCGGATGCCATCGCTCCTCGGTCTCCCAAGAAGCCAAAGGGCGTGGGGCAACTCCCATCGGAGTTCAAGCACCTACTAATAGTATTCGGAGGTGTTGCTGGTCTTGAGCCGGCCGTGGCTTCCGATCCTGAGTTGAGCGAGAAGGGTTTGACGAAGGAGACCGCGAGCGAGCTATTCGATGCTTGGGTTAATCTGGTGCAGGGACAGGGGAGTCGGACGATCCGCACTGAAGAGGCGGTCGAGTTTGGCTTGTTCGGCCTGAAGCCGTACGTGGATTCTCTGTATGAGTAGAAGCACGATTCACGGCGCTGAACTGGACGAGGGATGAGGGCTCCTCAGTCGAGAGACCTCGAGTGATATACCCTTACAATACAGAAACTAGCTACAGTAATAGAGAGAAGAATGCGTCCACTTGCATGTTGCTGTCGCCTCAGGTGCTCGGACCCTCCGAGGCTCTTTATCAAGTTGGAGTCGCTGACATGGCCGATCTTAGGCTCTCGAAGAGATAGGCACGCTCGGATCAAAATATTCTTTCATTTTGTTTAGGGAGCTGAAGGTATCCAGGAACAGTTTTCCATGGGAGAATCGAATCCGGGGTTGTTCGTCAGGACGTCGGTGGCCACCACACAGGCTGTGGAGCAGTGGTTTGCGAATATCGAAAGGGTTATGGAAGACAAGGAAGAAGGTGTATTTAGGCTTGCGTATATATTATATATCTTCTCTATTAAAGGTAGGGGAGAGTCCAGTAACGGCACTGGGTGGGGGCCTTTGGTGAATGAGCAGTGACTCAGTCGTTTCGGGTCGCATCATGTCGTGCACGCCCTAGCGCACGCCCGTTGGAACGTCATACTCCAGAAGATATCCCGATTGCGTCAACTCTACGTTCGCGACGGGGGCGCGAGTTGTATTTGCGCGAAATATGACAATGGGTCGCTAATGCTGCGACATCCAACCATTCGGCTTGCAGATGGACATCGTTGGGGATGCTATTCGAGAAGGCTACTTTATCAAGGAGTTTGAAAATGACTTCGGCAATGGTGCGGCAGAGCTTAGTGACTGGCCGTGTCTCCGTGAGATACACTTGTGGTATATGACTGCGAGGATGATGATCCAGCCGCTTTCGCTGATTACCCACCTCATATGGATCGCTATGCGGTCATGGTAGACATGATGCGTCAGATCCTAGATACCAACGACCTTAGCATTGGAACCATCAAGTTGGTCGCTAGTGGTGTCAATCTCAAGCTCTCGAAGGGATAAGAACGCCAGATCAAAGTTTTCAAGTTTGCTTAGGGAGCCGAAGGCACCCAGAAACTGCTCTATGGGTGCGCATAGTGGATTTCGGGAGCGATGGGGACAGTCACGTTCAAAATGTTGTACGTGTCTCTCTCAGTCATGAGTTACTCCTGCTTCGCTCACACTTCTAACACAACATGTGCTTTACAGACTCATAGGTGAGCGTCACAGTATGCCTGTAAAAAAGTATAAAAGCCGGACTCTGGTGCTCTATCCTCCCCCTCCCTCTTCTTCACATCACCTCCATCTACCGAGTATCGAACCCCACAACGTCCAGCAATCAAAGTACATCTTCCATCCACCGAATACCAAACCCCGCAACCTCTAGCGATCGAAGTACATCATTTCTCAAGAACGTGGCCTCGCTTCTACCGAGAAGTAAAGCACCGGAGCATATCCGCCAATCCGCGACCATGGGACGGCCATACACGGAAGCCCAAAAGCTAGCTAAGAAAGGGCCTCTCCTCAAGATCTGGAAACTGGCCTGCGTCACCAACTCCCCACACAAAGACAAAAGTCTCGAAGAGGCCGTCATCAATGCCTTCGAGAGCAGCCTCAGCGTTGCGGGAAAGCTGAAATGGGAGGAAATCAAGGGAAGGCGTGGGTCGAAATTCCGCGAGTACGATAACAGGGGCAAGGAAACGCTCGTTGTGTTCTTCGTCAAGCTGGCGAAGAAACTTGATCTGGATAAGGACACGATCGAGGACGAGGTCTACGCGGGGGATAATGAGCTGCTCAATCGCAAGTGGGAGAAGTATCTTGAGCGTCCGGCGGAGAGCGATTATGCCACCGATGCTTGACGTGGTGGCATGAGGTGGTGTTCAAGGGATACTTTCGTGAAGGCGCTCTGTTGGTTGTCCTTTTAATGTGAGCTTCATTGTAATGTTTAATCTACCATACTATTTTGTGCCTCTCTTGTCCGGGATACGCGCTCAACTCTTGCGCAAACCTCTGTTGTTCTGCGCCACGAGTCCACAAACAGATATGCTTCGTGGAGGAGAAAAGTGCCTAAATAGATGTTCAGAATGCAGTCCAGGACAGAAAAGGTACGGTCTTTGAATGAGACTGTGTACAAAAAAAGCCTACGAAAGCAAGTCGCCAACTTAATGCTCGCAGAAGTTGTAACTATCGAACTTAGCCTCAACCAAAGGCATCAGCTTAGTCCTCTCATCCATAAGCTCAAGTCGCAGCTTCTTTGCCTCCTCCATGCCTATTGGCCATTCTCCCATTTCTTCTGCTACCATATCCGCAAGCTCGGCCGGTAACCGCTCCTCGATTCCAGCCTTATGATACCCCTCGGGCGCCCACCAATCGTGTCGCTGCGGAGGCACATCGAGGCAATGCGATAGTGTGGATCGACCAGCCACATGACGACGAAGCGGCGATGGCCAGGCCTGGAAGGATCTTGGAGACGGAAAGGCTGGACGCAGTGTTGTAGCGTGTTCGGGAAGACTAGAAGACGGCCTTGAGGAGTGGCGGTGCTACCGAGTTCTTGCACGGCGGGTTCATCGCGAAGCGAGTCGGTGCCGAAGATCTCGCATATGAGATTTCCCCGTAATCAAGCTCGGCTTCTTGCCGAAACCTGATACGTGACTCGGTAGTGTTCTCAACATCGTAGTAGTAGATTGAGGTCGCAGCGATGTGCTCGTTCAACATGCCCTCAATGTGCCAACTACCGCCTGCGTACTCGGGCTTCTCCGGCGTAAGCTGGATACTTGCCAGCTTGACGATGATTTGGAGACCTCGATCGCGCCACGTCCTTGCGAGATCAAGGTCTGGCTCGGTTACTATAATCCAAGGACCAGGAGAACGGTGGTAGGGTGACCGAAGGCTTGATTACATGTTAATAGAAACTTCCATCGTCAGTAATACGAAGAACGCTAAGGCTGCTATTTACAGCCTAAGTTATATTCGCTTTGCCGCTTTGGTATTAGACTGAAACAGCGGTCATGCGCCACGTCGGCGTGGCCCGGGGCGCCAGCGGCGGCTCAGCCATCAGCCAAGCTTATCAACACCACACCTCAACAACAACCTTCAGTTCTCTCGACATGACTGCATAACATGCTGCCGCGTGCATTTTGGAACTCGTTTTTGCAGCAAATTGTCATTTTCACTCTCTTTGTGCATGCTCTCTTCATCGGCGGTGTGTTATGCGCATTTCCCGGCTCTGACCTGTTGCATTCCCGGCTTTCAACGCCGCCCGCTTCTTCTGCGCAGGATGATGGCTTGAAGCCTCATCACACCATTGGGCTAGGCGCTCTAAGACTGCGACACGTCTACCATCATGGCGCCGGCCAGCCAGGACCCAGGGCGCGCAGGCTAGACATCACGTCGGAGCGGCTAGTCGCCCAGGCAGCAGCAGCAGCTCATTTCGGACCGTTTGCTATCAAGGCCTCACTGGTCAAGATCGACAAGCCAGCCATCAGACGCCACGAACTACAGGTGCCTATGTCGCCGCTCTGGCTCTCAGAAGACGTGCCAGGCCCGGACGTTGGAGACAAGCAGACGGTCCTCAACTTCGCCAACATGTCCGAGGATGCATATCATCCTGACCGCAGTGACCCAGCCTGGCTGAACATTGGCGAGGAATACAACAGCACCCTTCCGTTCGGATGGGAGGATCAGGGCATAAGAGGTCACGTGTTCAGCGATGACACTAACACTACGGTCATTCTCTCCGTCAAAGGGACCAGCATCGCTGTGTTCGAGGGGAATGGTACATCTGGAAATGACAAGGACAATGACAATTTGTTCGGGTCATGTTGTTGCGGACAGGGCGGATCATATCTTTGGCGACAGGTACGTTATACGGCTTCAGTTCGACAAAGACCATGATGCTGACCATAGCAGGTATGTGACTGCCAGACCGGCACATACACATGTGACGAGAAATGCGTAAAGGAGGAGCTTCGGAAGCCCAACAGGTACTACGAGGCGACCTTGGAGTTGTATGACGAAGTGATCCAGCTATATCCCAAAGCCAATATTATCACAACTGGGCACAGCTTGGGTGGCGTGCTGGCTTCCCTCATTGGCTTGCGGCACGGCATTCCGGCGGTCACCTTCGAAGCCTATCCGCAAGCTCTGGCAGCCGCTCGCCTGGGTCTTGAAGTTGCCGGCGATATATCTCCGCTACGAAAGAACACCGGAAACTTCCATTTTGGTCATACTGCTGACCCCGTATTCATGGGTACATGCAACGGCGCATCGAGCTTCTGCTCCATAGCAGGCTATGCTTTCGAAACCCTTTGCCACACCGGAAAGCGATGCGTCTACGACGTGGTCGGGGACTGGGGCTGGAGACAGAGTACAAATTACCACCGGTTACGCTACTCTATCGAGAATATTTACTCGAAGTATGAGGACGCGGCACCATGTGAAGACGAGGATGTCACTTGCGTGGATTGCTATCTCTGGAAATTCGAGAACGGAACGCATACGAAGCCCGCAACGACAACAACTACGACTGCGACAAGCACTTCAAGGACGCGAACTGAGACATGCAAGACGCCCGGCTGGTGGGGGTGCCGCGATCCGACGACTATGACTTCGGAGCCCACGATTACTTCCACCACAACGACTTCCACTAGTACCTGTAAGACCCCGGGCTGGTTCGGCTGTAAGGATAAGACAACGTCAGAGACCACAACGGGCGAAGCGACTACAACGACGGCCTGCACAAGCAAAGGTTGGTTCGGTCGTTGCCTTGACCCAACATCCACAACCACAACGTCAGCAGAAGCGGCGTATGCGTACTGGCGGACGGCACCCACAGCAACAGCCACTCCGACGGCTCCGTAGCTATCGCATGTTCCAATAGAGCTTTTTTCTTTCTAGTGCACTACTCCCTATCGCATTCTTGCTATACCAGGTTCTGTTCTAAACCATCAATAATAACCAGCTGCTCTCTTTCCATCTACCATATTCTTATCCATTCACTCCAATCCTTTCGCCGGACAAGACATTGACCGGCCTTCGTGTGAACACGTCTTCTTGACCACTGCGCCTGGAAGGGACTGGAAACGTGCAGTTACCCGGTAATCTATGCGTTTATTTCTCGCTTCACGGCCGGTGATATCGATTCGTATCCCCTCACGGACAGGCTCGCCACATTCTGAAATCAACCAAGCCCCAAGATGTGCACATCCAGCTCATCGAGTAATTCGATTCCATTTGTCGTTTCCACGACTGTTCACGAGATTCAGCTGGGATCCATTAGGCGCAATGATATACAGCCACGCGTACCGCACAACTCGTGGAACTCCTCATAATCGTTGATGAGCATCTGTTCTCCCCCAACGCACAGGTCGAACCACTCCGGGTCGAAGGCATCGGTCAGAGGGTGCATGTCGCCGCAACAGTAGAGGAAAAGGTCTGCAAGACGCTCTAAAGCTTCATGTACTGCGCAGTGCGGCCCGAGGAACGTGTCCGTAAAGCCTTCTCCGCGCTTGAGTTGGTACCGTGCCACAATCAGCATCATCAGGGTGTAGAGAACCAAAGGCCAGAGGCGAGGATTCCCCGTGAGTAGGCTCTTCTGCGCGGATGCGAATATCTCCTGGAGAAGATAGCATAGCGTGTCCGACGAGGGTTTCCGGCTTTCGGAGAAATCAGATGCGACATTATCGCCTAGCCACATGCCGATTTGGGGCACGACGCCCCCGTGTCTTTCGATCCCGGCCTCCCTGCCGTGAATATGGCTGCGGATCTGAGCGCGCGGCTCTGTCTGCAGACGGATCTCCATGATATCGTGGGATACTACGAGACAACGGAGGGCAAGGAATAGAGGGCTTCGAGTTCGATCGTATCGAATAGGGCCTCCGCATGTGTACATGTATCGCTGGAAGACGGCTGCTTTGGAAATGATATAGAATGTTTCGTCTCCATACAGAAGCGTCCATCTGCTGGAGAGGTCTTCGAATTGCGCGAGAAACCGGTCGTATGATGTGTCTTCGTCGTCGTCCGGTAGCGGTCGATAGTCTACTACAGCGTGGTGCTGTACTTCATCTGCAGTGAAGGAGCTCAAGTCGACCTTGATCTTCTTAGACTCCCCAGTCGGCTCCGTCAAGATCCAGACTCCATTCTCAAGTTCTATGACTCCTGAAGGGGGTTTAGTGACACTTGCACTCTGGCCCTACGGGTCCTCACACCCGAAAATGCTTGTTCAAAGTCCTCTGTAAGCTCCTCCTCCGTTGTGCAAGGTAGGTCGCCGTCGAAGCCTGAACACTGTGAGCATTCCCCCTCAGATTCGTCAGCGTCGGCGGCGATTCTAGAACACTGCGTGACCTATTAGAGCTGGACGGTAACGGCCGCATGAGGCCGATAAACGTACGTTGAGATTGAGCAGAGTGCATCGCAGACAGGATGCGTTCGCGAGCAGAGAGTCTTTTTGCATCGCGTCGTAGCCTTTGTCGGTAGCCCATTACGTAGCTTTGTTGCTGTTGTAGTTGAGTAGATGTTAAACTTGAGACGGGAAGCAACAGATGAGCCACGGAACTAGACCATTTCCGGCTCAGTCCGCACGTTTGATTGAAAATAATCTTGGAATACAGGTGCAATCCGCCGCACCCTGCCTTCCCCAGGAGAAAATTGTTTATGCATGAAGAACGAAGTACTTCAGGATCCGGGAGATGTATTACGAAATGTATCCGTAAGCATACTGCCATAGGGTTTCCATGAAACTGTCCAAGTCATAAGGGTCATATCGCGGAGGTGCTTCTGCAGGGTATTAGCCATGGGGACTTCAACAGTCCCATTTCAGAAGAGAAGGCCCCGAAGATGAGCTAGTATGCTTCTTCGTGAGGTTGAGACATACCGTTTTCCATCCATCGCTCATGATGCCAGGCGTAGTGTTCTGCGTATATGGGATCAGCATCCGCCCCAACCATAAGTTTGTACCACTCCTCGTCGAAGTGCTCCAAGAAAGGATGTAATCCCTGCCCTGGGCCGCCGCAGCAGAAGAGAAACGAGCGGACAAGATCGTGTAGTGCTTCCTTGACCACTACCTGCGCGCTCTCAAAAGCAGTCGTCAAATCGCCGCAACTCTGCAGGTCTCCTTCCACGTGGAAGAGGATAAGCAGAACGTAGAAAATGGCGGACCAGTCTTTTGGCCGCCCTCGAAGCAGTAACGACTGCGCTGCGCTGAATGTAGTTGGGAGAAGCTTGGATAGGGTCGCCGATGGATCAATTCTCGTCTCTTTGTATCGACTGTCCAGTTCCGCATATGAGAAATGCAGAACGTCGATCCGAGGCCTTGCACGATGACCGCCGACGCCGCTTTGGAACCCCGACTCTGCAAGAGTAGTAGCAATAGGATAGGATTCGTCGAATTTATCCATGTTAAGTGCGAGCTCGTCGATATCGCGAAGGGTAACCAGACAGCGGAGAGCGTTTAGGATGACCCATTTCTCATCATCGGGGAGCTCCGCATTACTGGCCTGGTCGATGAACGATTTCTGGAACGCGGCGGCTCGTGTGAAAGTGTCCTCGGTCCAGGTCTCAAAGAGTCTGTGCCAGCGCTGGGACAGCGTGTCGAACTGCTCCAGGAATTCCAGCCGCGCAGTGTGCAGTCCTACGTCGGGTTTTTGAAACTGGGGGACATCCCTCACGAAGTGCCTTTCAAGGTCAACTTGCGGGAAGCTGGAGTAGTCCGCGACCAGGACGAAAGCGTCCTCTCCTTGCCGTAGCACCCATTCCGTGTGATCGATCTGCTTGGTATCTGGCCGGCGTTAGCGAACGCGTCCGAACGCGCAGTTGCGGCTGGATGAATATACAAGGATCAAAGGCTCCCTCCATTCGACGACTCAGGGCGGTCTTTGATTCGCACGGAAGACAGCCGTGGACGCAGTCGTCTCCGTCCGCACCGCCGCTTTGGACGGGAACGCGGCATTCGGCGCAAACTCCATCTGGCCCAGGCTGGCAGGCGGTCTTGTTCAGAAGAACGCACCTCTGGCAACCACTCTCGCGCTCCATTCTGACTGGCTCATACATCGGAGTATTAGGACCAAAGCCCCCTGAGCAATCGGTCTAAGCTGAGGCGCGAAAGGCGAAGCCAGGCCCAGAACGGCTTAGAGCGAAGTATCGATAAGCGAAACGTTCACTCCAGGGCTCGACCGACCCTCGATGCTCGCCTCACCTCACCTCACCTCCCGCGGTCCCTGCCCTCCTCGCTGGCCTCTTTTACTTTTGCAATGGATGATCCGCGCATTCTGCGCGTCGCCCAGATAGTGGGCATCACAGCACCAGCCATCTACAGCAGTAAGAACGCCCCGTAACACGCCGCGTCTCCGCTCACATTTCAGGCTTCACATTCGCATACAGCTACGCTGTCGTGCCGCCCCTGGTGGCCCACGCGCCCGAAAAGTTGCTGGCGAAGCAATGGCTGCAAGCCTATCAGTACGCCTCGACCTACGTGCCCCCGCTCATCCTCTCCGGTACCATCTGCAACGCGCTTCTCGCATACTCTTCCCCTACTCTTGGCCTCAAACTGTTATATGGCTCGGCCGCGGCGCTTGTCTGGGTCATCATACCCGTCACGCTCTTCTATTTTGAGCCAAACGTCAACGGGTCGGGGAAGTGGAAGGCGCAGAAGCTGTTGCAGGAGGACGGCTATTACATGCGAGAGCAGAAGGGACGTTTCCCCTCGCCCGAGGTCCATACGGCAACGCCCGAGGCAAGACGCTGGGCGGAGGCTGTGGCAATGAGAGACATCGTGAAGAAATGGGCGCGATTGAATGCGGGGAGGTTCGTCGTTACAGCAATTGCCATGCTTTTGAGCGCGACCGCTACATGCACCTGGGGAACTGGTCTGCCCTGATTCTACACTACAACACCTGGATACGCCCGCGCATGTACCCAGCTGCCCGTTTGATGCACTGTCTCCTGCCTCTCCAGGCCGCCGCGGAACCGTGCTCAGTCCTCTTCCACCTTCACGACAATCCTACCCCTGGTCCGTCTCGATGCGACCACGTCAAAAGCCTGTCACATCCTTAGCTTTACCCTAGAGCTCTCGACGCGTACTTACCTCTAGCACTTGGTCAAATCCGACCGACCTGTCGATCACAGCCTTCATCTTTCCTCCTCCTACCATCCTTTGCACCCACTGTACCGTATCTGGCCCGAAGTCAGGACCAAACATAACGAATTTCCGAGGCGTTCCACCCAGCCACCGCGGCCAGAACAGGTTCAACAACCAATAGAAGGCCGTAAGCAAGGTACCGCTGGTGTAGTCGCCGATGTTCACGAAGACCCCATCTTCTTTTAGGTACTTTGGACTGTTTGTGTATAGGTCCTGTGCGCCCATCGTGTCGACTACTACGTCGATCTTCCGGTCACCAAACTCCTTGGCTAGATACCCATGCAGCGGTTTCTTATCGCGGTAGTCGATCGCCCGGGTTGCCCCGAGACTTTGAACCAGCTCGAAATTCGGCGCTGAACATATTGCAATAACCTCCTTGGCCCCCATCGCCACAGCAGCTTGAATGAATCCTGATCCGCATCCTCCACTTGCGCCGTTAACTAGGATGCGGAGCCCGCAGTCTTCTTTGATCCCAGCATGCTTGCAGATCAGATGCGCCATCGTTGCAGCTATTGCGATGCATCCGGCTTCTTCCATTGTACAGTTGTCCGGCACAGGAGCGACCATATGCTTCTTGGTCGAGATGCACATGTATTCGCGCAGCGTTCCTTGGCCGGTGAAGATCGCTTCCATGGCAAGCACCCCGAAAACCTTCATCCCAACAACTAGGGAAGGGGGAGCAGATGGTCCGACGGCGAGAATGGTGCCCGACCAGTCCATTGCGGGGACTGAGTTCTTGGCCCGGAAGATGGACGGAATCATCTTCATGCTCTTGAGGTCTCCATAATTGAGCCCAGAATACGCGACTTTGACGAGGACTTGGTCACCTGTCGGAGGTTTTAGAGAAGGGATCGTGTTTAGGGAGAGGACTTGACGATGTGGCCCGGCGCGCGAGTACGTCCATGCTTTCATGGTGGGTGGTATGTCGGCCGACATTCTGGAAACTTGAGCTTTCGGTCAAAGGCAAAAGAGTGAATGAGTGGACTGGGAGCCGCGGTGGAGGTTGCGCTTGCTCGAGAATATATCAAGCCGGCCATCAGAGGTCAATTCCTTCTCAGCCGACTCAACGACTAGTGTGAAGGATAGCGGACAATTGTCGGAGCGACCCCATACCAGGGCGGACGAGTTATCCGGAATGCGGTTTGAGAGACCTGACTTGAGCTTTGGCTAGCGTAATTAGCGGCCTTAGTCTTTTGCGACGTTCTTTCGTCTTCATGAAGGTGGTCGATATTCCCCAGGGCTATGGGTGTTGTCAACCGGGATCCGGCCGACCTCGGGAACCAGCCATGTCACGTGGAATCGCGCCACATGCACTCTCTCAAGGTCTTCATCTGCGCGTCTCAACGCGTCTCCGCTCTATCGGCGCCCGACTATACCGAACGACCACCACCTAATACAAGCCTACGCCTAGAAATAAGGCGGGTGCGAGCCGCGAGCTGCAGGATGGAGCGGAGCAGAGTACCGAAGAGTACTCCACCCCATCACACAGTGTCATAGCAACGCTTCTTCCAAACAAATCTCTTCTGACTCTACGTTGTCATGCACGGGTCCCCCCGCTCCAGAAATTCTTCCGGCTATTCTCACCGCGAAGATAGTAAGAGCAGGGTTGCTATTATCTGGGTGATCTCATGAGACCTGCCCAGTTGTAGGCAGTAAAAAATGCCACCGGAGTACAGCGTGTGGGGAGCGTTTCTTGTCGTTCGTACAAGACTCTCGTTGGCGCCTTTTGGGCATCGTGGTTTGCTCAATAATACGCGGTGGGTATTAAGGTGGGGTTCGACCTAGCGATGTCCGGATAAATTAACACGAACGTGGGTTGATCACCATCCCACCTTAAGACTGCACTTCCCTAGTCATGGACCTTCAACATCGGTCTACGATCCTTCACACGTCGAATTCAGCTTGCTAGGCTGGTCTCCGCTTCATCATGCCAAAGGTGCTTAATCCAATCTTACCAGGGTTCAACGCGGATCCGTCCATCCTGCGTGTTGGAGATGACTACTACATCGCTACTTCGACATTCGAATGGTATCCCGGGGTGCAGATCCATCACTCCAAGGATCTGGCGAACTGGGAACTGGTGACGCGGCCGTTGAACCGCAAGAGCCAGCTGGATATGCGCGGTAACCCAGACAGCTGCGGCATCTGGGCACCATGTCTGACGCATGACGGGGAGAAGTTCTGGCTAGTCTACACCGATGTCAAGCGTAAGGACGGCTCGTTCAAAGATACGCACAATTACATCGTCCACGCGTCTGCCATAGAGGGCCCTTGGTCGGATCCAATCTACGCCAACTCGTCTGGATTCGACCCGTCACTGTTCCACGATGAGGATGGGAGGAAGTGGTTTGCCAATATGTTGCAGGATCACCGACGGCGCCCGCGATCATTCGCCGGTATCCGATTGCAGGAGTTCGATCCGAAGCAAGAGAAGCTCGTTGGCCCTATGAAGACCGTCTTCTACGGCACGGAGCTAGACCTAGTCGAGGGCCCGCATCTGTACAAGCGCAACGGCTGGTACTATCTGCTCACTGCTGAAGGCGGTACTGGGTATGAGCATGCTTGTACATTAGCTCGATCGCGCAACATCTGGGGTCCCTACGAACTGCATCCGCAAAAGTACATCGTCTCATCCAAGGATCACCCTCTGGCCGCTCTTCAACGAGCCGGCCACGGCGACATCGTCGACACGCCAGACGGGAAGACGTACGTGGTGCATCTCACAGGCCGTCCAATCACGCAGTTCCGGCGCTGCGTGCTAGGCCGAGAGACCGCTATCCAAGAAGCATACTGGGGCGACGACGACTGGCTTTACGTGAAGAACGGCCCTGTTCCATCCCTCCACGTCGACCTTCCCGCCGCCCGCGACGACACCGCCTACTGGGCCGAGCAGCGCTACACCTTCGACGCCGCCAAAGGTCTGCACAAAGACTTCCAATGGTTGCGCACTCCCGAGCCCGAGCGCATCTTCACCATTGCAGAAAATAAGCTCCAGCTCATCGGCCGCGAATCCATCGGCTCCTGGTTCGAGCAGGCGCTCGTCGCACGCCGCCAAACGCACTTCTCCTACGACGCCGAGGCCGTCATCGACTTCTCGCCCACGGATGAGCGCCAGTTTGCGGGCCTGACGGCGTACTACTGCCGCTATAATTTCTTCTACCTGACCGTGACCGCGCACGCCGACGGCCAGCGCGAGCTCCTCATCCTGACCTCAGAAGCCTCCTGGCCCGAAGGGCGGCTCAACTTCCCGCTCGCGCAGCCCGTTCAGATCCCGAACTCTGGCAGAGTGAGGCTCGCGCTTAGTATTCGCGGGAAGGAACTGCAGTTCTTTTACACTCTGGAGGGCGAGCAGGAGTTAAAGAGAATCGGGCCTGTGTATGACGCGAGTATTTTGAGCGATGAGTGCGGAGGGCATCAGGCCCATGGGAGTTTTACCGGGGCGTTTGTGGGGATGGCGGCGAGTGACCTGGATGGATTGGAAGCGAGGGCCAACTTTGACTATTTTGTCTATCGGCCGGTGAAGCATGAGAGTGATCGGTATGAGGTTTGAGATTGGGAGGAGCTGGGTGTGACAGCGGAATGTGGGACAGGTGGGTGATGAAATTGCATGATTCTCAGCTGATGGTACGGTACCTGGACCCGAACAGCACTGCAGGAGCGTTCCTGCCCTCTAATATATGACGCTCGCTTCCTCTTCAACGGCAAGAATCAGGATTACACCATCTATTGCTGATGCGATCATTCTTTTCCATTTCAGTTTTACCATTTGCTCATCTTCCGTCCACAGCTCAGCGGCCTGGCTTACAATGCCGGATAGAAGGAAGTGTAGGGGTAGCATGCAATGCGGCGGACACCCTGTTCTAACAACTCAGCGTAAAGATGCGCCCCATTCACGCAAGAATGTCGCAGACTGCTAACACCTACAGATTTGCTATTCTAGAAGCTACATGTCCCCCATAGTGCTGCTCTCACTTCCGGAAAGAGAAAGTGAGAGAGACTTAGAGTTGCACCTGCATCTCATCCGAGCCGCTCTCAGGTTTGGGACCGGGCACTTCCACGCGGATACCGAATAGCCCCCTGTTCGATCTTCCAATTTGCAGGGGATGACCCGCAGGCCGGAGCGATTGTGCATTCAGCGCCACAGCGACAATACCGCCATTGTGAATAGTCGCACAACCTTAGCCGTATCTCGACGCTTCAACGCGGACATGACCCCGCCCAAAAGGGAAGTATCGGCACCTGTAGCGCGTATTTGAAGCACCTCCTCGGCACTTTGACCTCTTGGCATCGGGCGGCTGAAGCATGCAGTGCCTAGAACCGGGTCTCAGATTCGAGAACATTGCTGGCGATGCGGGTGAATGCACGGGATGAGACGGGGAGCGTTTCGGGTGCGTTTTCGCGGTATCGTAACTTCAACTTCTGGACGTTGCCGCAGAGCCTCCAATTTCAGAAGAGACGTAATTTCCTTGTGAGATGGGGTTCGAGAGTTGGGAAGATTTGGCATTACTGTGTACCTTTGTGAGGCGAGAGTCACTGTGTAGTGAGGCTGGATGCTGGTGTTCCTGCAGAGACGTTCCGAAATTCCGACGGGCATCGGAACCATCTGGAGCAACATCATCATCGCACACCAACAACCACGAAAAGCCGACCCAGCGGACTCCCGAGATATGCAGGTGGACTGCTTATCGGGGCAGCACGATCTTCCGTTCCAGCCGCTGTCACCTCGTGGCGCCGTCGCAGGCCCGGACAAGGTGACCCCTGTGCCTCAAAATGGTTTCAGGACGGCCTCCGCAAAATCTCAGGCCTCAGACCACCAGCATCAAAAGCTCGTGATGCGCTCCTCTGACAGATCCTCAGGACAACAGACACTCGACTGCCCTTTTGCGGCTGTACCCGCTTTTTGACTAATCCTTCTCCATCGCCCTGCATTGGCATTGACATCTGCAGACGGCATTGACTTGTTTGGGCCTACTACTTTCTCCGCGCGGCTCTACCATTCTCCGATTACCCCTTTCGAATTTCTTTTCCTTGAAGTCATCTGGACAAAGTACGCTTCCCTTCCTACTCTTGGATCAGGAAATGTGGACTGCGAACCGCGCTCCCACCCGACCCCAACGAACAGGATCTATCCACTCCGTCGCGTCGGCTGTCAGTCGACCCACGTCCATGACCTCTCCTCAACTCTTACGTCAGCCGTCCCGCTCAACAGGCTACGAGTCCGACCAGTCCTCCGATACAGCTGCCGAAGACGAATACGCCAGCTTTCCCCAGGTCCCCAACACCAGCGTGCCCCCCATGTGGCAAGGCGGAAGGCAGAATTCTGGCACTGCGGTTAGCAGGCTAAGCCAGAAGTTTGCCGGGGCGAACGTGAGCGTCGCAGAGGTCGCCGCACCGGCACCACTGAGGACACAGCATTCGCATCGACAGGACAGGGCGGAGAGCTCGCCGGATGATGACACGCATTCCCGCTCGTCTACTCTCAACGGCGACGACCAGGACTACGAGTTCCCGGAGAAGACACCCACATCACTTCCCAAACCATCCAAGCTTCCTAAACCCTCCTCTAGGCCCTCTTCCAAGAAAATGGACAAGGTCGACGACGCGCCCTCCGCGTCTCCGCCCGCACCACATCTCCCCGGCCCACTAGAGTCGCAACTCGCCGCCCTGATGTCCAAGATTATATTCATGGAGCGCAAGAACCCCGTCGCTTCCGTCACCCCAGAAGACTACGAGGACATGTCCAAGCGCCTGAAGGCCCTCGAGGAGGAGAAAAAGAGCTGGACGAAGCGCCACGAGGCCATCTGGGCCCTGCGAGACGAGGACGTAGAGAACAACATCAAGATCCGGGGCATGCTAGCCAAGGCGCGCCGCGAGCTCGAAGGCATGACGAAGCTGCGCGACGAAGACCTCGTCAATGTGCAGATCGTGCGGTCCAAGCTCGCAGAAACCACGCGTCAGCTCGAGCGGCTGCAAGCACAGAACGGCGGCTCGAACGGGCGCGCCAGCCCGATAAGAGGCCGCCCCGGCAGCATGTTCATAGAGCGCCGCGACACAACGGACCTCTTCGCCGCCGCCAAAGCGGCTGCCCTCGAGCAGCGCGCGCTCGAGCTCGAGAAGCGCAACTCCGATCTGCTCAGCCAGATCGAGATGCTCAAGGGCGGCGCGAGCATCGACGACATCAACCGCATGACGGCGCACAAGGCGTGGAAAGACACGGTCAACGACCTCGAGGCGAAGGTCAAAGCCAAGGACGCGGAGATGGCGCGCATGCGCGCCGGCGGCGCGGCCCCTTCCGGAGCATCGGCATCGTCTTCAGGAGCAGTGGACTGGCACCGCGTGGAGGCGCTGCACGAGGAACACGCGGGCTATCGCGAGCGGATGGGCGGGAAGCTGCAGCAGCTGCGGTCGGAGAAGGAGGTCCTGCAGCGAGAGTTGCATCGCAAGGAGGACGAGTGCCATGCGCTGGAAGTCAAGGTGCTGAGTTTGCAGAGGAGGGTTGGGGTAATGTAATGGTTGGTAGAAGGAATGAGGGGAGGGGTAGCCTTGCGGGGAAGTGGTTGGGGCTGGGTGGGAAGAAGAGTAGGGAGAAGCTGGGGGAGATTGAGTGGTTGTGAAGAGGTGGGGTGGGAGATTGATGATGGAATGGCGTTTGGGTATATACGGTTAGGGGTTTGATATCCCAGGGGTATGCACTTGGTATGAATATATCGAGAGCTTGGTGGAGCTCTCTTACTACTCTTAAGCATCCGTCGCTCCTTGATGTGTATCCATTGCTGCCGAAGATTCTCATTCCCTATTCAGCTATATAACCGATGGCGACGTCGAGTCTGCCCGACGCCCAATCCAGTATTCAGCCATCCAAATGTAAACCGCGAAAAGGGAATCACGACTTTCCTACCAGCCCAGACTCCCTCAACGCTAGAAACCGCCACCAGCGGGTTGATTGTTTATCCAACAGCAGCTCCAAGAAAGCAGTCCGGCAAAGCGAGGTTACCATCAGAGTATCCGATCTCTTGCTGCGCAAGCGCCCTGCAACAAGAGGACAAGAAAGAAGCAAAGAATGTGCGCGCACTCCTGCAGCCACCAAAAGGCATTCGAGTGTACCAACAACTTCAGACGGCGAACGTGAAGCGCAGCCGCTTAGTCGGTGTCTCGGACTCCTCGACCACCTCGACCTCGTCTCGGTCCCGCTTCCCCTGAGACTCTGTCAACAGCTTGCTCAGATCGGCGACCTGCTGCTCCAACTCCGGCAGCAGCGCCTTCAGCCCATCACGAATCTTGAGGTCCGAGTCGGTAAGCTGGTACTCCGGCGGAAGGCGCTCGCCCATGTGATCGTCGAAAGTCTGAAGCTCATCAACCAGGCCTGCGAGGAAGGTGGAGAAGGCAAGCTCCAGCTGCCTCTTCGCCTCCTTGTGGAGATGGTCGGAGATGCGGTCCAGCATGTCCTCCTCCTCGCTGTTCTTCGGCAGCATGGCCTCCTCCATGGCGGCTTTCTGCTTGTGGAACCAGGACTCGATGACGGGCATCTTTTGGATCTTTTCGTACTTGGCGGCGTTGACGCGCGAGATCATGCACCGGATGTCTGTCTCGGTCGATGCGTACTTGTAGATTTTGCGCAGCGCCTCGCGCAGCACCATGTCCAGGCAAGCCGACTTCTCGAGCACTTTGGCCTGGCGTTGCTTCCACTCTTCGAGGGCGACGGCCTTGAGCGGGACGGGGAGCGAGGACTGGCTGATGAATGTCGAGACCTCGTCGCAGGCGCTCTTGATGGCTGTGTCTAGCAAAGCCGCAATGCTCGCGGTCTGCTTCTTCATCTTAGTCCTCCATGACACCAAGTCTGGGTTGATGGCCTCGCCGATCTCTTGGTTCCAGTTCACCGGCCTGCCGCGGTACTTCTGCGAGTCCGACTTCTTGATGATGCCCATCTCGCGGAGAAGCTTGTTGTAGGTATTCCATCGGGTACCGTTGCTCCACTCACGCACGACGGCAGCAACGTTGTCGAGGGCTTTGGCCTTCTCTTTCGGGTCGCTCCAGAGCTTGATAACTTCGTCTTGGAGCTAGTTTGAGAAGCTGAGTTCATGCGCTTCCTTCAGCCCATCGAGGAGCTCATTGAAGAAGGGGCGGATCTCTGCATAGGCGTCGTTCTTGTTTTCGTGGTCAGTGATGCGCGCGATTTTACCGAGGAAGTTTGGTAACGTGCTGGCAACGTGCTCACGATAGGCTTCGAGGTTGGCATCAGCAGAAATGCCCAGCAAGAATTGCCGCAGCTTTGGAATCCCGGTCATCTCAGGCGTCAAGACGGGGTCTTCGCGGCGGCGCTTTTTCATCCAGTCGATGTATAGCGAGGACGAAACCGAAAACACCTTGATGGGGTCCGGATCCATGTCCTTGTACTTATTTCGCATCTGACCTTCCAGCATCTCTGCACGCTGTTTGACGAATGCGCATTGTGCAGTCTTCTTGAGGTACTCCTGGTAAGCGCTCAGGGCGTCTACCTTCTCCGCCAAGTCGGTGCAATCCGCATCTTCGTCTTCTTCCAAGGCGTCGCGGAACTTGTCTTCGATTTCATTCTGGCTAACCTCAGTTGCCAGCACGAGCTCTTTGATCAGCGGGAAAGGCTGATTAGGGTTGCGCTCGATCACGCTCTCAACAGAGTGGTTATCGAGAAAGAATTCCTGCATGCAAATTAGCCTGAGTCCAAGCCATTAAGAATGAAACTCACGTCGATTTTTGTGAGGACCAAAATCGTGTTCTTCGCTCCATGTGCTCGGATAGATTGCTTGATCTGCTGGTCTACAACCTCTTCCGTCGTCACGCGGTCAGACTTCGCAACGATGATCTCGAAATCCGCCTTCCGGCGAATAGAGTTCGTTGCAGCGGTGCGACTATGGTTCAGGTCGCCCAAGCCTAGACGCGTTAGTATTCTTGGTCAGCAGCACTGAGTGAACAGTACATACCTGGCAAGTCAACAATCGAAACTGCATTCCTCAACAGAGCAGACCCCATGGATATCCTGACGTGGGACACAATCGGCCACAGAGAGGGCAGGGACTCATGCTGCGCAATGTAGTTCTGAGTCTCTTCCATCAAAGCGGCGGCACCCATGTCGAGAAATTGCTTCATGCGATGTTCATCGGCACCAGCTTCCTGCATTCGTCGATGCGCCATCTTGAGAGCTTCTCGAAGTAGAGCACCATTGTCGATATGTGCGGGAAGGAGGAGCGGTCGCAGCGCTTCTGCGGCTTCTTCGTCGTTGTAGGCGTTCCAAAGAAGTCCAAAGAAAGACTCGGCGGTCAAGGCGGCACGCTCCTCTTCATCGTGATACATAGGATCAACCTTATTAGAGAAGTGGAAGTGATAGTAGCGGCGGGCGTGCTCCGATATGATCTCATTCAGCTCAGTGTCGTCCATGAACTGGATTGCGGCATCATAGACCTCGCCAAAGTCTTCCATGCCTGGCTTGTGGACGTATTTGATGGCTGAAGCAGTGCAGGCTCCACCCGCGGCGGATGTCTTGGAGAGATTCCGGCGATGTAGGAGTGCATTGATGAGCAAGGACTTTCCCATGGCCTGTTGACCGACAATGCCGACATCCTTGGCCTGCTCAAAGTGGACTTCTTTCACGCCGACAGCGGCAACCTGAAGATCGGCTAGCTCCAGATCTTGCGGGCGACCATGAACGAGGCGATTCATCACTTTCTGGAATATGCCGAAGATTTCGGAGTCGATATATTGTTTGTTCAGACGAAACCAGGCCATGTCCGGTGGCTGCTCGTCCTTGGGATTGTATGCTTTCGCAGCCATGGGTTTGGCGAGCTTGATAGTTTTCTCCTTGTCATAGGACGGCTTCCAGGTCTCAAAAGGTAGGACCTTGTAGTCGGACGCCATGTTGCTGTCATAGAACGTTAGCAAATGAAAATGGCATTAGACCGAAAACGACTGGCTTACCGGAAGCCCCTTTTGACTGAAATCGAATGGAAGTTGGCGAAAGCTATATGACGAGAAGGAAGTCGAGAGCAGCTGCGACCTCCTCACCTTGTCAGGCAACTGTTGCGGATCGATAGAGAGCTGTGATGTGAGGAAGTAAAAGTCGGTGTTTGAGCCGCAGGCAATCACACAATTTATAGTTTCCATAGTGATGGCTTGGGTGCTCGCGGTGAAAAGAGCGATGAAAAGGAGGCATAACTAAACCTCGATGGAGAAGCGTTCTCACTTTCACACGACGCAGAAAATGAATGAGTTGACTGCATCTGTCTTCGGAGAACGCACACGAAAGACGGTGCGATTTTCGCTCACAGATTAAAGTGTGATGGAAACACGCTACTCGAGATGAAGGACATGAGATATTTCTGGTAGAGGGGCGGTGAGTGAGAGTGAGCGCAAGCTGAGTACTGCCGCACCTGATCCTTTGGAGGGAGGGAAATAAAGCGGGATTGAGAAGATAGCAAGGAAAGAGCAAAAAGCGGTGAGCAGTTAAAGTGAAAGTGAAAGTGAAAGTCTATTTATCTCCTGTGCTAGTGACATCCAAAAGACAGTCATCACATCGACCAATCCCGCAATGCGGCAGCGTGGATGTATCACCTGCTATCTTGAATTGTCCGACGAAGTATTGTTGTCCCTCTCTCATATCGTCATACCGCCGCCTTGTACCATAAGGTTCTGCCGTGGTATGCAGTGGAATAGTGGAATTGCCTACATGATGCTTAGCACAGCGCATAAGCACCCTTGGCGTCCGCCCAAGTCCATTGAACTAGCTCTGGACTCAAAAAGAGGGCAGGAATGTGTGAGGCATGGAACAAATATAGATGACGGGGAGAGAGTAATGTATGTACTTTAAACCTAGAAAGGCAATATATACTTCAATAGAAGGAGGCTACCACTGGAACTACCGAAGGCACCTCTGGCCATGAAAAAGAAGATATGAGATGTTCAAGACTGAAAATGGGTATCTCGGTCATTACAAGGAAATTCGTGAGTGTGCACTGATACCCGCCGAACACATGGCGAGTCGCATTTGCGGCCGTGACGTTTTATACCAGAGAAAACTCCTTCAGAAAAGGTGACGAATGCCTCATGGGATCGAAAGAAGATGCGACCATTGTGGTGGAGGCTTCGTGCGTAATGGTTATGGCGCGCGTGAGGATCGGGACTGTGCGCGCTTGAGGGCGTCGTCGCTACGGCGCCGGAGTCAAGAGCATCATTGGCGCCTGAACTCGCCTTCGGCTGTCTTCTGCATCGCTGTTTACGCGCGCATATTGACGATGACGACCAACTCTAAAGTCCAGGGTGAAGCGCAAGTGGGAATGGCGTAGACGGTATAGTCCTGTGGCCAAGGCGGCAGAACTGCTTGAAGCGTTGAGCGGCTGGTGGATTAAAACTCCAAATCTCCTGAGACAAAACGAGCGTGCGATGCGATGATGGTTGCCGACGGCTTCGCATACCTCTCCTCATTCCCTCGTCTGTAAGCGGTCCAGCATTTCCTCGTTAAGACCTACGGGCTTCATTCCCGCAGATGTTGGGTGCGTCGGCATCATTTTGCCGTAACGAACGTGTTCATTCCGTTGCGATTGTCCTTCATCCGGGGCTTGCTATCCGCCGCACTGCATCTGCATATAGCAAGTCCGTCGCTGAGCCCTTCTCTCGAGTGTCGAGCCTCGGATCTGGCATGGTCGATACTGGTTGTATTATGTCGGGGAAATACTCGTTGGCATCGGCGGCAAGGGGACTGCTGCGCTTGGCTCGGAGCCAAGTGCTCTCCGTCGGCGAATATGCGCTCTCGATGCGCTGGATACCGGATTTCTCGAGATCCGACATCCACTTCGGGTAGGTGTGGAGGCTGCTTGAGAAAGCGGGTGTAAAGCGCGTGATGTCCCACACGGTCTTGGTGGGATCCAGGAAATCGTTTGTATTCCCGAACGTCAGGGTACTCGCACGAACGTTGGCCGAGGAGAGCTCAACGAGCTTGTTGAGAATGGCCAGCTCAAGCTTCAGCTTGACACTGTACGTGAGACCCTTCACTGTTTGTTGTAGTACGTGGTAGCTCATGAATTCGATTGTGAGGAGGGCGATGTCCAGTACGATTATGATGACGTTGATGGAGAACAGCTGCCACATGAGGTGATGGGAGCGCTTCCGTTCCGCGGAGCTAATGATATCGAGGGCCTTCCAGATGTACAGGCCGCTGAGAATAAACTCTTGTACGCAGAATCCACACATCTGGATCCTTTCGACAACATTGTACGCGGCGCCGAACGTGTAAGTGTTGTGGCCGAAGTGGGAGCCGTACACGACAACTGGCGGGGAAAGTCAGCCTATTACCGTACAGCAGCGAGTGGAATAGCGCCTACTAGCAGTGGTGCCGTGGAAGACGATGCCGTTGATGATGATCATCCATTTGATGCCTCGGAGGAGCCTCCTGTGTCCCCCACCAAATACAAGCCACAATCGACTATACAAGACGACGGATTGACCGGTGACCATAAGACTCCAACCAACAGTGTCGATGGCAATCCCAAGAGCGAGGTAGCTCAAGCGAAAGTACTCAATCAAGAATCCTAGCACATAGGGAATGATGCCGAAGCCGGCGAGGACCAGAGACCAGAAGTAGAGGCCTCGATAGGCATGGAAAGTGGTGAAGACGAGCAACTCGAGTTCCAGAGCATTGTAAAGGGCCAGCGCAGAACAGATGACAACGGCAAGGGTATTCGAGTCGTAGACTCCCATAAAACGGTTGTCGGGGCTACTCATTCCACTCATGGTTGCTGGCGATCAAAAGCGCATCTTCCGTGGTATTTTGTTAAGCGCCTCGGCGGATTCGCGGTGTCTTTCGATGCGCAACGGACATGTTCTCGTAGGGCAGAGGCAGAACAGGAGATGGAGAGTAGTAGAGAGGAGGAAGGGCGAAGAAACGGGGGGAGGCCCAGACGAAGTGGACCCACAACACGACCGAGGGGCTGGTTTGGGGATGGTGCTGGGGCTGTCACCCCATGTCAGACTTGTCCCGAGTCCACGGAAAGACGGCTGAGCGTGAGCGGGAACCGGGGGGATAGCTGCGCTATATAGACTCGAAGCGGGCTAGCACTCTCTGGCACCCCGCTGGCAGCGGAATGTTTGATGTGCTTTCACGACGCTATGCTCGCCAGTCGTCGCGGGTGGCCTCATGATAAGTGGCAGAGCCCGGAAGATCCCAAACAGGACCAACACCTGGGCGACGGACACGAGTCCTCTCGAGCGGTAGGACAACGGCTGCCAGTGGACGACTCGCGCGCCAGCCGCATCGTGATTTGCTGCGTTCACATGCGACGATAATGGTGATCACGAATGCCCGTTTCGGCCGGGCTAACGGCGCGGGCGGTTGCTGGAGCGCGCGTCGCATGAGGCGGCCGTCCCTGGTGGAAAATCAGCGCGCGGCTTGGAGGCGCATACGCGCATCACGGACGGAAATTTTCCGATGAGCAGCAGCAGCGTCGCGACGGCGAGAAGTTGGGTGCCGGGCTGTGGAGCGTCACGACGGATGGATGGTGGAGCGATGGTGGAGGATGGAGGATGCAGGGCGCGCATTGCGGCAGGCGGGGCAGGCGAAGCGCCATCTTCCAGCGCTCGGCGTCGCGTTCCACCTCCGCACCATCACCAACGCGCCCGCTCCCAATATATCGCTGCATCGCTTCCCGTCACACTGTGCTGTGCCACAACGTCAATAAACCGCTCACCGTCTGCGCAGAAACCCTCCGAGCGCCCAACCTCGTCCTTCGTGTTGCGACTCAGCACTCTCTGAGAGCGTCCTCTTCCCCCATGGCCGCACGCGTGCATCGTCAGCGCCTCACTCCTCCGCACGCAACGCGCTCGAAAGAGACAGCAGAGTGGCAAGAGACGGACGGATCACCGGTTCGCGGCTGAGGTTGTCACGTAAGACCCGCACAGCTGTGTAACGCCCTCCCGCATCCATCCTCACCATCCCGGACGACAACCCGAGCCTGTTGCAATCCCGTTCCTCATAGACAGCCGTCCGCACTCTAGACCCCCGAGACCTCATGTCGGTTATGGCCGGGTGATGGCCTCAATCACAAGCAAGCCACATCTCGGAAACCGACTCCCGCGACGTGCAATCCCGGCCGAACCAACTCCTATACCTCGAGACTGAGTTCTCGGCCGTTATGCACAATCTCCTTCTAGCGGCCGCCATCACCGTTGCACAGACCATCTCGAACACGAAGAATGGTCGCCTTAGTGTCGTTGGTACGACGACGTCACAACGCTGTACCCCTGTTTGACAACGAGAGAGATTAAGGCCGCCCAATCCCAGTTCCCCGCTTTGTAGCTCACCGCGCTATGTCTCGAACGCTGGCATATCCTCTCGTGGTGTTGAGCCATATGCACCGTTGGCTAGATTTGGCAACTTCGGCTCTGGTTTGTACATCGGGATGCACGGCGGGACGGCCGATCCCCGCCGTCTTCCACCTGCAGCTAAGACAAGTGCCAGCGCTGAGACAATCCTTCACAGAATTCCGACTTCTTCAACCCATCTTCGCAAACCGAATCCACCGGCCCAAGCCCTCTTTTGGCGAGGTAATGCTCCCGTCGGGAGACCCCTCAGGAGATATCCTTTCGACTCCTTGGCCGCGTCCCGCTAACCCTCTAGGCGCCCTGTTCCCTCTTGTGCAAGACAGATTCTTGTGCGAAGTATTAGCAATCACGAAGGCCGCAGCTACCTAGCCTCCGTGCTACTTCATCGTGTCATTACGCTCGGGGTTCTACATCGACTTGAAATGGATATTCTCCGCAACCCCATGCCTCTCGGAATTCCCCCAGTCGACTAGCAGTCGCTCTACTGGTGACTGCCATATCGTTGGTGACACCGTCAGTTGAGCATGCGCTGGTCGCATCAGATGGTAAGACTTCACATACTGTGGGATGTATATGAGAAGCGTCGCGACGTCGAGGCGATCTAGACTGTTGCATCGTCCCATTCCCATACCTATGGACACCGCGATGTATATCAATGTACTTTTCTTGATATCCCGACACCAGCCCTCATCCTTATATGGTTCTGGAGCAGGTTCTTGAAGTTGTTTAGAGATAGAGACGCTATGCCCCACGCTGCAAGTTCAGCGCCGATCCCCCGCGGAGCATTTCTGCGTAACGTCATGATTGCCTCTCTCAACTTCAACCACCTTCTAACTTTCGCATCTAAGTCTTCTCTTCGTACTCCTATTTTTATTTCCCATCATGCGATTGTCTGTCTTCTTCGCGGCCTTCGTCGGCGTCGTGCAGTGCCGCAATATACAGCATCCTATCGTTCTTCGGCCCCAGGGAATTTCGCAACCGCTTATTGGCTTCGGCACATGGAATTTAAAAGAATCGCCTGAAAATACTACTAGGGCAGTCGCGATTGCGATTGAAACAGGCTACAGACAAATTGATTGCGCAGCTGCGTATGGCAATGAGAAAGCAGTTGGAAAGGGGATCGCGGATGGATTGAAGAAGGCCGGGCTGAGCAGAGACGAAATATGGGTCACGAGTAAGCTATGGAATGACCAGTATGCGGAGTTGCTTTCATTTCACGAAAACGAGAATGTTAATTCTTTGCAGTCACGACCCGGACCGCGTAGAAGCAGGACTAAACCAATCCCTCGAGGACCTCGGACTTGACTACTTTGACTTATATCTTATGCACTGGCCCGTGGGCAAAGGCCCAGACGATGGAAAGTATCACTGGGACTACGTCAAAACCTGGCACGCCATGTCTGCCCTTCTCAAAACCGGGCGCGTCCGCAACATCGGCGTGTCGAATTTCGCTCCCTCGCAGATGAAGAAGTTGATCAAGCACAGCAAAGTCAAGCCCGCCGTGCACCAGATGGAACTCCACCCCTACCTGCCGCAGGCGAAATGGATCCGCGCGCATCAAGCAGCCGGCATTGCAGTCACTGCTTACTCGCCCTTGGGAAACATGAATCCGACGTACGGCGACCGCTCGCGCCGCTCCCCGACGACGCAGTCTAAAGCTCCATTGCTCCTCGAAAATGAAACCGTGGAGGACATCGCGGAGAAGCGGAACTGTACGCCTGCGCAGGTTGCCCTCGCTTGGGGCATGAGCAGAGGCACGAGTGTCATTCCGAAGAGCAAGCATGCGAAGTATATTGAAGAGAATCTTGGGGCGAAGACGTGTTTGTTGGAAAAGGACGATTTTGCTAGGATTACGAAGTTGGGCGAGGAGCCGATTAGGTTTAATAATCCCGGGGGTGGATGGGGAGTGCATTTGTTCGAGGGGTTGGATGATGCGTGAGAGGATAAAATCTGGCGACCATTGAAAGAGCAAGGAAGGGAATGTGAATAAGGAAAGTGCAGAGGGTAAATTTGACGAGCCGCTTATGAGCTGAGGCGAAGACTGCCTCCATTTTGGTACCCAGCCACCTTACGAACGCGTCACGTGATTCAACCTGTTCAACCCTGGAAGTTCACTCGAAACACCAGTCCCCAACCTAAGTCACGCTCACAATTTCGGTCGCTGCATCTCTCATGACGTCCCTCACCCTTCCGGATCGGTACATCGGCCATACCGCGATGATGGAAGTCGGGTGTAGGGTATGGAGGGCTCGGGAGTCTTACCGCATGTAGCAATCTAACCTTTCGCACGACTTCATATTCGGCCTACACGATATCTGCAGGCCTTAGAGCCCTGCAACACTCGGTATGCTCCTGAGGCCTTCCTCTTCGGTTCGGAAAATTTTGACACCGTTCTCATGTCACTGCTCGTGTGGGTTTAGCTTGTCTGGTCCGTACGCTGACTTCTAGGAACCTTCTTTGATGGTTGAGGCTCTGGAAAAGCTCATCTGGTGCTTAAAGGAGTCTAGGTAATTCGAGGTCGTTATACTTGGCATCGAAGATGCTTGCATAATTGCACTCAATATATATGGATCCCAATAGAAGGATTACGCCCTCCTCCTTTAGGATGTACAGCTTTGGAAAAGGTATGGTGATACAGCATCCTATTCTTCGGCATCTTACGCACCTCTCATCCAGGGCTCTAAGCACTGCAGTGTCTGGTTTCCCGGGTCCCAGAAGAGGAAAGCTATCCATCGCGTCTATTCGTTAAACGACTGCACTCCTAGAAGCAAGGCAGTATATAAAGGCTTTCACAGGTACTCTCTCATCGAGTCAGTTCATCGTTGAGAAAACTGTTCTGTTTCCGCGAACTGCCGTTCCCGGGTCCGCCATGCCTTGCTTACGCATTAATCTTAGTCTCTTCATTCTACTTCCTTCTCTGGCCTCGACAGCAACAATACTCAACACTGTTCAAGTACCCACAGAATGCAAAACCTGCCCTTACACGCTCTGCCCCAACAAAGCAGCCTACAGCAACAGCCAAAGCATCACCCTCAGCTGCTGGACCGAAGGAACAAACATCGTAGATGATACGTGCGTAACAGCTTTCCACACCTTCTCCTCTGCTAACGTCACCTCCATCCAGCACCTGGCTCAAATCCCAAGACAACTGCTTCGTCACCCAATACGACCTCCTCGAATACCCCGGCGACTGTAACCCCTTCAACCCCCTCTCCAACCCCCTCCCCACTAACCCCAACCAGACACAACCGCCCTCCCCTCCTGCGGCGACATCCTTCCCTCTTACACCCGCACCACCGCCCGCACCCGCTACATGACGGACTGCTACTTCACGCCCGCCGTCAACGAGAAGAGACTCGCGCCTAAACACTACAAATACGGCATCGACCTCCCCCTCCTCTGCACCGCGCACAACCGCAGCGCGCTCATGGGCAGGACGACGTGGTTCAAGACGCCGTCGAACTGCTACGTGCATGAGACGACGCTGTGGGATGTTGAGGATGCGGATGAGCTGGATGATTGCGGGCCGCTGCCGCCGGGGTTGACGCCGGATGATCATGTGCCGGAGACGACGACGACGACGAGTAGTGTAGTGGCGAAGCAGACGGGGGGAGTGCGAGAGAAGGGGAGTAGGACTGGGACTGGGACTGGGATAGGGAAGAGATGGCTGTACAACACGACGATCGGCGAGGAATATGTGAATTGCACGGAGAAAGCGTCAGTTATGCCGAGTCAGACGAGACGCGTGTATGAGTTTGGGCAGGCTGTTGTGCCGCAGTGCGCGACGTGGGGGGATTCGGAGCGCGGGAATGGGACGGGGATGTATGTTATGTCACTATTTTATCTCGTTTTCTTTCTCTTCTTGTTCTCCCTCTTTTCTGTGGGGGAAGTGCTGACGATCGAGATGAACAGCATTTTCTTGTTTACGACGGATTTCTCCTATGTAAGGGATTGGGAGACGGATCCGGGGTTGAGGGAGGACTTTTGTAAGTATTCTCGCTTTTTTTTTCTTTCTTTTTACTTTCTTTTCCATGGTGGTGGTGCAAGTCCTGGGTTAAGAGGGATGGCCTTGACTGCACTAGTGGAACTGGCTGATGCTTTTGAATAGATCGCGAGAATTACTATCCACCCTGCGAGTGGTTTACAGACACGGAGTCTTAGTCGCACAAGCAAGTAGAGAAAGTCTTCTTCCTCGACGATCGCAACATGAATCCTTTTCCCCAAAAGTTGTTCGTGGAATGAGCGGATAATATGGCCGAGGCCGGCCCTGGGGCTATGGATGTGGGGCCTCCCTATATCGGCAAAGTAATCAGGAAGATCATGTCGCATATTAACCCTCCATATCCCAACATCTTGCACCTTAATTATCGCCTCTAACATCTTCCCGCTGAATTACGCATGCCTCGTGGGGCGATCACTGACGATGGACCAGGTCGAGTGATTGTGCGCAATGTTGGAATCCGGGTATTCGCGCCTGTACCACGTATGCTACCGGGGAGCGTATCGTTCGAGGCTGAGAAAGGGGTTTTAATTCGCCTTAGATTTCGCGTAGATGCTGGCGGGCGGCTGGACCCTACTGTAGTAATGTCCTGGGCCGAGTACTCCGATCGAGGTTCAGGATTCCCCGTTCTGTGGATACATTCATTTGCGCATTTGCTCCGTGCGTTTCGTCAGCGTATAAAGCTCGAGGAACAACCAACCCAATGGATAACCTAGCCTTCACTTCACCAGTCGCGTTCTCTAGTTCTCAGCCTAGTCTCGCAGCAAGCAAGCCATCATGCGCTTCCTCACCACCTCCTTCGCCCTCCTCCTCCCTATCTCCCTCTCCCTCGCGCAAACCACCGGGCCCTGCGACAACACCCTCGGCGGCCCCTGCGACGGCGTCCGCGTCGCAACGACATGCTTCGCCTCCATCGGCATGGGCTCCACGCGCGAAGTCCCAGCAAACGAAGTGTATCGCTGCGTGGACGACCAGGATGCGGAGAGCGCGAAGAAGCAGGTATGAGCTGAGGGCGAATGAATAGGTGGGGAATTTGTGTGGCTGATGCGGGATAGGTTTGCGCGTGCTATGGGTGCGATACTGCGCTCGAGCCTTGGGTTTTGAAGAATGGCGCTTGGTAAGTGGAAGCGTGGGGGAAGGCGGAGGGGAATGAGGGTTTGCTGATGAGGTGTGTAGTAATGGGACGAGTGTGGGAGGGGTGAGGCGGATTAGGGGGACTGCAAGGTTGGGGAGGTGAGGAGGTGGAGAGTGTTGATTGGGGTGGATGGAGGATTGGGGGGATGGTGTGTAGGATAGAGGAACTTAGGGATTGGAAGAAAATGTAACGATCTACGCGGTGTAGGTTGGTCCGAACGCTTTCGGGTTTTTTATGGAAGCCGCATTGCGACTCCCTCTTCAGACTTCTCTTTCCCGCTTTCCTCAAACCGACAATAGCAACCAGCCCACAATCCACCATGTACGCGAACGTAGTCCAGAATCCCGCCCGATACCCCTTCAGCACCCTCGTCGAATTCTAACCCTCAAACGCAGCACCATGGGCATCATCATCCTTCGCCATTACACCCAGCGTAACAAGCTGATATATCCCAAGGCCGAATAATCAGAGTATAGATACCGATTCGAAATGATTTCAGTATGAGTCTTTTCGCAACGAGCTTTTTGTGGTAGCTTCCCAGACTTATGTAGTTGGAAGTCTTATCCTCAACTATTTCGGCGCGTTCTGATTGGCCATTTTCAAAACACCCTGAACCTCGTCAACTCGCAGGATACGTGACGTACCGTTCTGCTTAGAAACGCGCGATGGATCTGCCCTATATCTTATCTGGAACCGATCGTCCTTGAACTATGCATGAAAATTGACGAATGACGAGGCCTGGTCGGTAGGCAGTGCTGCGCCTCAAGGCTTCAAAACACCTCGCCCCAACGAAATCTTTAGGGAAACAAATCCATCCCACGATGCATTCAAAGATCCTCATTGCTCTTCTTGCATCTCTTGTTCGGAGCGTTCTTGCAGGCCCTCTCGTGCATGCGAAAATCCGGGAAAGCCGAGTGACGTACCGCGGCACGACTTCCGATTCGATCGAGCACTTCCAAAACATCAAATATGCCCACGATACGTCCGGAGAGCAGCGGTTCGCTCCGCCAGAGCCCTTCATCCCCCATTCAGGCAGTGACATAGATGCTACTATTCCAGGCCCAGCATGTCCGCAGATGCAGGCGCCGATACCGCTGTTCTTCGCGGAGACGGCGGATATGAGCGAAGACTGTCTGAGTCTACGAATCGCTCGACTAGCTGGCACTACACCGGACGCGAAGCTCCCAGTCGTGGTGTGGATCCATGGAGGCGGTGTCGTGAAAGGGTCGGCGTCTGATCCGCATTCCGAGCCGGATAACCTCATCAGGCTGTCTGCGGAGATCAACCAGCCCATCATCTACGTCGCTATCCAGTTTCGGATCACTATCTTTGGATTCGCGCGATTGCCTACTCTCCGAGATCAGAGATCGCTCAATGTGGGGCTCAGGGACCAAAGAGCCGCGTTCCAATGGGTGAAAGACAATATCGAAGCCTTCGGGGGCGACCCATCGAAGATTACGGCGTACGGGTTAAGCGCTGGCGGCACTTCTATGGCGCTTCACCTCATGAGCTACGGGGGAGAGAAGGGCGTTCCGTTTACGCAGGCTTGGATGATGTCCGGACCACCGGGCACAGCGCTGAACATGAGCAGTGATGCTACGGAGGTGCATACTAAAGCCGTCGCGGAGAAGCTTGAGTGCAAGGGAGATGACGATAAGGCAGTGTTGAAGTGCTTGAGGGAGGTACCGATGGAGAAGCTGCTAAGCACTGCTATGGAGTATTCCGTTGCAAATCATCCGCCTGCTGGGCTTTTCACTTTCATTCCGTCAGTGGATGGCGACTTCTTCCCGGACCGGCAGTCGGTCTTATACAAAACTGGACATTTTGTGAAAGGTGAGCGCGCTTATCACGTCTTTCGTGAGGAGCTTGCAGAGCTAATCGGGTACAGGTATACCGATGGTATTCGGCTGGACCCAAAATGATGGCACTATGAACACCGGCCCGGCCCACCTTATTCAGTCGGAAGACGATATGATACCCATCATCAAAGGCTTCGCGCACGCTCTCACAACTGACGACTTCAACAGTCTCTTCCAGTACTACGCGGCAGCCGACTTCGAGCAAGAAGTAGTGAACTATGAAGCCTCCAAAACCGAAGGTGACCCGGTCGTACCAGTGCACTTCTTTCGCCTAGCTCGCATCCTGCGCGACTTACTATTTACATGCTCGTCTATTGACTTCGGCTACGAGATGACCAAGCACTCGCGGCTCGAGAAGTCAGGTTGGTCCAAAGTTCGCCTTTACGATCTAAACCAGACCATGTTCTCGCCTTTCCTTAAAGGCGCGGGCATGCCATATGCCGGAGTAACCCACGGCTCCGACACCAACTACATCTTTAGCGGCGTCTTACTCGAAGGAGCCGTATCGCCCGAAGACCAGCAGCTCTCACGCGAGCTCACTACCGCCTTCATAAACTTCGCGTACACCGGGGATCCAAACGCCCACTCCGATTCGGACGAAGAGGACTGGCCGCCCGCGTTCTCGCAAGATATGGATCTCATCGCTGAAGACGAGCCCCGTTCGCTTAGTATCCAGGTGATTGGTGGACTGCATGGTACTGGGGCAGTGCCTCTGAGAAGGATTCCGCCGAACTTCCTCACCATGGAGGCGAGGGAGCAGCAGATCCTGGGTGAGCAGACTGAGTATGGGGCTATGCAGTCGCCGGCGTGGAATATGAGGAAGGCAGAGGTGGAGAAGGAGAAGCTGTTTGAGAGGTGCGAGTTCATTAATGGGTTAGCTGAGAAGCTTGGGCATTGAAAAGGTGGCTCACTGGAAATTCCTACATCGCAAAGTCTCGGCCAGGTCTGGCATTATACTCCATAATGCCACTGCCGGCATTTTTTCTGTCCGGGTTTGGAAAGCCGCACCCGTAGGCCTTCGGAGAGTAGAGAGAAGACTGAGGGAGTGACTCTCTATGCTCATCAACCATAAGACTCGCTCATATGCACCCTGATCTTGGCGGCGTGCCTCCCTCATATTTGGCTTTGGAAAACTCTTCCTGGTGCCCTCCAACAGATAAAGACAAGACTGAGCCTTTCCCTCTCCACATCTCTGAGCTAAGGCGCTTGCTCATACTCACGCCAACCTTGGTCGCATGTACATCGCAGTTCACATAACGGCTTTCAGATGCTTGACTTCGGAAAGCTACTTCTGGAGGCTTTCGTTAAGTAAACGCGAGGACGACCCTTCGCTTTCCCCTTTCTCGAAGCCAAAGGTTGTTCGTGAGCATGCTGACATTAGCAGCATTTATATCACGGCCTGCACACCTATACTTCTAATTTTTGACTCTAGAAAGCCCACTCCTAAAGGCCTTCAATGTATCATGTATAGTCTAAAGTCCGACTGCCTGTTAGATCGCCGTTCTTTCTCATCCCTGGACCCATTCTCCATCGCCTGCGCTCGCAGTGTTGATACTTAGGTATCTCGCGCCATTGTATCAGACTGGCTGGAGGCAGGCATGTAGCTAAGACACTTCCGCTCCTCATTTGTAAAGGATCCTGAAGGACTTCGTGCTAGGCTGTGCATTGGGGGTTTCTGAAGATGCACCGTCTGTTCGCACGGCCTCGAGGTAGGAAGCTTGCATCTCCGCATACCGGAGCGCGATTCTATAACGCGAAGGCTGGAGTACTTTAGACGGCTATCTATATATATATATATCGCCCTCACAAAGAACCCCGAAGAGCCTCAGGCTAGGCTATGTTTTGGAGGTCTTTCTACAAAAGCACCGCCTTTTCCGAGGCGCCAACGCATGAAGCTTGCATCTCCGCAACAAGATTGATTCCATAAAACGAAGGCTGGGGTGCTTTAGAGGGCTATTCACATTCGTGCAGCCCTCGCAAAGGTCCCGAAAGGTCTTCGGCTCAGGAAGGCTTCCTCGGGATCTGACATCTGGTCGCGAGGCTCAAACGTAGAGTGCTCGCATCGTGACAAACATGGTACAGTCCGTATAACGAAGGCCGGAATACTTCATATAGCCATCCGCACAAATGTGGCGCCCGTGAAAGGCACTGAAGGCACTCTGGATGGGTTACACTCAAGAGACCTCCTAGCAGTATACCATCTGATCACGATGCTCAAGAGCGGAGAACATACGCAGGCACGAACATATTCTATTCTAAAAATCAAAGCCAGGACTCCTCCAGAGGGTTATGCATATTCATGTAGCCTCCGCAAACGACGATGAAGGCCTCTAGGAGGACCTTTTCTTCTACAGCTCCGCAAGTCTCTGCTCAGCATCCCTCTGATCCATCCAGATCTCTCCTAGCTTCTGGTTCGAGTAGTACAATGAACCTAGCTCTGCATTCTCATAGTCCTGCATCCAGACTTCATGCCCGCCACCAAGGGAGTCCAGAATCTCCTTCTCTTCTGCAGACAAATTCGTGATCTTCATTACGGACGTTGATGATCGTCGAACGATGCGGAAGGAAATGGCTCGAGGAAGGCCGTGCTTTCTGAATTTCGCAAGGTATGCAATAGACCGCGGGATGACATGGATGACATCAGCGAAGATGCTGACATCTTCGAGGGCTTTGGTCATGACTTCCATTGCTTGTTTCAGCAATTCAAAATTTTCTTCAGTCTGATCTCGCCTTCGGTCCTCCCGGAGTGGCTCAGCGAAGAATGCGAAAGTCCGAAGATCTTTCGAAGACGAAAGGGCTTGCTATGCCAAATTAGAATAGAGCCTGAATAAGGGTTATCTTTACTTACAGCAATATCTTCAGAGAACTGCTGAAATTCAGGATGAATAGTCCCTTCGATAAGAGGACTTGAAGCGGCTTCCCAATTGAAGCCGATGCCTTGAAGTTTAGGAACTGCCTTCGAAAGATTTTCTAATTCCTTAGGAGACAAATCATTCATCCCAAATCGGTATGAAGCGTATCGAAGCGTATCGGCGTGCCGCTGTGCGAATAATGCTGGGCCATCTGGAATGGTATCGACATGATGTATGCATTGTTTTTCAAGGCCAATCAGTCCGCTCGCAAGGTTTCGCAGGACATCCATCTTCACGAAATTGCTTTGGCTTCCTTTGTTATACACAGTCTGTTGGAAATGCAGCGTCTTTAAAATGTGTTAGTTTATTTCTTCAAATAACGGAGTTGGGAAAGCTCCGCCTAGGGGCCTTCAGGGGATATACATACCTTCAAATTTGGATACAGATGTCTCAAGGAACTGAGATACGCTTCATGGGCCGGAGCATCGGCGCAATTCACCAAGGTAAGCTCGCGCAGATTCGGAATCCGAATATTTCCATGAAGGAGAGCGCAATTGAAGAAATGGAACTTCAGCTTCTGCAAATCGAAGGGAATACGAAGTCCAACTCGAGAACTGAAGAAATTGACTTGATGCATCCTCATTCCCTGCTGCCCGAAAATGGTGACAGATTCTATCTTTTGTCGCGATCGATCGATAACTGCTTTCGCAACATCGAGATCTGCACCTCTGCGAATATAGACCTTGAGGAGGTGTGTTGGCGTGGAAACTTCAACGACCGCGGAAAATGGTGATCGAATATCTTCGTTCTTGAGGAAGGGACCGTGACCGCGCTCGAGCTTCGGAAGAACGACGAAACGAAGTTGAGATTGCGTTTGCAGGAAGTCCGCTACGGCCTGGTACACTTCTTCATCTAGGAATTCGAAGGCCGAAAAAGCGAGGACGTGCAATTGGTCGTGATAAATTTTGAAGATTTCCTTCAACATTCCTTGATATTTGGAGAGTTTAGCGACATCGGTGGTCAAATGGAAATGAATGCAGAGTTTCTTCGCCAATCGCGCGTATTTCTTCGCGAATTTGAGAGTCATCGGATTTCCGCCCAATCGATCAAGACGAATCGGTCCGAGATTGCGATAAAGAGCGTCCATGGCTACATTATGCGTTCCTTGAAGGGCTGCAAGACTGGCTTGATCTTGAACATCGAGGTAGTTGATGATCTCAAGCTGCATTTCCGTGGGAAGCTTGGTGAACGACATCCTGGAGTTCTTCAGAGGATAACGCGACCGCAAAGAGGTAACTGGATTGTATGCTGAAGACCTTCTGGCTGAGCTATGCGGATCTGAAGCGGACAGAAATGCTGGTGTCCTCTTTGGCGAGCCTGGAGTCCTCCGGTAGATAACGCGGATGCAAGGTTGTGACTGTGGATTGTGTACTGAAGCTCCTCAGGCAGAGCTATGCGAATCTGGAGCTGAAGGGAATGCCGGCGTCTTCTTTGGTGAGCCCGCGGTCCTTTGGCAGGTAATGCGAATGAGATGAGGCTGTGGATCGTACGCCGAAGCACTTCAGGCTAGGACTTGCAAAGATGGAGCTGATGGCAATGCCGGTATTCGCTTTGGTGAGCTTGGGAGTCTTCGGTAGGTGATACGAATGAGATGAGGCTGTGGATCGTACGCCGAAGCACTTCAGGCTAGGACTTGCAAAGATGGAGCTGATGGCAATGCCGGTATTCGCTTTGGTGAGCTTGGGAGTCTTCGGTAGGTGATACGATTGAGAGGTGACTGTGGATCGTACACTGAAGCACTTCAGGCTAGGAACTGCAAAGATGAAGCTGACGGCAATGCTCAGTGCATATACGAGGGTAGAGAGGTATGAGGATGGACAGAGGACGAAGTTCAAGGCACTGTGTCTGTCTCATAGAATTACTGTTCGCTTGTGTAACCACTCCCCCGTTGCCTACATCCTCGAATCCGCCCTAAAGACGCGCTAGTCTCGGTTCTCTTTGAGTCAAATGGTATTCTAGCCGCACGGCCGGCCTGATATGGCAAAGCTCAGGTCTGAGCGCGATGTCGGACAGCATGATAGCAGGAAGTAGCTCTACGCTCGAGGCAGCTTTCAACCTGATTGGCCGGGCCATTCTCTCTACAACTAGAGAACCGGTGCTCGGTGTACAGAATAAGGAATAGTGCGGCGCAGATATGTGTACTGGCATGTTCTGGAGATTTTGGCAGCGGCATGGCGTGACGTGACGCAATACAGTCACCCAAACTCGGACCGCTACGGTGTGGCGAGTCTCTTGTAAAAGACCTACGTTTGGCTCGTGCATCCCCTTCGACGCTAGCAGTCCGAGCTTGGGCCTCGGAGTGATGACTGTAATGCTGGCGCGCTAGCGCAGGCACCCGTCAGTCATGTGCTCCGTGCATGGTTCCTGGCCGCCGGCTCGCTGGTATTTAAAATGACCTCACCCCGCCCTTACAACCTCCTCTTCTTCATCCACATCTTCACCTTCTGGCTTGCATCTGCTTCGGCTGCCTAGGGACGGACGGCTCTTGGTCCCGCAAGGCACTCTCGGAGGATCTACTCAGTCATTGCGAGATGCTCGCTCTCTTTTCTCCCTCACTCACCTTCTGGTTGCATCTGCTCTGGCTGCCTAGGGACGGACGGCTCTTGGTCCAGCAAGGCACTCGCGGAGGACCTACTCAGTCATTGCAGCATGCTTCCATTCTTTTCTCCCCACGTTTCAGCTTGCATCTACTTTGGTCGCCTAGGGACGCCTCGGCGATGGTTCCACCAGGTCTCGCGGATGATCTACTCGACCATTGTAGTATACTTGCTTCTTTTCTTTCCCCCCTCCGCCCGCCCTTCAAGAGCGCGGGTTTCGCTACTTCGTCTAAGAGGCGCTCTGCTTTGGTCGCCTTGGGACGCCCTGGGTTTGGTCCCGCATGCCCCCGCGGAGGATCAACTCGGCCATTGCGGTTTGCTTCGAGGACGTAAGTACGCTCGAGTGATCCAACTCACTCACTCTGTTCTTCAACAGTTCAGGTATGTCTCCCTCCGAGTTGCTTCTGCTTTGGCTGCCTAGGGACGCCCCGGCGATGGTTCAACCAGGTCTCGCGATATGATCTACTCAGTCATTGCTGGGGGCTTCTCTGTGGGCTGACAACGAGTGATTCAACTCACTCGCACTGTGTTCCAACAACGCAGGTATCTAGGACTTCATCCGGTTTGCTTCGGCTTTGGCTGCCTTGGGACGCCCTGGCCTTGGTCCCGCGAGGCTCCGCGGAGGATCAACTCAGTCATTGCTAGATGCATCGTATGTCACACTGTGCGGGTGCGAGTCTGCCCACGGTCCCTGACATATGTGGTATGACCTCCCTTCATCGACATCGCTCGGGGGCACCTCTGACGGTGTTCGCGGGATTCAACTCCCCTTTTTTTTCATTGAGTCTTTGCCTATGAGGCGAGGCTTGAGGAAGAAGCTCCGGGGTAGCGAATAACTACACTCCGTACACGAGTCAATGGTGCGCAGACACCCTTACAGACCTTGATGGCGCGGCACCTCGGGATGTGACAGCCTATAGCGATGTGACAAGTCGATCGATGATATAGGTGATAGAGTAGGAAGAGTGTGCTATGGAGTTTTCATCGTTAGTTGAAGGACCCTGAGATAGGCTCCGCTGCGCGGGCGAGAGAGGAAGTGCCGAGGGCGAGCACCATCCATTACACTCGGGAATTTTCCAAAGTAGGATGAGAAACAAGCTACGAAAGGGAGGCATCTCCTTGTCGCAGCTCCCTACGTTTCCACCGATGTGCTCGCTGGCGTTCTTGAGGTCTATGACTTGCTTGCAGTCAGCACAAAACTGGGCAAGTTAATGCGAACAGAGCTAAATGAGTGACTGTTTTATTGAAATGAAGAACTTCTGTCAGGAACGAGACTAACCTAACTATGAAGGAAAAGCTAAACCCTGAAACTAAGAAGCAATGCCAGAGTGCAGTATAACGCCAATTGCAGACTATCGCGAGAGCTAAATACCCAGCCCGAAATCAGAACGCAGGGCTCTAGAAACGAAAAGGTGAAGGGAATCCAGGGGTGGGAGAGCGTGAGGAATCGAAGTCTACGATATGAGTGGAAGTTGGATGTGAAGCGATGGTAATGTGGTGGCGTCAAATCCAGCAACATTAGGGAAGGACCAGAGCAAGCTTGTGCGAGCTCTCAAGCCTCTAAAACGAGGGAAATGGTGAAAACGACAAGTAAACATCGACACGAGATGGTAGTGAAGGCATCCTGGAGGAAGTAGCTGAGGACCCATCTGGCTCTGTTTTACTCCTTGAAGTCCTTCAGGAGTAGCAATGCTGTACTAGAGATTTCTATTTCAATTGACACTTGAAGATGCAGGGTTGTGATGAAATAGGAGACGGATGGTGGAGCAGGAATCGGCGGCCGGAACAAAATCTCCGATACGGGCTAGTGCCAAGTTTAGCCCAGGAAGCTTGCAGACGTGCCTTGTTTTGGCGCAGGAACGCCATCAGCCATCGTCATCGCACCCGAATTCACCATGCGGACCTGCAAATCCCATCCTCTGGGCCAATGTCCGGTGCCTGGCCCTCAGTCCCAGCGTGTGTTGTTATGGAACGATGACATCGTGCCATGGAGCGCTCTACTTATTTAGTCGGAGAGCTGTGCAGGTAGGCAGCTCCTCAGGCCTCATTGCTCTTTTGCACGCATTCAAGATGCTCCGCTCACTCGCTGTTTCTCTTTCGATCGCTAATTCTGCGCTTGCAGCCTATTCATTCGACCCCCTGGAGCATCTCGCCGGCATCGCGCCCTACTTTGAGCCCTCCGATCCTCCGCTCGACCCGAAGCCTGCGCAAGGGTGCAATGTAACCAGAGCAGCATACCTCGTAAGGCACGCCGCCATCTACGCGAACGACTTCGACTACGAGGAATACATCGAGCCATTCACGGATAAGCTGGGGAACACGAGCGTAGACTGGAGCAGAGCAGGCCCGCTCGCTTTCCTAGCAACATGGCAGACGCCCATCTCGGACTCGGAGATTGAGGATCTCACGAAGGTCGGCCAGCTAGAATCATACAAGCTGGGCGTGGACGTGAGCATGAGATATCCGGGCTTGAAGCCGCCGCAGAAGGTGTGGACGTCGACGGCGGAGAGGACTACTCTGAGCGCGGACTCTTTCATTGAGGGGATCTCGACGAGCAATGATACGGAGCGTGTCTCTGTGCCCGAGAGCGCGGCGGAAGGCGCGGACTCGTTGACGCCATACAAGGGCTGCCCGAAGTACAGCTCGTCGTTTGGAAGCGAGCAGTCGTCCGTATGTACAGCCTCCATTCGCTCGGAAGATATTCGCTAACCGGTTGCCAGGAATACAAGAACACTTACACCACGCCGATCATGACACGATTTCATGAGCTCGCTCCGGAGTTCAATTTCACCGCCGACGATATCGTAGGGATGCAGCAGCTCTGCGGGTACGAGACAGTGATCCGCGGCTCGTCGCCCTTCTGCTCGCTCGACGTCTTCTCGCCCAACGACTGGCTCGGCTTCGAATACACGAACGACATACAATACTTCTACAACGCCGGTTATGGGAACCAGATATCGGGAACCCTTGGCTTCCCGTGGGTGAATGCCACGTCTTCGCTTCTGATGGCGGACGAGGCCGGCCAGGACCTCTACGTGTCCTTCACCCATCGCGAGCTACCACCCCCTGTCATCGTCGCATTGGGCCTCTTCAATAACTCCGAGTTCTCCGGAATGAACAACCCGAATGCGACGATGCCATTGACTACGCAAAACTATGGCCGCGTGTGGAAGTCGTCTGCTATCCTGCCTTTTCTTACCAATATTGCAGTCGAGAAGATGGCTTGCGATAGTCCCGGCTACGATGCTAGGGACTACTTCAGGGTCCTGGTGAACCAGAGCCCGCAGCAATTGCCTGGTTGCGCTGATGGCCCGGGCGAAAGTTGCTCGAAGGCAGCATTCCAGGAGTTTGTGACAGCAAGAGGAGAAATGTTTGGCAGCTATACGGAAAGGTGTCAGCCCGAGTATAACAACTCGACCGACGTGATGACTATCTACGGTCAGTAAAAATTATGTACAGTCTAATGTATAGTACGAGTTCATCCCGAAATTGGGTTCTCCTGTTCCAATCTCACAAGCGTTCCCTTTTCCGTGTCCAAATCCCGAGGTTCTTTTAAAGTCGCGCATTTTCCCCATTCCAACAGGCCTGCATGCTCTCCCACGCCGTCCGTCCCGTTTTCGGCTCTAGCGCCAATTATTAATGGCTCTCCAACGTCATTCCGACATCTCCGACGCTGCCGAACTGCTGCAATCAACCAACCGATTGCGGCGACTATCAGGGGTGTCTGCAGCGCATCTTCATATTCGCTGTCGCCCCCGCCGAAAATTCTGCATCTTATTCATGCCCCGCATCCGGGCTTCTGCATTGTCTCCTATGTCTCGAGATGTCTCATGTCTGTCTTTTCAGTGAGAAAAGGAGGATTTAATTGGATTTAAAAGAGATTGGACTTCGTTGAACATTAAAATTAATTTTTTTGGGAGCTATCGCACGCTTGGAGGATTGAGACGGAAGACATGGCGTCGCTCGCGGTCGCACTCAGGCTTCCGCTGCTACTCTTCCGCCAACCGTCACCGAAGGATCGCAAGCACTCGCATTCCAAGGACAGCGACGACAATGAGGAAACACCACGCCTCGTCACCTACGACGAACTGCCCAAATGGTACCGTGACCAGGAGTCTCCCTTCATCCGCACGAAATACCGCCCCGTATCCAACAGCTACAACGCCTGCCTCCAATCGCTCAGCTACCTGCACAACGAATCGCTAAACATCTACACGCACATGCTGCCCGCCCTCGCGCTGGCCCTCGCGCTCCCGCTCCTCCAACTAAACATCTCCCGCATCTGCGCCGCAGCCCCCTGGACCGACCGCTTCATGCTAACGCTGACCCCTATGGCGGCGCTCGCCACGCTCTCCCTATCCTCCACCTACCACACGCTATGCAACCACTCGCCCCTCGTCAGCGCCTCGTGCCTGCTGCTCGACTTCTCCGGAATCCTCGCGCTCATCCTCGCCTCCTTCATCTCCGGCATCTACGTCGGCTTCTACCACCACCCCACCCAGCAGCGCCTCTACTGGGCCATGATCCTCCTACTCATCGCCACCTCCTGCACGCTCGTCCTGCACCCGCGCCTGCAGGGGCCCGTGTACCGCCCGCACCGCACCGCGGCCTTCATCGCCACCGCGTGCTCGGGCCTCGCGCCCACGCTGCACGGCCTGTGGCTGCACGGCGCGGCCCGCGGCTTCCACGCCTGCGGCGTCAAGTGGTGGCTCGCCGAGGGCTTTTGGTACGGCGTAGGCGTGCTGTTCTTCGTGAGCAGGTTTCCCGAGCGCTGGGCGTGGGGGTATAGGCGCGGACGCTGGAGGGGCTGGTTTGATGTTTGGGGGAGCAGTCATCAGATTTTTCATGCGTGTGTGGTTTTGGGCGCCGGGTGCCATTGTTGGGGGGTTTGGGTGGCTTGGGGGAATGCGGTGGGGTGGTGAGGGGGAGGATGAGGTTGAGCGGGGAGGGGAGGTTGGATGGGAGGGTAATGTGTAATGGACTGCACTGCCGCTTTGGGGAGCGTAGATCAATCTCTATCTGGCCATCTTTGTAAATTCCATGCTGGGGATCTTCGGCACACTATACCGAGACCGATTCTGTTCTGCACCTGTGCGCGGTGAGGGCTACGAACCTGTTCCCGGATTCCGCCAGTGAGCAGAGCCGAGTCAGAAACGCACTCCCCCCTCCCCCTCCTGGTATCTTCACCTCACAGATCCTTGCGTATTCTCATCTTCGTCCTCTTCGCGCCAATCACCGCTCGCACCGACGACGACCAATTCTTTTTATTGGGGTTAAGATGGAGGACAGGGTAGCATAAGAGGCAGGAGGGCGAGGAGCGAGGTCCTGGGGTAAAGCCATGACAAAAAATCAATCCTATGCATATTCCTGTCCCGCCCCTTCACGGCATGTCTTCGCTTAGTGCTCGAACGTATTCCCGTCTTGAAGTCTGCGCAATTCCTGCCCACGAGTCGCACCCGGTATGCTTACTTGCACCACCTCCCACATCTAGGTCACGCGCTAACCCATCCCCGCCCCAGTGGCCCATGCCGGCTCCAGCTCTTTTAGAACCCGCACCTCCAGTTCCTCATCATCCAGCCTGTCCTTCAATCTCATCACTTTGGCCGCCTTATCAATCTCGACCGCGCCGTCAACACACGCGTCGAACTCAACGAGCAGTCGGCACATTTCCGCGCTGCGCGCTCGAACAGCGGTGCGCAACGGCAGGTGGTATGGGGAGTCGGCCGGGAAGTTAGGATCCGCGTTTCCCATTTCTAGGAGCACGCGGGCGGCGTCCGTCCTCGTGGCGTCCGGAAATATCAGGAGAAGGAGGGGTGCATCGCCGCTCTGCGCTTGCTGGTTGGTGCTCTCTGAGGGTACCTTTCGAGCAGGATGCGGAATATGTTCGCTTTGCCCGATTGAGCAGCGCCGTGAAGCACGTTTTGCCGGGTGACGGGCGAGACGGAGTTCAAGTGGGTGCTGAGGTCGAAATGTTGCTGTGAGATGAGGTAGCGCACTACTTCGGTATGGCCTCTGTATGCCGCTAGTCCTACTGACTGATGGAGTCCATTCTCTCGTGTTCTCGCCGGCGGCGCTTCCTGAAGCTCTGGGCTCTTGTCCTCCCCGGCCTGTTAAGCAGACCTTTGAGTGCCGGGAGGCAGCCGTTTTCAGCCGCGAAGCAAAGAACAGCATTGGCCCGGGAAAGCAGTTCTTCGCGACAGTCTTCCTCGAATAAGCCCTTGATCAAGGCCTAGAAAAGGCCCTTCATGATTCAAGCGAGGCTTGGTCTGTAGCCAAAAGGAGGGGAAAGGGTGCACTCTCCTCGTTGTAGTCATGGGGGACCACAACCTCTCTTGTCAGGCAGGTGAGTTTCTCATTCCGCAGCCGGGATTGGAACTGTAGGCGGGGACTGCTTTCTAAGGATGAAGTCGAAGTACTCGAAGCTGTCTCCGCCACCCAGGACCTCCATTTCTAGGGTCCATTCATTATTCCGATTGATTATCGGCTTGACGAAGTGTGGTTGGCGATACGTGATGTAGAGAAAGAACCCATCGTCCTTGAGGGCTCGGAAAACCTTTGCGAAGTTAGGGTGATGTCCAAGGACGGCCAAATGGTTCTAAGCTTTGCTAGTAATGGTAAATCTGGCAGCATACCTCATTCATATATTTTCCGGTATTCTCCATAACGTCATCGGGCGGGCTCCAAGGGGTTCTGTAAATCATCGCATCGAGCGTTCCCTTATTGAACGCAACATCAATGGAGTTTGAGGGGATGTCCGGCATATTCCGCACACCACCCACGCTCCATTCCACGCCATCGTTAGGATGTCGACTTTTCATAAGCTCGACAACGACGGCAGAGAAATCGATACATAGTTGGTTCTCGTATCCCCGTTTTAGCAGGTCATAGGGAATGGTCTGGCCCCCGATCAGTGATGTAAACAAGATGCTCCCCAAAAACCAAACCTTCGCTATCTCCACTCCCCTCGCCGATGTGGGACGCCGCAAACGTTGTCAGGTTGTTGTGATAGACTGGGTTGGCCCGTCGGTAGATGACTGTCGCTGCCTTCGATAGACGTGTCGTGTCTCGTGGCTTGCTCGTAGGATTTCGTGCTCTCTCTGCCGTGGCCGCGAACGGCGGTCTATCGCGCATTTCGCGATTTGTGCCCCCGCAACCCATCCTGATTGGCGAAGATGGACAGAGCAGGCAAAGCGCGTCCTGCGAGGCTCATCGCTGCCTGCCAGGCAGCGCAACTTCGCTCTGAAATATATGATCGACCACGCGTTGAGTTGTAAATAAAGAGCCACTGGACACATCAGGGTTCAAATCGGTCCGTTTTCGGAAAAGGATCTCTGTAACTATCACTTCCTTTAGAGTTCAATGGATCTTTGAGCTAACGCGAGCGTCCTGAAGGAATATAACCGCACCGGGCCACCATGAGCGGACCACCTAACCCCATTCCGCCGCGGCACCAAAACTGCTGGTATTGCAAGCAGCCGCAACACAGCTCCGTTTATCAGTGCACCAACTGCAACAGACGTCCTTTTCAGGCCTGCGATCAGGCTGGCTGTAGTCCTACAGCTCCTGCACACTAGGCCAACGCTTTTGGTCAGCGGTCTTCTGCTGGTTCTTCACCCACAATTCAAGCAGCTTATTCTGGTTCTGGCAGGATTCAAACAAGCAGTGAGAACGGGTCGACACAGGCAATTGATGACGGGCAATCTCAAGCAGATCTTTCCGCAGATCAACAGTACTCTCACTTGTCCAGTGCTTAGGATTCGTGCGTTTGGACATTCTCTGATCTGTGATTGACTTTGGCAAACCATCCAGGCCGCATCGCATTCAGTGGCTAGTGCTTCATGTGTCGAGGAGTGCTATAAGGTGTCTAACTTTGGGGATATCCTCGAATTGTGCGTCAAATTCGTGTCGCGAACGGTTTACAAACTGAAATTCCGGTGGGTAATAGCCAGCATTCTCCCAGTCATACACCCCAATCACTTCCAACGTCCCATACTGAAACATCATGTTGTGAGCGCCGATGTCCCAATTACAGAAGACATATCGGTCGGTGTCGGAAACCTTCGGAACCCAGCTCGGCCTATTGTCATGATACCGCACCCAAGGTGGTGGGACGACTTTTCCATCGAGGCCCATCGTCTTCGATCTTAGCTTGGCGAGCTCGGGGAGCACCACGTTCGTGAGGTAACTTTCGGCATTAGCCCATGCCTTCTCTTCGCATAACGTACATTCTCCGGTATCGATGTGCTTCCCTCCGTCTGGCATCCGGCATTCTTCTTTGACGCGCGAGCCGGGAATGCCTGCCCAAAGTTCCATCTCGATGAAAGCAAGTCCGTTCTCATCTGGACCGCTATCCATGAGTTTGGGCACTTTGATCTTTGTTTGCGAGAGCAGTTTGAGCGCGGAAGCTTCGATCTGAAAGAGCTCCTTAACGAAGGGATCGACAATGCATTCTCCACATAGGTTCTTTTGTCGTCTCTCAGGTGGGACTTCACGTTTGATGAAGGTGGTAGGTGTCCAGCTGTAAATTCTGAGCGCTGTGCTGTAGACTTCCTTTTCACCCTGCTTTATCGATCGCGTTGCGACCGCCATGTTCGTAGGTGTTGTCTGAAAGGGCACGGATAACGAATGCGAGTTCGGCGTCGCTATGGTGACGTCGCACGGTTCGTCACCTATCGTCGTAGTTGCGGGTATCAGACGAAGAACGATGCGCAAGAGCTCAAGGGCATGAGGGAGCGATCTCTATGGGAGTAGAAGAGGCGGAGTGTGTTGGACGGCGTAGTGGTACGCGATGCAGTGTCGGCTCGAGCAAGAATTTCAGCGTCGAGGCTTTGGGGAATAGAATTTCCGGGTCAACGTATTCCACCACCGAACACCCTAAAAATGCCAAGCCCCTACTAAAAAGCCGCTATCTTAGTTAGATTACTCTAACTCTAAGCTACTTAAAATAAATCTAGATAAGCTAACGTACTTTATAAGCAAATACTCTATATAAGCGAATACTCTATATAAGTAAATACTCTATATAAGCGAATACTCTACATAAGCGAATACTCTACATAAGCGAATACTCTACATAAGCGAATACTCTACATAAGCGAATACTCTACATAAGCGAATACTCTAAAAATACTAAGCTTTTACTAAATACTACTATCTCTATTATAAAGCTCTCTATAAATATCTAATTAACTTTAGATAAATTCTAGATATAGCTTACGCTCTAGACTATTTAATAGAATCTAGAGCTAAGCTTATAGCGCGCTATAGCTCTTTATAATATACTATAGAAGAAAGTCTATAATTAATATAATAGAGTTACTTTATAACGTAAAAAGATAT